AGTGATAGTGAAATCAGAAAGTCAAAGAATGCACATTAGTAATTGTAAGTTTATTCTAATTTTGGGAACACTTTGTACTTTACAATATATGGAAGTAATAGTTTTTTATTCTATTACCTCTTTCTGAAAGCTTGCAAGCACACCAGTAATGCTTTATGATATGCTAGCTAGGTCAGAATATGTACTTATCAGTGTATTTGTAAGAAATATAGCAGACACAATTTATTTAGGAACATTTTGTTCTCTTGATTTATTTAATAAAAGATTTTACATTTATGGATGACCTGTCCATTAAGGTTTTATGCTTTGATCTGTTTTGTCTCTCAGGGTTTTCTGTTTTCCTAGAAATGTTTTATGCCTCAGTTTATTTGTTGGAGGAAATGGGGCAATATTATATATATATGTATATGTTCTTGAAGTGCTTTGTGATTACTAAAACTGTCCTGCAAAAAGGGTGGTGTTATTAAGCAAAATCACTAGTTGGTGATCAGATTTATGCAGATGAACTTTATCTATTCTTATTGTTGAGGAATATCATAGCATTTAGGAATGTATAGGAGAATAACTAGTTTTAATGGAACACTATAGGGTCGGAACACGAACATGTTTAAAAAAATAACATGGATTGGCTGAGATTGTCAATTCTGATTATGTCAGCCAAGGAGGAGGGGAGGAGCCAAATGCCGCTCTGGCCAATCAGTATCTTCTAATAGAGATGCATTGACTCTATGGGGAAAGTTCAGTGCCTCCATGTAGAGTGACTGCCACTGGAGATGTCCCAAGACCACAATGTAAACGCTTCCTTTCTCTGAAAAGGCAGTGATTTCCGCAAAATGCCTGCAGGGACATACTATACTCACCAGAACAAATCCATTAAGCTGTAGTTGTTCTGGTGACTATAGTGTCCCTTTAATCTAAAAGTACTTTCATTAAAGAAACACTCGCTGCCCCATAACAACCTATGTTCAGGTGCTTTCTCATTTTTATGGCTTAAACTGTTGCAAAAACCTGTCCCTTTCATCCTATCACTAGCTGTCCCACTAAACCTTAATCATATGCTGGTGGCAAATTGTTAGGGAGCCAGGGGTGGTGGGGCAGTGGAATGCAACTTGGTTTTGTAACTTCTGAAGGAAAGACCACTCCCAGATACTCCTGTAACCCTAAAACAACTCCAATGAGCTGACCACGTTGGGGGTAGGTGTGTTTATTTAATTCCATGGCACAATATTTAGGTTAGGAGAACGGTCACTGTTTTGTTGTTACATTTTCTCTAATTTGTGGTTACATTTTCTCTAATTTCTCCAAATGGCATTTAGCCTTGGATTTGATGCAAATTCCGATAATTTCTTTTAACTTTTAGTTAACTGTTTCAGTGTGCCATTATTTGCAAAGTGGCATTTCATATTTAATGTTTTTATTTAATGTTTTTTTTTTTGTTTTTTGCTGCAGGCCTACCTGACATTTTAATAAGGATAGAAGAGGAACATGGTGAAGAGAAGCACGATTTGACATTTGTGAAGCATTTTGAACAACCACACATGTGTAAGTACTAATAGCAATGAATACAATAAAACATTCCTTGTTGTTTTTGTTTTCATTTTAACAGTTATTATTGTTAGAAAAATAATTAATATCATCAGAAGGTAAATAAAAAGTTCATAGTAACATATAATAACATCGATCCATACCCATTTGCGTCATGAAAGAATGATGGAATAAATTCCTGTCTACTAACTTTTGACCCTGGCTCTGGCAGGATTTGTCAAGCCTTGACTTTGGCCTCTATGCAGAGTTTAGTTTTTCATTCCTATGTTTTAACGGTATTTAATAATGCTTTATAGTGATATACTGTTGTCTTAGCCTGGTACTCTTGACATGTACAGATATGTTTGAATTTTCTCAGCATATCCTACCATCAGTTCTGTTCTTTCCTTGAATATAAAAGAAGAAAATGATCTGCGCAATGAAATTAATTTGAGTCCGGAAACCAAACCAGATGCTCACAGTGAGTATTGCACTATTTGTATTATAGAGTATCATTATGCCCTATGCAGTTATTCTGGTGACTTAAATCCGGTTGATCAGTTTAAAAAGTTAATTTATATATGTCCTACATGTTGTGCTGTCCTTAAAGGAGCACTCTAAGTAGTGTAACCACTACCGTATACAGTGGTGGTTATGGTGTCAGGCACCATCCCTTATTTCTGTGTCAAAACCTTTTCAAATAGTTTACAGAAACTTATTTTTTTTTAGATTCTATTGGCAGCTATGCACCAGCATCACTGATGCAGAGATTACACTTTCACGTTTGCAGTATCAACTTTGCCAAAGTTTGAATGGTATTTTTTGGCTGTGTTTCTCCTTAGTCAATTATTCCATTGGAATATGGACAGAATTGTCTGTAGTGGTGATGGTACTTATAGTGTCTCTTCTTAAATGTTAATATTTTGACTTTGTTCTTCTGCTCCTTTTTTGTGTACAATTTCTTGTTTATAAAAAAGTAAGTTACAGGGACCATTCTATCATGTTAAAGAGTCTCCCTTATCTGCGCAGGTTTTTCAGAAGGTTCCCATTCATTATTTATTAATACAGAGGATGAAATATATTCAGAAGATCCTGCCAACTCTGAAGCCTTGGAAAATTCTGAAGGTGTTTTGTCGGGTAAGCCAATATGTTTTCAACCACACAGGCTCGTCCAGGCTGCTAGGCGATTTTTGGACACCTAAATGATGTTGGAGGTCCTCACGCTATGCATCGTAACATCCAGCGTCACCTGAATCCCCATAGGAAAGCATTTTATAATGCTTTCCTATGGGTAAACCTAATGCTAGTACGGCCATGGCCGCCGTGTCTGCACATTAGACCTCCCCGCCAGCTGATGGCGGCTGGGGAGTAGCGAAGGTGGACCAGATTCTTGACACTATAGTTTCCCTTTAAGGATTTATCTTGACAATCTGGGCCCCTGAAATGTGTGTAAATCCACCTATTTAGGTATATCACTTAATGGAATGGGATTTTGTGAATATGATTTGTTTTCGTTTACTGCACAGATTTTAGTTTGGTTAGATGTTGGTGATGGGGGAAGAGTGCCTGTAGCCCAGATACAATATGCTTTATTACAAAATGGCAATATGCTTGATTTTACATTTTTTTTTTTTTTTAAGTGACCGTCGTTTCAGAAGCCCTCAGCTAAAACACAAATGTGCCTGCATGAAATAGGTTCAATGCTCAGTAGTTTTCATGCTAGGCTAAAATATCAAATTGTAATTTCAAGTTCAAATTGTATTTATATCATAACATTTCATATGTATCTTTTTATATATGTAGTAGATTCTACAATTGTGAAGCAGGAAGTTCTAACAGATGAAGATCACTTTGAAGAAAATGAATTAATAATGTATAAAACAAGTAAGTAAATAGTGTGTGTGTGTGTGTGTGTGTGTGTGTGTGTGTGTGTGTGTGTGTGTGTGTGTGTGTGTGTGTGTGTGTGTGTGTGTGTGTGTGTGTGTGTGTGTGTGTGTGTGTGTGTGTGTGTGTGTGTGTGTGTGTGTGTGTGTGTGTGTGTGTGTGTGTGTGTGTGTGTGTGTGTGTCTATATATATTATATTTAGAGGGAAGGGAGGGCCAGTGCTCCACACCATTTACACACAGCAATCCCTCAGGTAGCTGCTACTCAACTGTAAGCAGTGGGCAGCAGAAGGCTGCTAATAAATTCCCTTGTCAGGGATTCAGTGAGTGAGATACAAGCAGTGAGTGAGGCTACAATATTCTCCATAGAAAGACACTATTCCTAAGGTGTCTTAGCGTGAATTACTAATTGATGTTGTAGTAATGTTCACTTTTTCATTTGTCGATAAAACGTTGGTATAAATTCATGTATAAGTAACAATTGTAGGGAGATTCACTATACTCCAACATATAGCAAATTAAAATTCCAAGGCAAAAGTTAGAGGTAAAAAGCTGGTATGGAGAAAATAAAAGTCAGCCATAGCTTGGCATTTTAGCCTGATATTTTTTCCATATAGTTTTCATTTTGCTACAATTCAGTGTCTAGTGATTAAATGATAGTCACCAACTAGATCAGCAATACTGCAAAATGTTTGAGTGACTTTTTTTTTTTGCATGAGATTTACAAATGTAATGATATTTAAATTTGCTTCCTTCTCAGACAATGTCAACAATGTAACGAACCCTTTGCAAGATTTTCCAGGAAAACCATTAAATTCCCTGAACAGTAAAAAATCATATCTATGCTCCGACTGTGGCAAAAGCTTTCTCTGCAAATCAAGTGTCGGCAGACATAAGAAAATCCATCAACGGGAATCATACAAGTGTTTAGACTGTGATCAAAGCTTTCCTGGAATGTCATATCTGCTGGTACACAAAAGAACTCACATGAATGAAAGACCATACACATGTGATCATTGCCAAAAAAGTTACAGATACCGATCCAGCCTGTATAAACACAAAAAGACTCACACAGGAGAAAGGCCGTATGTGTGTAATGAATGTGGAATGAGTTTTAGCCATAACTTTCATCTTCTGAGGCACCAGCAAGCCCACACTGGAGTGAGACCTTTTCAATGTAATCTGTGCAGTAAAAGGTTCTACCGTAAAGCTACTCTTAAGAAGCACCAAGAAGTCCACACTAAACAGAAGACACAAAACAACAATCAAGTCAGAGTATTTAATTTTACATAATGGGAATATAAAAGTAGACTATTTGTTTCTTAAACGTCATTTGCTGAATCTCAATTACAATGAATTATCCCTACTTATCATAAACCACTGATCAATTCCAGCTTAATTTTTTTGTATGTTCCCATTCTGTGCATGTAGGTAAATAAAATGTGACTGGATGCTGTTGTTAAAGTGGGACAAGCTGCATATTTATGAAAAAAAAAAAAAAAAAAAAAGGAAGCTTACTAAAATGCTTAACCCCTTAAGGACACAACTTCTGGAATACAAGGGAATCATGACGGAATATTTCCGTCATGTGTCCTTAAGGGGTTAAAGGGACACTCCAAACCCCTAACACACTTTAGCTTGCTGAAAAGCTTTTTGTGTAAAGAGTGTGTCCTCCTCTTTTTCGTTTTGGAAATAGTGCAGATTTCAATAGAAATTAAATTTTTTACAAATTATACTGGTTACACGATCTTGGCTTTTCAGCAAACAATTGGTCCTGTTACTTCCTGGTTTGGTTAGCTTATTTGCACTGACCTCAAGAGGCAGAAATTACCCAGAGCACCTGCCTTGGAAAGACTTCTCATTGAGCTGCATTGGGAAGTCTGTGATCGGACAGCCACAGAAAGTCTGGGCAGGGTTAGAACAGGAGAGCTGGCAAAGGCTGCAGACATGAGACCTGCAGTCTTTGTAAGCTGTTTTTAGATACAACTCCAATAAAAATATGCATAATTAAATGCACACACGGTTTCATTTGGGGTACATCTACTAAACATATATTTATTTTTTTTTAAAACCACTTTAATTTTTGTAGTGGAGTGTCTCTTTAAGGTATTAAGTGACAGTGCCCTTGTATTATTTTAGAAAAGTGCAGGTTTCAAGTCAAAGCGGCACTGTCATGTGGAACTTACCTTTCCCCAATCGATTCCTCCTCTTTCCCTCTGTCAGGATCTATTCTTTATTTCTTCCTGTCTGCTCTAGTTTTCTTTAAAACATAAGACAAAGTAGGGACTATTTTGTCTTCTGTAGGTTTCCTACGCCTAACCATCTCTGACCAGTGGAGGAACAAAGTGTGCTCCGGTTCCAGTGGTCAGAGAAATGATCCCACAATTCTTTCCTCCGTGATCTTGCGATGCTTCCTGGCCGTATACCCAAACGTCCTGTCATTTAGACGCTGGCGAAACTACCGAATTACGTCCTAAGAGAATGAGAACAGTTTGTTCATTCGTGTTAGGACGCAATTCGGACTTTGTTCGAATCGGTATTTTATTCGAATGAATGAAATTCCGAACCGTTTCATGCCACGGCTGCATCTTGCTGCCACTTAGTAGATAGCTCCCTTATTCCCACGGTATACGGGAGCTGTCTACCAAAAGCCAAATTTACTAATACTAAGTAAAGATTACTCAGTATTAGTCAATTCTGCCCCTATTCGCTATATCGCGAGTAGGGGCATGTCTAGTAAACAGTCTGCTCACTCTTGTAAAAAGAAGAAATTTAGGGTGGGGGCCCTAAATGAAAATGGGGGGGGCTATTGTCCTCCCCCTGGCCCCCACCCATGAGCAGCGGGTGGGGGTCCTAAATTAAAATAAGGAGGGGGGGGACCTATTTTCCTGCCCCTGCCCCCAGCCATCAGTGGCGGGTGGGGGCCCTAAATTACAATCGGGGGGGGGGAACCTATTGTCCTGTCCAAACTCATGGGCGACGAGTGGGGCCTAATTGTAAAAATACCCCCCCCCCTGTCCATGAATAGGGGTCCCCAAGCCCCTAGTCATCCCCCTCACCCTAAAAATAGTGAGGGGGGAGACAATAAAACTAAATTCCTGAGAAAAAAAAAAATCATACCATGAGAAGTCTTCTTTTTTCTAAAACCAAAAAAGGCCAAATAAAAGAACATAATACCCGTTGAACTTTAAAAAAAAAAAAAAAAAATCCTGAGCGCAAAAAAAAATACGCAGAAAAAAAAAAAAAAACCCAGCCGCTAAAAATCCATCCTTACCTGGCGAGGGCACGGTGCAGAATGAGCTCTGCAGGGCGGGGAAAAGCTTATAAAACTTTCCCACGCCCTGCAATTTGACTCAGAGAACTTTGATCCAACCAATCAGATTGCTTTGAGACATTTTACACAGCATGGGAAAATTCCAAAGAACTTTTCCCACTCTGTGTAAAATGACAAGCACTCTGGTTCGATTTCAATTTCCCCCGTTTAGTCGAATAGACCCCACTCGCGGGCCACAAGTGGGGGCTCAAGCGGGGCACTATGTCCCCCCTGCTAGTTAATAGATGCCCCACCATGACCCAACAGTTTTCGTTAGGACCAGGGCTGTTTCTACTGTGTTTGTGTTTAGCAGTAATTTTCCTCTTACTCATTTACTGTACCAAGACACATTATATACCGTTTTTTGCGCCATTAAATGGTCTTTCTAAAGATACCATTATTTTCATCATATCATAATTTATTATAAAAATTATTATAAAATATGACGAAAAAAATGTAAAACACTTTTTCTAACTTTGACCACCAAAATCTGTTATGCATCTACAACTGCCAAAAAACACCCGTTCTAAATCGTTTCTAAATTTTGTCCTGAGTTTAAAAATACCCAATGTTAACATGTTCTTTTTTTTGTGTGTGTGTGTGTGTGCAAGTTATAGGGCTATAAATACAAGTAGGACATTGCTGTTTAAAAATATATATTTTTAAAATGTATCAATAATGACATTGTAACACTGCTATCTGTCATAAATCTCTGAATCAAACCTCACATGTACATATTTTTTAAAAGTAAACAACCCAGGGTATTCAATATGGCACGGATGTCAAATTCGCAGCCCACAACTAATATGTTTGTGGCCTGCGGTGAGGAAGTGCTGAGTGTAAGCTCTCCCTGCTCAGCTTCCCCTAATGATGCTGGGAGCCGGAATGTGACGTAAGCTCTCCCTGCTCAGCTTCCCCTAATGATGCTGGGAGCCGGAATGTGATGTCACATTCCGGCTCCCTGCATCACTCTGCGGCGCGAGGGAGCTGAGCAGAGAGCGCTCTGGGGAAAGTGCCCGCCCGCCTTCCTGCCCAGGTAAGAAATCCACCCAGCTCTCCCAAAGGTAGATAGGCTGGGTGGATTTAAATTAAAATAATTTAAAAATAAAAAAAAGTGTTGGGGGAGAAATGTGTGTTTGGGTGTATTGCTGTGTTTATGGCTGGCTGTATATGTCTGCATGTATTGCTGTATGTGTGTGTGTGTGTGTGTGTGTATATGGCTATCCGTGTGCGTGTTTCTCTCTGTCAGTGTGTGTCTGTGAGAGAGCCTGTGTGTGTCTGTGAGGGAGCCTGTTTGTCAGTGTGTGTCTGTCAGTGAATGTGTGTGTATATGAGTGCTGGAGTGATTCTGTGTGTATGTCAGGGTGTGTGTGTGAGTGAGAACAGGGCCTGGGGTTTAGTAGAGGGGTCGCTGTTTTTTTTTTTTTTTTTAATACTGTACTTTTCAAAATCTACGTTTCTATGAAAATTTACATTTTAGTTTTTTTTGCGGCCCACTTAAACTTAAACCTTGTTTATTTTGCCCTTGCGAGCCTTGTAATTTGACATGCTTGCAATATGGGGTATGTCCAGTCTTTTTCAGTAGTCGCAAACACTGGCCAAAGTTAGCGTTTATATTTGTTTGTATGTTAAAAATGCAAAAAACCCAGCAAGACAAAAACAAAAATTGTATTATATAATATTTCAACATCCATAAGGGGATGGATATAAGATATTCCCAGCAATAAACTTGTGCACTACACCAGAACCTATTAAGGAACAAGTAGGTAGATAACGTGGACTGACTTGTGCTGAATAAAATCTCTCAAATATATCTCCTGATAAATAGATATGTGTATGCAGACGGTCCTTGATGAACACAAACAGAGATCCACAGGCATCAACATCCAAGGCCAGCACTTTTCGTTTCCTACCCATTAATATCATAAAATTGTCAGGTTTATTCACTAAAATGATAATTCACGTGAATTCAAATTTAAAGGGCACCTATCATGCCCCAAACAACTTATGCTCATTAGATTGAGGACAAGATTCTAGCTATATTTTGTGCTAGCAGTTTTGGTAGTAAAAATTCAAATCCAGCGCACTCGCTTATCTACTAAACAGTCATTTTAATGCTGAACAATTTTCAGTTTTATTAAAAACACCTAATCTAGGCAAAAAAAATATAATGGGGGTTTAGTTACAGTATATGATCATACATTGCATAAGCCTGCCACAACGCCAATGTATCCTATCTTTGGCAGGTCCTACTCTGTCTGCTAAATGAGCTTCTCACTTGGGGAAATCCTTCCATCTCGAGGTCTGTGCAGTACAATGCTTAAATAGGATCCTGAGATGAGGCACCTGTAACAGGGAGGGGTGCAAAACCCATGGAGCTCCTAGACTCCTAAATATATACATATATGAGAAAATAAGGGTTTGGCTGCACTCACCTACACATGCTAAATTAGGGTTCTGCTGGGGGCCAATAATTACAGTAAAAATGAAAATCCAGCGCACTCGCTTATCTACTAAACAGTCATTTTAATGAACAATTTTCAGTTTTATTAAAAACACATAATCTAGGCAAAAAAAATATAATGTGGGTTTAGTTACAGTAGTTACCGGAGTTGTGCTTCTCCCCTCATGCTGGTCTCTGTGTGTAAAGTTGCCGAGTGGACTGCAGTCTGACTGGAAGTGCTCACTAAGAGAGCACTTTCTGTCAGACCAGACCTGGTACTGCGGTGAGCAGTACTGTGGATTGAGGCACATAGAGGGGAATGAGACACATTAGAGCTGAGGGAGAATAAGACCCATGGAGAAGTGGGGGGGGGGCTTGGGGGTAGGGAATGAGACATGTGTAGGGCTTGGTGGGGGTAATGAGACACCTGGAGGGCTTGGTGGGGGTAATAAGACACATGGGGGCTTGGTGGGGGTAATAAGACACATGAAGGTGCTTGGTGGGGTAATGAGACACCTGGAGGGCTTGGTGGGGTAATAAGACACCTGGAGGGCTTGGTGGGGGTAATAAGACACATGAAGGTGCTTGGTGGGGTAATAAGACACATGGAGGTGCTTGGTGGGGGTAATGAGACACCTGGAGGGCTTGGTGGGGGTAATGAGACACATGAAGGTGCTTGGTGGGGGTAATAAGACACATGAAGGTGCTTGGTGGGGGTAATAAGACACATGGAGGGCTTGGTGGGGTAATAAGACACATGGAGGGCTTGGTGGGGGTAACAGAGACACCTGGAGGGCTTGGTGGGGGTAATGAGAGACACATGGAGGTGCTGGGGGAGGAGGGAATGAGGGGCTGACAGGAAAAGGAGACACATGGGTATTGCCCCAATAGCAGGAACTCTCACCCCCGGCCCATTGGTTTCTAGTTACACCTCTGACCACACCCATCACCCTCGCAGCTACATTTAGCAGCTCCTCCAATAATAGTGCTGCTCCGAGGCTGGTTGAGGTGTCAGTCCGGTCCTCACACGGGGTGCAGCCCGCACTATAGGCTGTCACGGAGCGGATACCGAGCGCTGTAACAGCCATGTATAAACACGTGTTCCTCACCGGCCCGCCGGGGGTCGGGAAAACCACTGCGGTGAGGACAGTGTCCGGCATGTTACAATCATCCGGGGTTCCCATCCAGGGATTCTACACCGAGGAAGTGAGAGCAGGAGGAGGCGGCGGGAGGAGGATAGGATTTGACATAGTGACCCTGTGTGGGAAGCGTGGCACCCTGTCCAGGGCCGGCCCTCACACTGACAGGCGGGAGCACAGAGTCGGGCAGTATGTGGTAGACCTGGTGTCCTTCCAGCAGCTGGCCATCCCCACTCTGACCGTGGGGGACGGAGACACCGTCTGTGTGATTGATGAAATCGGTAAAATGGAGCTCTGCAGCGAGCCCTTCATACAGGCTGTCCGCACCGTGCTGGAGGGGGGCAAAGCTGTCATATTTGGGACCATTCCAATCCCTAAAGGAAAGCCTTTACCACTGATTGAGGAGATCAGGAGAAGGCCTGATGTGAAAGTGTTTAATATCACAAAGGAGAATAGAGATGGGATACTTCAAGAACTCCTGGAGACCATACAGAACTGCAGGAAATAATCTATTGGGATAGAGAAACTCTGCAGGAAATAATCCACTGGGATAGAGAAACTCTGCAGGAAATAATCTGTTGGGATAGAGAAACTCTGCAGGAAATAAAATGTTGGAATAGAGAAACTCTGCAGGAAATAATCTATTGGAATAGAGAAACTCTGCAGGAAATAAAATGTTGGGATAGAGAAACTCTGCAGGAAATAATCTATTGGGATAGAGAAACTCTGCAGGAAATAATCTGTTGGGATAAACTCTGCAGGAAATAATCTATTGGGATAGAGAAACTCTGCAGGAAATAATCTATTGGAATAGAGAAACTCTGCAGGAAATAAAATGTTGGAATAGAGAAACTCTGCAGGAAATAATCTATTGGAATAGAGAAACTCTGCAGGAAATAAAATGTTGGGATAGAGAAACTCTGCAGGAAATAATCTGTTGGGATAGAGAAACTCTGCAGGAAATAATCTATTGGGATAGAGAAACTCTGCAGGAAATAATCTGTTGGGATAAACTCTGCAGGAAATAATCTATTGGGATAGAGAAACTCTGCAGGAAATAATCTATTGGAATAGAGAAACTCTGCAGGAAATAAAATGTTGGAATAGAGAAACTCTGCAGGAAATAATCTATTGGAATAGAGAAACTCTGCAGGAAATAAAATGTTGGGATAGAGAAACTCTGCAGGAAATAATCTGTTGGGATAGAGAAACTCTGCAGGAAATAATCTATTGGGATAGAGAAACTCTGCAGGAAATAATCTATTGGGATAGAGAAACTCTGCAGGAAATAATCCACTGGGATAGAGAAACTCTGCAGGAAATAATCTATTGGGATGGAGAAACTCTGCAGGAAATAATCTGTTGGAATAGAAAAAAAGATTTGAGCAAATCTAATGTAATTTTTTGTTTTCCTCTTTATTTTGGATCATAAATAGTACCAAATTAATTTGTGTGTTGTTAAAGGTACTTGACAAAGAGTCTGCTATGTACAAGCCCTATATTGTTATGTTGTGTTAAAATAAAACTTCATGTTGAAAATAATAATAAAAAAATAAAAAAAAGTAGTCTCTGTAAACAGCCAATGGTAGTAGAGGTAAACATGACGCACGTGATTCCACGCTCCCCCGAGCACGCAGGGAACGTGCGCGGCGCCGCTGTGTTTCTCTTCTGCGAGTGACGGGCTGCTGGAGCGCGCGACTCCACTTCCTCCGTCGGTGCGCATGCGCAGAGTGACACCATTCGGCGAATGCTGGTCAGGGGAGTCGGGGTTCTTCATCAGAATTAATGGGTAGGTGACGCTGGGCCCCAGGAACGGTGGGGGTGAGTGGGAGCCCTCTATGAAAGGCTATGGGGGTCGTTAATAGGGTTGTTATGAGTCAATGAAGGCCAGCCTTTGGTATCTCAGCTGTTGGCTACATTTCCCATGATGCTCCGGGTCCTATATAAACAATGGTCCCACAGTGGTTGTGGTGTCTGGACACTAACAAGCTGCACAAGGTGTGTTTCCATTAACACAGGCTTTAATAGTGTTCTGTAATGCTGTATATTGTAGAGCAGTACCCACCAAGTAATACATTTATGTACACTTACCTGCATGACACCGACCTGTCCAGCCATACACCCCAAGAGTACATATCAGTTTAGGTACCTCTAAAGAAATAGGGTTTTTTTTTTTTTGTTTTTTTTAATACAATAAAACATTTCTTTATGCTTTGGATTATATAATTAAAATTTTTGACAATTTTAATATTTTTAATTCCTAAAGAATTCACACTTTACAGAATTATTCACTAAGCAACAAATTCTGGATCTGAATGGTAAGATTAATAAAAAAAAAAAATAGTTGATCTGGAAATTTTTGACTTAAGTGGTCACTGTGCTTGGAGTATCCCTTGAAGTGATTTGAAGTGGTTATGGAGTCTGATTTTGTAGCTTTTCACTATGAAAAGCCTGCACGTAGAGGTTAACTCTGGACGTCCTCACACTATGCTATAATCTCTCAAAACCCTATAGCAGGGACGTATCTTACACGAGGAAAACAAGGCATCTGCCTTGGGCGGCACTTTGCAGGGGGCAGAAAAAAAAGCCGCCCCCAAACGCCCAGGCAGATCCCTTGTTTGCCTTGTGTCCTGGGGGCTCAAGAGCTGGCCAGCTGGCCACTTTTGAGCCCCCACAAAGCTGGTGGCGGGTAACGAGGTAGCATACTCACCTGAGCTCTTCCTGCTCATCTCCCTTCGCGTCGCTTAATAAAGCCGCAAGCCGAAATGACGTCGCTCTGGCTCCCGGCATCACTAAGCGGCGCATAAGGGAGCTGAGCAGGAATATCAGAGCTCCATTGCCGCCTACTCTGCCTGTCCGCCCCCTGCCTGCCTGCCCGCCCAGCAGCCCTACTGGATAGGTAAGTAATCCACTCCAGCTCTCCCAGGGAGACTGGGTGGATTTAAAATTAAGAAAATAATAAAAATTTGTGAGTGTTGGGGGAAATGTGTGTGTGTGTGTGTGTGTGTATGTGTGTGTATGTGTGTGTGTATATATATATATATATATATATATATATGTGTGTGTGTCCCCGAGTAATAGTGTGTCTATCAGTGTGTGTGTGTTTTGTCATTGTTTGTCTGTCAATGAGTGTATGCATCTATCAGTAAGTGTGTGCTTCTGTCAGTCAAAGTGCTGCCTTGACTGGAAGGGGTGGGGAAAATTTGAATTAAGGGGGCGTGGGGGGCTGAGCATTGTCTTGCCTAGGGCAGCACAAATCTTAAATACACCACTGCCCTATAGGAATTAATAATACAATGCTTTCTTATGGGGAAACTCCTAATGTGCGCGCTGCACATGCGCATTAGGTCCCCCTATTTGGATGACATTGGCAGGGGAGCAGTGGAGGCAGAGTCTGAATCAGCACCGAGGGGCATTGGGGACTAGAATAGGTAAGTGATAGGAGTAGTTTTTAACTCCTTCACTAGAACATTTATATATATATAAAATGTAATAATATACTCACTACTTTTTATTTTTTATTTTATTTTTTTAGTTTCCATTTATTCACTTGCTACCTACAGCTGGACGTTACCATCATAATCCAAGAAATGTCAGCCCAGGTAAAATAACATTGAATTCATCCATTTCTATCTTTTTTTTTTTTTAAATTCTTTATTTAATACTGCTTAAGAGATACACAGTAGCATACCACATTTTTATAAAAAAACAACAAAGCTAACAGCCAGAACAACAGTAATATAAAAAGATAATATAACCTGAAAGTATCAGAGGCATGTTCAAGTACCTTTTTATAACCATCGCAAGCAAGAGAGCAAATCACTGCCCAAAGAAGTCAGGAGGCATATAATGCAGTGGAGGTAAAGTGTCTAAAGATATTTAGTAACAGACCTCTTCATTAGAATTAAAAGACTTTGAAAAATGAAATATGACAAATCAATAAAGGCTATAGTGTAAGAAATGTCAGAAATAGACAATTTATTGAGCTTTAAATTCTCATTACTCTTCCTCCACTGAATAAGACAATATGACTTGACATACCATGAGAATAGAAAGAAGAGATAACCAACTATAGTGAGGAAAGTAGATAAGGAGGAAAGAGCCTGAAAGAAAAAGGGGGGAAAATATAGAGAGAAGCTAGAAAAAGCAGAAGAAAGGAGAGCGAGAACAACCTCACCCACTGTGGATACGAAGTTAAGCCTAAAGGAACTGCTGTTAAAGTTTCTTAAAGGGACACTATAGTCACCTGAACAACTTTAGCTTAATGAAGCAGTTTTGGTGTATAGAACATTTCCCTGCAGCCTCACTGCTCAATCCTCTGCCATTTAGGAGTTAAATCCCTTTGTTTATGAACCCTAGTCACACCTCCCTGTATGTGACTTGCACAGCCTTCCATAAACACTTCCTGTAAAGAGAGCCCTATTTAGGCTTTCTTTATTGCAAGTTCTGTTTAATTAAGATTTTCTTATCCCCTGCTATGTTAATAGCTTGCTAGACCCTGCCAGAGCCTCCTGTATGTGGTTAAAGTTCAATTTAGAGATTGAGATACAATTATTTAAGGTAAATCACATCTGTTTGAAGGTGAAACCAGTTATTTTTTTCATGCATGCTCTGTCAATCAAAGCCAGGGGAGGTGTGACTAGGGCTGCATAAACAGAAACAAAGTGATTTAACTCCTAAATGACAGTGAATTGAGCAGTGAAATTGCAGGGGAATGATCTATACACTAAAACTGCTTTATTTAGCTAAAGTAATTTAGGTGACTATAGTGTTCCTTTAAGTTTGGTCAAATTCAACCCACGGATCCCAGGTTTTCTGGAAGGAGGGGAGAGAATTGCGAACTATTGCAGTACGTTGATCCATTACATAATGTTTAACTTTAATCTCCTTCCTTGATGGAATCCCATCTCACCATTTAGTTGCTAGTAATGTTCTACCTGCAATCGTTATCCTACTATATAGCTTTTGCGAATGTGATGAGTCTCTCCACGTGGCGCGAAAGCAACAGTGACCATGGGTCAAATAGTCTATGTGGAAAAGTGCTTGGAGAAAGTTTCCCACCTCCCTCCAGAATGTAGCTAATTTTTAGCATTCCCACCACATGTCATGTTAAGAACCTTTTATGACTGCAGTTTTTCCCCATACTATGAAACTGAACCGGGGTCGTGTGCTGATGAAATAGAATTTTATACATTTATTGGGAGGCAATGCAGACTGAAACCTAGCAGCTGTCTCCCACATGTCTGCTCACACAATGCCCTTCAACTCCCCTCCCAGATTCTCCTTCCACTTGCTAACATAACTTAGGCATCCCCATTCTTTAGAATGTAAACAGATATGATTAAACAGAAGTGTGATTAAGCACTTCTGGTATTCCCCTCTCAAGCACAGCTCCTCAAAAATGTGAGTTCTTTTTCCACTACTTTCTGAATTCCTTCAAAGTGGGCAAAGTTACAGACTTATATTCCTCCTAATAAAAAAATTGTCTAAAGGTACATCTCTAAGCATCATAATCACTACATGTCCCTGTAGTAGTTATGGTAGCAAGAGTGAATTGGTCCTTTTTTATTGTAGTTTATCAAAATGTTTCAATACAGTCTGTTATTTACATGGACACCTGCTGCTAAGGTAGGAGAAGCGAGATGCCTATATAGGTGTTCATTTGTTGGCTCAGAGTTTCATATCAGCACTTTTGGCCAATTAATGCATTGAATTCACTCCTGTAACAAAACTGACATTCAGTTTCTCTAACTCTTGGAAGACCAGGTCCGGGGGCGAGTGCCCAGTGACACCTAGATGTGTGTTAAACTGTACTAAAACGGTTAACAGATTTTTAAGGGATCACGCCAGGGTAATCCCTACACCCTAACCAATACAGCGGGATGTGGTGGTTGTAGTACTTGGAGTGTTCCTTTAAAAACTAAAAGCCTATTGTAGCGTTTGTTCAAAATATGTCTGTTGGATGGATGAAATTATGGTTCATTTTTGTGTCCAAAGCTTTTCAGGTGGTATAACGCCACCTCAATGACTTTGCTTAAAAATGTCGAAGGCTGCAAAGCAATGGAATCATGATACACAGCTGTAACTAATTGATCTTAATCTTTTTATGCCTTTCTCTTGACAGTTTCTCTTTAAGTCTGTGCCAGACAAAAACAAATTATTCTTGTTCGTTATTAAACATTTACACGATTGAAATAAGCCTTTCTTTGTGTGTGTGTGTGTTTTTTTTTTTTTTTAGATCCCTGTCACATTCTGCGATGTTGCCGCTTCTTTTACAGAGGACCAGTGGCTGCGTCTGGATGGATGGAAGAAGGTGGTCTATCAAAATGTGATTAAAGAAATCCATGAAGTTTTATTGACACTAGGTGAGTCTTCACGGTGATACAATTCATCTAAAAACAAGATTTATATTACAGGGGCAAACTAAAGGATTTTCCTGTAAAATAAATAAAAAATATAAAAGAAACCCCTTTTAAGTCTAACCTAGCAAGTTACTAAATAATTGAAGATGGCAATGAATATTCTTTGGCCAGAAACAGTGCCCCGCCCCTTGGTTGTAGCACTGCATATAACACTGTAATATCCCATAACATTCTATGCTATTCTAATAATCCTATTTAAAACCTACCCATTTAATGTATGCAGGTCTTGATAAGGCTTTTGATGCCAAAAAGGCAGTACATGCCTGGCTGGTGTGGAACTTGAAGGCATTTTCATGACTGCTTGAAATGTAACTTATCTGTAAGGGCCAGCTCAGAATAGATTTTTGACATGAGTCTAAATATAGTAGCAACACAGCTCTGTGCACTTCCATAATATTGTATTTTAATGCTGTAATATTTTTTTGACAGGTTATACAATTACAAATCCAGATGTTATTTTTAACATTAATAAAGCGAATAAATCCTGTGTTCGCATTGACTCTTCATCTGCGGAAAGGAAATGCACACCTGTTGGAGGTAATCTTGATGTTTGTTATTTCTGTTTATTTTATTTATTTTTTTTAAACTGGTTTGCCTTTTGTTTTGATGCCTAATTATGTGTTTAAAGGGAAATTTACAAAATCATTCCTTCATGACAGTGTGTTTTGGTGTAGCAGCACCAATCACAACTGTTTGAACATCCCATGAAAATGCACAGTTCATTGAGTGTCCGATACCGGCATCCTCTATATCTTGTCTGAGAAGAGCTGCCAATACTGTTGCGGTAGTCTAAAGTGGAAACTGGAAATACTGGGTGAAAAGTGTGCTGCTCTAGTTCAATGACCTCATGATCCTATAGTGACCTTATTACTCTAGTAGTGTTAGTAGTTTATCTAACTATGAGTTCCCAGCAGCTCATTCTCTCTGTGCAGCTTGGACTATTGAAGAGGCAATGGGCGCAGCTGTGATTGGCTGAAAGTGTCAGCTGATCACATTCAACCTAGCACAGTATGTATCAGTATGGCTAAAAGGAAGTGTGAAATCTCTGCCATAGCCACAACTCCAGTGAAGGCGGGGCTGTAGAAAGCCAGGGACCCTTATTTAGTTTTAAATTGCTCGAAAATGGTTTAACATTGAATGGAGGGACAGTACCAGGGGACTACTTGCACTATAACCAATACCGAGAGATGAAATGGTTATAGCGATGAAATGGTTATAGCGACTACAGTGTCCCTTAATAGCAAAACATGATATTTAGTACTTCGCCATGTGTTGATGGCAATTCATGTATTTTGATAAGCCATGTGAAACAAGGACACAATCTTATCTAGTTAATATGTTAGTATGTTTCCTGCAGTTGAAACTTGTGTTGTAGAAAGTTTTATTGCTGGGATGAGAAAACAACCCTCGTGGTATCCCATATGAGCTCAACTGTTTTTTATGGAAATATAGTAATAGTGAAATGACTTGTATGGCTTTGAGCTCCCCTATTATGGAGCGTACACATTTTTGCCCATATAAATTTGTAATTGGGATATTTTTATTTTTTTATTTTTTATTCTTAGACACTCCTGATCTTTTAGTAAGGATTAAAGAAGAAACTCCAGAAGAGACAACTTGCAGTGAAGAAAAAATGGGTGTGAAAGGTGGGTCTTCCAAAATGAATACCAGTATGTTACTTATTTTTTCCTTTTCTTGTAGAACATAATGCTTTTACTTCAATATCCTTGTTGCTGTTTAACCTTAAGGACCAAACTTCTGGAATAAAAGGGAATCATGACATGTCTCCTTAAGGGGTTAATGTTGTTTAACTGCAAATAAAACCTGCGTTTTGAAAGTCTTTTGGGGTTCTCTGAAATCTGACATGTGCTTTACTTTTCTCTGCTACTCTCCTTACACACCTTAAACACGTCGATATTTCTTACTGTGGTGAAAGAAATAGGAACTATCACTTTTAAAAGCATGGCACAATCCCCTCGTTTCTTTCCCCTTTTTTTCCAATTTCTTTTTAGTAGAAAAAAAAACTTAAAAAAAATAAAAATGTTTTTTTTGCATTTCAGGGATTCACATAAACTTATGTTTATGTATGTGTTGAAATCAAATCAAACATCTCATACAAAAAAACCCACAAACATAAAACAAACAATTCCCATAGATGCAGAAATAGATTTGGGAAATATCAAACTATTGGTAATAACCACAGCCCTGTTTCCAATTAATTTGCGAGTGTTCTAAATATTTTATTTAATTATTTGCTTTTAAAAATTATGGTTGAAAAGAGCTGTATTATTGAAGTAGCTCAATTATAAACTTTTTTTTTTTTTTTGTGCAGCATATCCTGTTGTTGGCTCCGTTGTATCTTTAAACATCAGAGAACAGGCAACAAGTGAGAAATGCTGTCTGAGTACAAGAGCTAAGCCAATAGGTGAGTATTGTACAGTTTTTGTAAATTGTTGGATAATTTTACAATGTGGACAGTAGTTTTCTGTCTGCATGTGGACTTTTTTTTTAATGTAAGTGTCAGTCCTGCATACTTGATTGGTGTTCAGTTACATTTCTGTTGTACAAAACTCTATTTTGATTTTTTTTCTTTTGTACGAAATAATGTGTATATTTATAAATGAGAGATGGGTCTATGTTTCTCTCCCAAGCATCTCCTGATGTTTGCTGCTGCTGCTGTCCAGCACTTCTCTAGCTGTTATTAGGAAGATGGATTGATTCAACAGTGGCTGAATCAATCATTCGAATAGCGGCCCTGGAGTGTAACTTCCATGTAATTTCTATTAATATTGGTCAGGCTGGGACATTAGAAAGTGTGTATTTACAGCATCAGTCACATTGTAAATTATGTTTTGTATATAGTCGGCAGATCATGCTTCCAAATCTCCTAACATATGTTGGGGTGTGACACTGTGTGCATTCAAACTGTAATGCACTGTGTGATTTGACATTGTGCAATGTGAGAACCCTAATATCAGGAAAGCATACATACCGTGGCCTGCTCAAGAGGAGCTGAATCAAGGACAGCAACCACATAACTCCCAGCAATCACCAGCAGACCAGAATATTTATGCTGCAATAATTTAAAAGTGTAACTTTCATGCTACACACACACATTTGTTTTAAATTTAGCATAATAACATTTAATCTTTATAGAAGTGCTGGCACATACCCAGATTTTTATATCTGTAAGGTTTCAGCATAGAAAGCTGTGCAGACACAAGCCATATTCCATAAGTTGTAATGGAATCGCCCAGAAAAACCATTGATATAATACGTAAACGTCCAAACAGTGTAGGGTTCATGTAAGATTGATCTGTCTTGTTTTGACATAGAAATAAATCTTCATGCTTGGGGTGAGTTTTTGATCGAAAATACACTCAGCAGTCTGACAAGGACTACCTTACCTTTATGTAGCTGCTGCAAAGATTCAGGTAGAAAAGGTCTTCTGTTGTAGAAGCTTGCTTTATTTTCTGTGTAACTTGACTGTTGGCTGATAAACACAGGTAAGGATTATATAGAGCACAATACATAAGGAGACATGCAAGTAAAGGGAGCCCTGTCCATGAGCCTGAAATATTTGCACAAAGTGCATGAGAGGAGCTTACAATCTTAAACTATAAGAATGATTTGAATATTGATCACAATTTCATTAATAGTTTCTATTGGTATCACAGCCCCTATTTTGCTGAAAGAAGAGGAAGATAATCGCAAAAGGAGTAAACAATCATCAGTTAATGTCAGCACTGGTAAGTAATTTTAATTACAATTTAGGTACTGTAAATCTTCTATTAACTTTGAAATATGTGAGCAACAAATATGATTAAAAGATTCAACTACAAAATAAGAGGTATTGCATATGTTACTCTTTAAGAAGACACTTTTTTTTTTTTTTCTTTTGTCCTGCACAATTTCATTGTCAGTTTCTGTAGAAGTACAAGTTCCAGCTATGGTGACACAAGAGGCCAGGCTTCAAGAACAGTTGCAGTCAACTGGACATGGTGACACAGTAAATGACGAGCCAGGAATAGGTATTTACCAAAGCAAATGAGCACCAAATATGACAACATAGACTTCTACGACCATTTACTAATTTCATCGATGTATTGTTATTATTCAACTGGAGGTGGCAACATTTGTTACATTTGCAAATGATCTGTGTTGCATTTAGAACCAAGAATATAAAAAGCCTTTGGTTGTTTCTGCTACGTGATTAAATGTAAACATTTCTATAGGTAAAACTGTTCCTGTTGTGGTAAAGGAAGAGGATGCTGATGTTGATCCTACAGAAATACAATCTACAAGTCACAGCAATACTGGTAATTGGTGTTTATTAACTTTACCGTTTTTTGCTAGTCATAGAAAATAAAATTTTATTAAAGAAAACAAACACAACTGAAAACATATTCAAATATAAAAAGAAAAACAACTGACTGGAGAATTTTTCCAGTTAGGCTGTTTTGTTTTATTTATTTATTTATTTATTTTAATTCCAATTTTATTGGTATATCAAATAGTCAAGGTGGGTACCGAAAGAAAAAGAGGGGAGGGATTTTAAACGTGTTACAAGTTTTCAATATCACAGTAGTTATACATAAGATTGATATGGTGTTCGTTATTTCATCAAGCATGGTACAATGTAATACCGGAGAGGATTGCATATATTTCCGTTTTCAATATCAAGAAGGTTTCCCAGGTCCTCTCCTACACAGTTTTTCGGTATTTATGTTTGTCATACCTGTGATTTATATAAGGCTTATATAGTCTGTTATGTATGCTCTTTGTATGCATATTCCGAAGTAACTTAAAACTGGGTCTGGAGGTTAAACAATTTGGAGAGGGTGTGAGTTTGAGGGGTTGGTCAGAGGAGGGGATGGGGGGGGGGGAGCGTGGGTTGATAGGAGTGGGGGGGAATGGTACAGTGGTTGAAGGTACAATGTGTTTATTTTCTAGTTTTAAGTTGGGTATGACTGGTTCTGTGCCCAGTATTGTATCCAGGGTTTCCATGTGCTCAGGTATCTGTTGCATTTGCCCAGTGTTTACCAGTGGAGATTTTCCATTTCTCTTGTTCGTTCTACTCTTTCTATCCACTGGGTCACTGTGAGGGTTGTGTTTTTTTTCCAATATATTGGGATGAGGTTGTTTGCTTCACCCAGCAGTAACCATAACAAATGTTGAGTTTGGCTGTTTTTGACTAGAAGTTGAAATCTACTTAGAATTTTAACAATTTACACTTTAGTGGATAACACTGCTGCTATATAGGCACAAAAACAAAACTTGCTTATTCATAAATACAGTTTATTATACAACGGTCTTTAACTTGTGGCAGACCAATTTCAGTTACCTACACTGATACAAGCAATAAATCTTATCATTCTTGTTAGATTTCCATCTAGGGTAGCAAATGATGAGGCATATGTAAAAGAAAAACAAACTCTTAATGTAGAACATCATATGATAATAACATAGGGTGTATAATCTGTGTACAACTAGAAGAAAAACTCGCATAACTCTGTGGCGGTCTGAGATCAGTGTAGAACCCCTCAGATGGAATCATCCTTACTTAGGACAAGAGCATATTAGAAAGTATCTGTCTTTTTAATGTTGTGGGGAAGCTTATGATCTTACCGCTGCAATTTGGCCTCCTATTTTGACTTGACACTTTGCTCCTTTGTACATCGCCACTTGCCAGACGCATTAGGAGGGCAAATGCTGCAAGCAATAAGTCTAAAAATCATAAACTTTTAAAATGAAAAGCAATATAAAATGCTCATATTTTACAACAAGTGCTTACAGGTGATACCTCTTTTATCATAATAATATTATGTATATATTTTCTAGCAATTTGGCCTGTTGTGGTGAAACAAGAGGAGAACGTTCTCTTTGAGGAAATATCACTTACAGGCCGCAGTAGCACATGTAAGTAATTTTACTAACCGGAATAGATACCTACTATTTTATTGATATGCCCCCACTGATGCATGCTTTTTTTTTTTTTCTTTTTTTTTAATAATTTTAAAAGATTCACATCTTTTACATTGTTATTTTGAGGCATTTAGTGCACCTTATTTTATGTTTACATTTTAGTGCACAGCGCACCTTATTTTTTGTTAACATTTATATATTGTCACATGATTTTTACTCCAAATCATTGTTTTAAATGTTTCATATTGAATTGTATAACTGCACATCTAACTGAATAGGCCTGTCTTTTCCTATTTGTTAACACTTAGAACCAGAACACTGTGGCAAAAATCTGTGCATAAAATAAATCCTATCTTTAAATTATCTTTACTAGATTTGGTTTAGTGGGTGTTGGTGATCAGCATATCCTCGGCAGTCACTAATAACAGTGATAAGTATATGATTATAAAGTGTAGGTGGCAAGATTAATTCTACTTTCGAGATAATCTGTTTTACAAGCTTAAAATAATGTAAATGTGGAAGATGCGTTATTGTTTTGTAACTTACATTTTTTATTTATTGGTATAACAGTTAATATTGTGGTGAAACATGAGGAGGTCGATTACAATGAAATGCAGTCTACAGGTCACACTAACAGCACAGGTGAGGTCATTTTTATTAATGATATACTGATATATCTCAAATGGCTTTAAACGTACATACACTTAACAAAGCTGGACTATGGGACTAAATATGATAAAGGAGCTTTCTATTTATTTTCTTGTATAGCAATACAAGAATACCAAAAAGCATATTTGGCATAATACTCTTGTTTTCTACCTTCTGGATTTACACACCATCATGATGTCAGCTGGTTGGTTGGCTCTCAGTGACTTCTTGCATGGTGGTTAATTACATATTACTATTGAACATTGTATAACAAAGGACTCCCATCATGAGATTATCTCCTGGCTTCCCAAGCCTCAACCCCCCTCCAAATCTCACATTTTATAGGAAGATTATCAACTTCTATCTTAGAAATGGATCAATAAATGTTGGATTCTCACACTACCGTACTCTGTTTTCATCATATCCATTCATTTCATACATGGTAATTATTGCTTATTCATATAATTTGTAATTATAGATGTATAATATATAAAACCCAGGTATTAATGTTTGTAACCGTGATACAGAAAGACAGAAATGTGTTTCTCTGTAGGATAAAAGCAGCCTGTGAGGCAAAAGGGAATGAGCTTCAAAGAGTAAATTTCATTTTGCATTGCTTTGAAATACAAAACAATCATTAGTCTGTGTATATATGTGTATGCATGTATGTATATATGTGTGTGTGTGTATATATATATATATATATATATATATATATATATATATATATATATATATACATACACAACATGATGGGTTGATGGAGTACACTGCTTTTACTAAAACAAAATGTTTTCCCTATTCCAATTCATTTTCCTGGTTTGTTAGTTTCATTAAATTCAGTAGCACTGTGGAATGGGTAATTAAAACATAAAGGTATACGGTGATAAAACACACTTTGATAATTAAAAACAAATGGTGATACGGCCCCTGCTCAAATGAATTTATTGATCTATGATACTCACTTCTAGTGTAAATTCTTGTAAAACCTTATGCATTCCAGCTGCAAATAAGATCTTATATATTGTTGCCAAGGTACTAATATTAAAAGGCACATTGTACCAAAAGAGAGATTATCACAATGTCAGCAACACTTATAATTTTTAATGTAAATATTTACTGTAGTTTTTAACAATTTTCTTAAGAAATGTCAATGTAGCTATTAAACTTGAAATTTATTTTCTTAGTGTAGTGTTTAAATATGTCCATTTGAAAAGAAATTCCATGCAAGTCTATAGATATTACAATAAGTCTTGCCTACATTTGTATTATGCCCCTTTTGCTGCCAGAGGATTGCAGACACGTGCTGTTGTCGTCTTCGGTAGCAAAGGGATTAAATAACTATTTTTTTCCCCACAATATAATAATTCTACCATAATAAATTAAATCACATTCATTTGGTCCCTGCAGCGAAAATGTTGGCTCGCCTTCAAAACCATTCTGTTGAGGATACGATTTCAGAGGAGCATCATAACATAAACACACTCCGAAAAACAATGTCTGACATCGCAACCATTCGTACATTTTTAACAGAATTGAAAGAAAAACGTGACATACAGAATATCCCTCACCAGGAGTTAGATTCACTTATGTCCCGTTTCATCACCGCAGCACGTCGACAAGATGGACGACAGTATGAGCCTCATACACTACGCTGCATGATAGGAAGCCTAGATCGATATTTGAAAATGCATAAATACCCTTATAATATTCGCTTTGGCGAATCGAGAGATTTCCCATTAACTAGAGAATCTTTAAATGTGAAACAGAAAATCCTTAAAAAGGAAGGAAAAGGTAAGCCATCCAAAAGACCTGCAGTTCTTACTGATGCAGATATAGAACATTTATATACATCTGGCATCTTATCTATGGACAATCCAACCAGCCTGTTAAATCTGATACTTTTTAATAATGGCATACACTTCGGCTTTCGTATTCGAGAACAATACGACCTCCGCTGGGGAGATATTATGCTTTTAACAGATACTGCGGGTAATAAATATCTTGAATTTAATGAACATCAGACTAAAACATGTTCTGGTGAAAATCCTGCAAACTTCAAGCGAGTGAAACCTCGTATATACTCTACACTGCAAATTCCTAGCAGAGACCCAGTTGCAGCTTATATAAAATATGCAAACAGTAGACCGAAATCTATGATGAATCCAGATTCTCCGTTTTATCTAGCACCAAATGTAAATTATAAACCATTACACTCTCGGTGGTTTCATTCAATGAAAATAGGTATAAACAAAATGCGTCGTCTGATGAAGCATATGAGATATGACTCTGTGTTACCACGAAACAAGAAACTAACTTACCATTCAACTTGGAAAACCACAGTCCAAAAACCAATGGAGAGTCATTTACAGCCTCCAGAAAAAAATCAAGTTTCTTCTCACAGGAGTCTGCAAAGAATCAACCATTACTCTTCTTTAACAGAGAGGAAGCAACACCAGAGATCTGGCTTTCTCCAAACACCTTCAACATCTGCTTCATCAGACAGTCTGCCCATCCAAACCATGCCTAATCTGTTCACCTCACCGTTTGCGGTGCCATCTGATTCCTCCGATACAATGATTTCCAAAAGAAACAGGTTAAATGCAGTTATCTGGGAAAACTGTCTGTTGAGGAACTCCGATGTAAACCTAAATGTTTATAATCACACAACTCCTGATTCTTACAAAAAACGTAAGAGAGAGATGTAGGACATTCAGAGTGACTTTTTTAACTTATTTTTTGTGTGTTCTAGTTGTTTAGCTGTTGCAATATTTCAGTTGAATTTAATATGATTAAAATATAAAACATCGCTACTAAATAGCTATTTTTATTTATTAATATTAAAACTTTCTTTAAATTATTCAATACTGTGTATTGTATGGAATTAATTACCTTACTCCCAATTGATAATTACGAACGATATAAGGTCACTGAATACCGAGATGACAGTCGATCTTGTCTTCTTAGGGTCCTGAATTTATATCTTTATAATATTCAGTTGGGGGTAGTAAATTCCATAGATAAGTGTTGTACGTAGCTGGATTGTGTGCCTCTCACATTTTCTTCTATAATAAATACGCAAATCTAGGTATGCCATTCCAGCTTTTGAAAGCTTTCAATTCCTTCAAACTGTGAGCTCATTTGAGCAGAATCGTCTTTTGCTTTTTGTTTGTATCTAAGCGTGTAATGTCATCAACTGCTTGTATATGTCTGCCCATTTTACAGTGTTAGAAAACATTAGTGTGTTGTAAAATAAACATATTCAGACATGTGAGGCACTGAACATTATTCACTCTGTATGGTAAAATGTGCAGTGCACACCCAGCTCTGAGTAATAAGAATCTTAGTCACTCATGAGCTGCTTAGGTCTCTAAATCAAATAAATCCCATTTACTTTCCTCTCAATTCTGACTTGGTTCTTATAAGACAGACAAAAAACAACAAACAGACTATACTCTTCTAATCAATATAAGGAATCTTCAGATATCACCATCAGAATGTAAATTTAATTAAAGAATTTTTGACCGGCTAACCTGATTGTTGCCCTGAGTCCTTCATATAATCTCTTACCCTTGGGTTATAGCCCTGTGCTCTGTATAGAATGAGTCTGAGTAGCTCTGTGCAGGTTGACTCATCACATACAGTTCCTCTGCACAAGGTTGCTTTATGATAGGTGTCTTGTTTCCTAAACAAAGGCAATGGGTTCAAGCTAAGGCACAACAGTATTTTGCATGTATCGTAAAGATAAGGGGAAAAAACCCCACTCTCTTGTTATAAAAGATACATTATTTCATGTTTTATACCTGGAGTGCATTAAGTAAACCATTTAGTATAACGCAACAGTAATTCATTCTGAAAACATGTAAATAGATGTGTTCATGCTTCGCCACCTTTCATTTGTAATGTTTATAAACCTTCTGTAAACATGTACAGGGTTATTTGCGAAGGTGAGAATTCAAAGGGAATTAAAGATCAATAGTCACACTGGAAAAAAGTAATGTATATGCTTGCATTTCATCTACTCTGGCTTTAATTTGAAATTCACTTTGAATTCTCACTTTAGAAAATAACTCTGCCAATTTCTATAAATCTTCTGTAAACATATAGTATCCATAACATATACATATTCCAAAGTATGAAGAGTTCGTAGATGAGTAAACATGCAAATGTAATACAGAAATTAAAGGGACACTAGTCACCTGAACAACTTCAGCTTAATGAGGTTGTTCAGGTGAGAACTATAGCTCCCTGCAGTCTCTCATGTAAACACTGTATTTTCTGAGAAAATACAGTGTTTATATTGAAAGCTAGGAACACCTCCAGTTGCAGTCACTCACAGTGAACCAGAGGGAGTTGGAGTAATATGCCTCCATCCACTCATCTGCTGTACACAGCATCCCGTGATTCAGTATATCCTCCCACTGCATGCAGACACTGAACTTTCCTCAGAGATTCATTGATTCAATTCATCTCTATGAGGAGATGCTGATTGGCCAGGGCTGTGTTTGAATCATGCTGGCTTTGCCCCTGATCTGCCTCCTTGTCAGTCTCAGCCAATCATATGGGGAAGCATTGTGATTGGATCAGGTTACAACTTCTGATGATGTCAGCAGACTTTTTTTTTTTTGGCAAACGACATGCAGAGTTACAGCTTCTGGCTTGAATACAGTAAGATTTTGCTATATTTATGGAGGCATGAGGTGCCCAGGGGGGGCTAGATGGTGGTGTTAACACTACAGGGTCAGGAATACAGGTAGTTGCACTGGTGACTATAGTGTCCCTTTAAAGGTATCATCATCTTTTCTCTTTAAGGTTTTTTTTAGGTGAAAATATGATTTCCCCCAAGAAATACTCTGTATCTTTTATAGTCTATTCCAAAAGTGAAGTGCCAAAAGTGATTATTGGCAATTTACATCTTTCAGCCCCTGGGACCTCACCTCCCTCTAGTCTTTTTTTTAAGGTCAAGTCGGTGCCACTGTGTGCCTTCACTACCAACACCAGCGAAACTGAAGGCCGATCAGATGCTCTCATAAGGTTCTCCAGTGTTGGTAGTGGAGGCGTGGACTAGGGCCAGGCAAACCCCAGATAAGAAAATGGTTTGACTCCTTACAATAATGGGACGTCATGATTCTTCTGGCATAAAACCACTACACTGAGCTTTAGTGGTAATGTTGCAGGGTGCTCCTGGCATCATAAACACTATATAGCAAGGTGTAGTGGTTACTGTTCTTGCAGTGTTCCTTCAATAATTCTGGATTTATTTTGCTGATGTTTGACTTATAGTTATTCAATCTGTAAGTGGCAAAATTATTTATGTATAGCATTTATCGATTTGTTTTTAGAACCATTATAAAATACCAAGGAAAATACACCGTCCCCTATATATGTTACAGAATTTCTAGAGTTCCAATCACACATTTTAGTGATTAATGTATGAAAAATTATGCAAAAACTATCTATAGTAACATGATGAGAAACTCCTTTTTTTTTTTTATTTCGCATTATTTATGTGTAGCTTCAGCTCCTCATTGTTACCATGTCTTTCTCCATTTATTTTAACCACACATTCTATATTGTTTTCAGGGGTTCACTCACTAAACTCTAAATTGTAGTAAATTGTAAGCTGCATGGCAATGTTTGGGCTCACTCAGGCAAGCTGTGACTATAGCCGAGTTGCAGGATGTTTTTTGTGTTAATTATCAGGTCTCAATTCCATACTGTTCAGAGTTTAGGGTTGTGATTGTCATATTGTATATTTCTACTAAAGCTACAATATACCTGTCCATATTAAAAAAAAAAAAATTATCTCAAAGTTCAGTCCTCAGGAAACCACACTATGCAGAGTATATTGGCAACCACAACAACACTGGAAGATTATCCAAAATTACCCAAATCTATGAATAGTATTTGCTTACGTAAGCAAGAAAAATTATTCAAACGTGAACTGTGAGAAATGCACGTATGATCAATAATTTAAAATGTAACGCATCACCTTGGCAATAGAAACATTACTATTTTAAGAGCTATAAAGTCACGTGAATTTATATCACCTGGTTATTGACATCTCAAGGTGAACTGTAATTATATCTTTTTTTTTTATTTTTTTATTTTTATAAATCTCAAAGTGGTCTTTGCATATGGCAGCCACATTAAAATGGAATCCACAACTGCTGTATAAATTAGGGCTCATTACTCCAAGACAACCACTTGACCATGCCGCAATACATTGGGAAGAAAAATCCATGACAAAAAAAAATAATACAATTCACCTTTGGCTCAAAAAACGGATGAGGTAGGACTATTGAGGTTGCTTGTCTGGGTCCTAGGCTCTCTAAACTGGAATATGTTTGATGTTGGTAAGTGAGTTTCTTATCCTTGTGACAAATATAATTTAAAAAAATGTGGAGTGCTATTTGATATCACTACAGGGTATTTAAATGGTTATGGCAACCAAGACACTGGTTTTGGTTCACCTAACCCTTTCTGACGTGGTCTGCCTGAAAACGTCACAGCACTTTACCCACTAATGGTACATAAATCGTGTGAAATACTGTTCACAGAGATCTATCCACTAAGCTCTATGACTTGTTTATGTTGATTTTATAATTACACTAAATATCCATCACATACACATATGTATAATTAGACAGACAAAAAAAACATATGCAAATATATCATGTGCAGCCTTGCAACTGCTAACATTTGTAGTCTACATTTCATGTAATGTCAATCCAACCTTAAGGACATAGAAGTTATATTTTATAAACTGCATTATCCCATAACACTAGTGCAGTGTAAGATCTGGATTATCAATATCAGAAAGGTAGTTCACAAACCTCCTCAGTGCCAGGTTTGCTACACTCAGTGATTTCCTCCTCACCCTACTAGAATAGTTTATAAAGTTTATTTTGTGGATTGAATTATGCTCAAAATATATAGCAAAATTGCTGGGTACCCGATATCAATTTTGCAAGTTTTTTTTATTGATGTAACAGTTACTGTTGTGGTGAAGCAAGGGGAAGATGATTACATGCAAGAAATACAATGTACAGATCCCAATACAAGTAAGTACATTTGATTTAAATTCTCTTGAAATGTCTTAACCCTTTAAGGACACAATTTCTGGAATAAAAGGGAATTGTGACGGAATATTTCCATCATGTGTCCTTAAGGGGTTAAACTTCAACAACCATATAATCTGACCTGCGCAGCAATTCCATACAAAAAGTAGAAGGTGCTGCCACGGACTTCTAGTTATGTATACCAAAAAACCTTTAACATACTTAGAGTTAATCATTTAAGTCTGAATTTTTGGGAATCCAAAGTGTATTTCCAATTTTTGGCCAAAATAGTCAAACTAAAAACATAGGCTTAAATATTTTATTTTTCCATTTCAGTTATTGTGGCCTAAATTGTGAAAAATTATTTTAATTCCTGAGAATTCAAACTTTGATTAATAACACTGTATCTACTGCAAATGTCACAAAGAATGTATGTAGGTCTGTGCCCTTATGAGTGACTGCTCTAAACCTTGTTTGTCAGAACCAGGTGAAACATGCAGCATCCTACCCAAAATGCCTCCTGTCATTTGGTTGAGCTTTACTACACCTTCTAACTCTATCACTGGAAAAAGGGGCAAGATGTGTCTCATATTCACACTTCCCAATTGTATCCTGTTTTCAGCTTGATTCAGATTTATGCCCTTTATTATTTGTATTATTAACATAAAACAATCTTTAAAGGAACACTAAAGGAAAAATAAAACTCACTTTTTAGTAGATGAATGTCAATGAAAACTTGCATGCATTTATTTATGATTTTTTGATGGTATATCGGTGGTGGCCACCCACGTAGGATCACAGGCTTCGCTGAAACGGAAGTCTTTTCCCCTCTCGCTGGAGCTCTGCTGCAGTAAATCCTGTAGTATTCGTAAGGAAGAATATATTTTCCTAAATAGTATAACCCAGAGCAGGTCTAACTTTCCCCCACAGACATTAGTCGAGACTGAATGCTGGGAGTGAACTGCTTTCATTAGTGGACACACAGCCTTTTATGCAAAGTCCCCTACATGGGATTTCCAATACAAACATACAGAGGTTTTTCTCCCAAGATCCTCTGTGCCTGAGAGATAATTGCCTGGGAAATAAATTATAATTAAATTATCTCTTAGGTACAGAAAAATCTACAATTTTTGTAACACCCCAAAACAGACACGTAACAACCATTTACCCCCTCAAGCCTTATATCCCCGGATAGCCTGGATCTGAGCGCACAACATATATGAAAAGCACTCAGATCACACGAACACAGCCAAAACACTACCAGGATAACGTTTTGACCGCCCGCCCACGAGACACCTGCCCAAAATAGTTCCAGGAGAAAGGTGGTGGTGGTCGGTCTCTTTTGGCAGTACGAAAACACAGAAAATACCGAACGGTATGCAAATAATGCCCCACATCCCATTGGTGGGAAGGATTCCACTGAACAATGTTCCTTCAATAATTCTGGATTTATTTTGGATTGCGTGGATCTGAGTGCCCAAGTTGTCCAAATAGTGCTCAGATCTTTGGACAGGCAAGCAGTGGTAGTTGGTGTCGTGGTGACTAACCTAATTTTGACATTCCATGATGCAGTTATATTTACATGATTTCAGCTTAGAAACAGTGATTTTGTAGAACTTTCCCAATTAATGCTTCTAGACCATGTGGTATGTCCTTAAATTCAGTGTTGGGTCTGTTTTTTTACTCTATCTCAGGGTTGCCCTCTTCACGTAAATGTATTTAAAACACATCTGCTTACCTGTAAGATGATCCCCTTTGAACATTGTAATAGCTTACGAATACTAATAGCCTCTACTAAGAGATCAGCCAGGAAATGATACATTTCAAATGAATGTTTACTGTCTGCATATAAAACTTTTTGTGGACTATGGATAGTTGGTCCTTTAATATTGCTAAAGTTTTAACTAGCAATAAGTGGTCCAGATGCTCATGTATTATTTTGTGTCCACAGGAGTTATAAATACAACTGACTCTTTGTAGACTTCTCATTATTAAGAATATGACTGAAGGCCTTCTCTGGTTGGTATGCTTACTCACCAATCCATAGGCAGGGCCAACTTATTATAGCATCACTACACACCCCACAAGAATGGTGACTTTTTTTTTTTTTAAATTCTTTATTTTTCTTGTGCATAAGAAAACATACAAGATGGGCCTGTAGCGCCACGACAGCTAGTACATGCGTTTCAATAGCAAACAGTGTCATAGCAGAGTAATACAGCACATTTTTTATATTTATGAGAGTAAACAGGCTAGGAATACTTGAGCAGGATTATAATAGCGTAATTAGTCTACGTATGGAAGCTTGTATATTAGTAATGGGGTTAGTTAAGTTTAACCGTAGTTTTGCTTATACAAAATGTCATGTGTACAATAGTGATTACAGGTTGAATAGTTAACCATAGAACCTGCGTGGTATAGGTACAGGTGCGTGAGGCCTAATGTTGCTGAGATTGCTGAGTAACTAGCTGAGAAGCTTGGCTGTCTCATCGGGTTGTGCCTATGCGACTATTCAATAGTTGCCCTCTAAATATACTTAGTTAAAGATTTACGCCTAATATGATTAGTCGTGGTATTTGAGCAGGTCTCTTATGAGAATAGGTGCAAGATTATGTGTGAACATGCTATGTATCATATGTTAGGCAGTGGTCTAATGTACAGGTAGACCTGGAGCACAGAGGTAGCACAAAATAATTAAAACATAAACAAATCAGAAATAAACCATGGACAGAAACATTCGGATGCCTTTGATTGCATTCACGTGGGGAAGTACAGTGAGGCTGGCATTAGTGAGTGCGAGTCCCATCCGTGACGGTTGCCGCTTGTGATCAGGACTCCAATGATGGTGCGGTTGCAAGAAGCTTGTCAGCGCTTAGCCAATGCCCGAAGTAGGAAATCGAAAGTCTTGCACTTCGGGGGCTAGGGAGGCTGCAGCATTCAGGCGGTTCAGTTGAGCATCCCTCCCGTCCCAGGCTGGTTGGTAGGCCAGCATCCTCTTGCCACGGACGTGTGGGCTCCTAGGGTCCCAGTCCTCCCCTGCATGAGGTAGACGGGAGGTCGTGGTGGTATTTCGCTGCCGGTTGCGGGCGATCCTCCGTCTGCGTGGGTGATGCCGTGGGGCTATGCCCGTTTCGGCCCTCGGCCTACATGATCTCTGATGAATAGGCTTGTGTATATTTAATGTGTGGGGGATCAGAGGGGGCCAACTCACCGCCCTACCGTGAACCTCCCTGTGTTGAATTGCTGCTGCGGCTTGACGGGCTTCCAGCTTAGCCCAGAAACGGTCGAAAATGTCATCCAGCTTCTTCTGCGTTATTTGCGCGGGAGTTAGCGGTGCCGTCTCAGACTGCGTGATGGCTGGTTCCCGCTGGATATTACAGGCCACCATTTTGTGAGCTTTGCTAGGTTGTAGTTTAGTGGGGCTGTTTTGTGCGTGAGACTAGCCAGGTCGGACCGAGATGACCCCCGCCGGTCCAAAGGGGGGGGGGAAACAGGGCTGAGAGAAGAGCTTGGGGTTGCACAGCTGCACACTGAGCGGGGGATCGTCCGCTTCCCCCGTCCTGGGCCTCACTCCTCCGACCTCCGTCGGCCGTGTAGTGTACCCGCGGGCGACAGACCCGGGGTTCCTCTGCTGGCTCCAGAGGTAGGTAAGTCTCTTTTCGTGGCGTTATGGCTGGCTGGCTGGCTGGCTAGATTCAGGCTTAGTTGAGGCATTGAGCTCGGAGCTCACACGAAGTGCGTCCAGCCGCCATGATGTCCAGGCCCCGCCCCCCCCAAGAATGGTGACTTTAGTAGTGAGCCAGCCTTCATCATAAATACTTTATGGTGCATATCTGCAGATGGCCATCTGGTCAACCTTGCAGACATTCTATCATTCTTACTCTTTATTTTTTTACTTACTGTGTCTGGCTGGAAATTCTACAGTCAGTTGTCTGCATTTGGACCATCTGTTTGTAGCTTCGTGGACATGTTTTCTTAGTTATTAGATCCTCCATGTTCATGGACGGTCATTTTATTAATAAAGAAAACAGAATTTATACCTTTTAAATTCTCTGTGTTTGTTGGCTGTTCATGAAGCCTCATCTTTTATTGTTTGGGTTTAGTGACTATCTGTCATAAATTGAGAATTTGGTGTAATATTAAAATATTTCCGATCACTTGTGGCATTTACTTATGTTAATTAAAGGAAAATTCCAGGCAGCATAACAACTTCATTGGAACCACAAACAAATGGTTTAACCCCAAAGTCTTGAAAATGGCACGTTTTAGCTCTACTTGAAACAGAAAGCATTGGTTCCTGTTTCAAAACTCAGGCTGCAGCAGATGTTCGTGGGAAGAACTAATGGGCGCCCAATTCAAAACTTTGGGTTTAAACTGTTTAATAGCTTAACCCCTTGAGGTAAGCAGGCACACAGGACCATTCTCACACCATAACAACAAAGTTATGATGAATTTGTTATTGTGCCGGTATGCCCCTTTAAATATAACTTCCTTAAAAGGCAGTAAGTTACAGTAAGTCTTGCTACGTTTCCAGGCACCAATACAACTTTAATGCATTTGACAAATTTTGGTCTCATTAATATGCGGTTTTGTTTTTCGATGTGGAAACTTATGCTGGACTATAAATTGGTTCCTTAGCTTTGCCCCATTAGTCCAGAGAAATACTTATTTATCAGTGTATATACACAACTCATTGATCATACTGAGTAATCTAAATTACAAAGCAGTCTGCATCATTTATAATATGCAATAAGCCACTTCATTGAATCCACAGTGAATCTGTAGGTAGTCCGAGAAACAGTAAGTCTATCACTACGTGTCTGTCTACTGTTTGTCTGCCTGGGTGTCTACTGCTAATGAAGCTACTATAGTTAATCCACATTCAAGCACACAGTATGAGAAGCAACAGACAGACACATAGTGATATGTTTATTATATATATCTGTGTAGATATCCTCTCCACCTAATGCAGGTCACTCAGTGCTGTTAGAGGTTGGGCTGAGGGTGTACATACATTGATAAGAAAGTTTTCTTCTGGCATGAGAGGGTGTGGCTAAAATACCACATATTAATTAAGTCAAACCCTACCACAAGCATTTAAAGTTGTAGTGGTAATCTGAGTTTTCCTTAAAGAAAAAAAAAAGCCTTTATATACATTACGAACATAATGCTAATGTAGTAAATTAAATCACGTTCATTTGGTCCCTGCAGTGAAGGCATGCCTTCAAAATTCGTCTGAAGAGAACAGTTTTGCAGTGGAGCTACCCAATATAAACACATTCCGAAAAACAATGTCTGACATACCCGTGACATACAGAATATCCCTCACCAAGAGTTAGATTCACTTATATCCCGTTTCATCACTGTAGTATGCCGACAAGATGGAAGACAGTATGAATCCGAAACACTACGCAGCATGATACGTAGTCTAGATCGTTACTTGAAAATGAACAATCACCCCTTAAATATTCGCTTTGGTGATTTGAGAGATTTTCCACTAACAAAAGAAACTTTGAATATGAAACAGAAAATCCTAAAAGAAGAAAATAGTAAACTCCCTAAAAGACGTGTAGTTCTTACAGATTAGGATATAGAACATTTATATACATCTGGCACATTATCCATGGACAATCCAGCCAGTTTGCTGAATCTGATACTTTTTAATATTGGAATACACTTTGGACTTCGAGTAAAAGAACAGAACGACCTCCGATGGGGGGATATTATTCTTTTAACAGACAGTGACGGTAAGCCAAAAACGTGCTCAGCTGAAAATTACACCAACATCAAGCAAGTCAAACCCCACCTATACTCAACGCCACACATTCCTGATAGAGATCCGGTTGCAGCCTATATAAAATATACTACATGTAGACCAGAATCTATGATGACTGCAGATTCTCCAGTTTACCTGGCTCCAAATGTAAACTATAGACCGCTATATTTTCAGTGGTTTCATACGATGAAAATAGGCACAAACAGATTACGACGTCTGTTGCAAGACCTCAAGTATGATTCTGTGCTACGTGACAAATGTAATCGGAAGCGTTTCAAATCATACATGTAACCTATTGTGTAGTAGCCGCAAGAGAGCTCAAGGAATACAGTGTTTTGAACAACATAAACCATAATTTATGGTGAAACTTTTTTTTTTTTTTTAAATGATTTGATTTGGAGCAACACAGACAATACAATCTGCTCTTTTTACGGAAAATATAAAAAAGTTCTTATTAATTTCTATGTTGCATCAAGCAAAAAAATACAAATACAAAAAAAAAAGGTAAAAACAAAACAGAGGTGGTGCACTGTAATCATCTGTATTAGAATTTATTTTGTTTAGAAAAGGAGTGAGATTGTAAGCTAATTTCTACAGGGTTCCCTTCACCTCTTTTACATGTTGGTACTATTTTATCTGCCAATTGTTAGCTATAATATATCCCTACTGTAAAATTGTAACACACTGTGGAATATCCTGGTGCTATGATAAATAGAATACTAAAAGTACAGTTGGTCAACAGATGTGTAGACACCTTATTATTTAAAAGATTATCTGCTTCCTGGTATGACAGGTATTTCTCATTCTCATTTCCATAATTCCAGCTTAATTCCCTCAACCATTACTGGCATAATTCTTCTTATTACCTTCTTTCTAAGCCCTTTGTTACAGTTCTCCCCATCTCATATTTCTTGCCCCAGTTAATCCATTACCTACTTTACCCTCTATTCCGATCTCCTCTCATACTCCATTCTATCCCCCCTACATTGTACCTCTCCTCCTAAGTTTGAGGTTGATGTATTATTTTTCAAACTTAATCATGTCACATTCTGGATATATTGGACAATAGGACAGTTATATGTATTATGAGGGAGCTTTCTGGGATTTGTAGTTCAGCTAACAGTCTTTATAAGAAGTATCTCATAACTGAACCACAATTTATAGAAACCCATACTCTGAGCAGAGTTGAGGCGGTGCACCGAATGTTACTCAATGTGCAAAAATTCAGACTTCACAGACCAGGCTCCTGATTGGCCAAACTACTTCCTGGCGTGGACAAAGCTGATCGCTGATGATGTAATGTCTGGGAGTATGCAGAAAAAGAAAGATAGAAGTTATTTTATTATTTTGGATTGCATGTTTTTTTGCATATTTTATTGCATTATCTGTGCAATATATTGGGAAAATGGATAAATACCAGCCTGGAGCGTTCCTTTAATCATACTCTTTTCTATTTTCTTAAAGTGGGCATAAGTTTTTTGTGTAGTTCAATAAAATTTGTATAATTTAATGTGCTTCTCAATTTTGTTTTTGGTTGATTCCATACTACCATAAAACAGAAAGTAACAATTCCACTATGTATACATCCACCTAATGAGTAATACAGAGTAATACAGAAGTATGTAACTTGTAAGAGACTTCACAGTACCATTAATTCTTCTGTCCAAGATGTTTGCAGAATTGGAGATCTCTTGCTTTGCTATATTTTAGTAAATCAGGCAATATAAGAGCTCTATCATTCTATGAATATTTGTGACATCATTACACGCTCACACTGTGCAAAGTACATTCAGGACATTCCGTATTCCCGTGTAAAAAAAATTCAAAAGCCCATCTGCACATGTGCAGCCCTAATTAGGGCTGGTCAGTGTGGCAACCAGTCAGCCAAGTGTGCATGTACATAATTCTGAAATTATTCAATTTTGGGCAGCCAATGAACTTTATGGACAAGTCCACCCCTATTCTAGGCAGGACTTCCATCCCAACCCCCTTTTCCACATCCACACCTCCCCAATTTTTGGAAGTGTGAATTCTTAATGTTGCCCCATCACCATTTCAGTCAATCTTTCTGCCAATTGGTTGTTCAGATTCAACGATATCAAAGATGAACTTGTTTCAGAAAAATTCCCATTCAGGAATTCAGATATTGATTTATATGTTTGCAATAAAACAACTAAAAAAAAAAAGAGTTGTAGAACACTGTTACAGATTTTTTGTTTTGTTATTTTTGTCTGTTTTAATATAGCTGTGTTAATATTTTATTTAATTTTAATGCTACTAAAAAACAAAACAAAAAAAACTATTAAAAACATGGGTTTTATTTAGTAATCTACCCTATTGTTTTTTCCCAGGTCATTCAGTAATGTGTATTGTAAGGAATTAAAATACCCCCAATCTTGGTAAGACTGTTGCAAGTTATCTTTAAATGGCATTTGACCTTCTTGGTGACTTGTTAATATGTACAATTGAGGGTAATTTATTCTATAAGTAATTATTGTATATATCTAGATACTGATTTTTTTTTGTCTCTCACATTTCTTCTGTATGAAATGCCCATGGCACATTGTTTAGGGAATGCCCCTTCTTCCCAATCCTAATGAATATTGGAGGGCAATAAGGACTGGCTGCGTTATCTAAACATTCTGAGACAAATAATGGGTTTTATAAAAGAGCCACCACAGCTCAGCTTGTCTCTTTACTGGGAGTTGGGGTGCTTGATATACATGTTGAGTAAAATCGAGAGGGGACAAGAGGGCTTCTGCAGTCATAAATAAACATATGCAGCAGTAGCGTTTAGTATGTTTGTAAGACTGAAAGTAGATTGTGAGCTCTTATGGGCAGGGTTTCTCCCACCTTTTGTTAGAATATTTCTAAGCTTGTAATGTCACCAACGTCTTGTGTACTTTTTCCTATTTTACAACGCTGTGAAATATATTGATGTTTCATAAATAAATTAATAGTAAATGCATAATAATTTGTAGCACGTCACCAATCTGCACTAGTCTATGTATATTTTGTAAGTAGTTGGAGGGCTATAGTGATCACAGAAATTTGATGTGGCTTGTAATAGCTTTAGTAGCGTAGAATGAAGGTATTTTATTCATTGTTATACACGGTTTAAAGGACCACTATAGGCACCCTGACCACTTCAGCTTAATGAAGTGGTCTGGGTGCCAGGTCCATCTAAGATTAACCCTGCCTGCTGTAATCTTGAAACTGCTATGTTTACAAATGGGTTAATCCAGCCTCTAGTGGCTGTCTCATTGACAGCCGCTAGAGGCGCTTATGAGCTTCTCACTGTGATTTTCACAGTGAGAAGACGCCAGCGTCCATAGGAAAGCATGCGCATTCAGCCGATGACGGCCAAAGGAGGAGGAGAGTCCCCAGCACCGAAGGAGCCCGCCGCTGGAGAAAGGTGAGTTTTTAACCCCCTTCCTCTTCACTCAGCCTGGCGGGAGTGGGACCCTGAGGGTGGGGGCACACTCAGGGCACTATAGTGCAAGTAAAACGAGTTTGTTTTCCTGGCACTATAGTGGTCCTTTAATGAACTTGGCTACTGTCTTCCAAGGGCTACTATCCAGCACTGGCCCCTTACAGCATGCATGTGACAGATGGAGAGGCCATAGCACTTAATGTGACATAAAGATTATTCATGATGCATGTTATACTACTGTAAATAATTATATTTTGGTTTTCATACTACAAGCATTTTGACAATCCATGATTAATTTATCCTTTCCTGCATGGCTCTATATCATATATAGCCATAATAAAAAAAGGTCTTACATGCACCTTTAATGAGCTGCTACTTTTATCCTTTTTTTATGTAGCATATCAATGTTTTGTTTTTTAAAATTTTAGAATAAATGCAAAAATGTATGTTTTGGGTATTTTGTATGATGTGATATTCTCAGGGCCTTATGTGTACATAGATTTCCTTGTTTTGTTTTTATTGTTACCTTTTTTCTTCCAGAACTATTTTCTAAATCAAGCAGAATTGTTTATGTATATTATAATACATGCGATTTGATATACCTTTTTGTATCCTATTGACGCAGAATTTGATGCTTCAATATAAATGATGATATAACACTTAAATATTTATCAAATAATTACATGATTGCTGTTCTTGGAATATTTGTTATCCTATAGAAATATGTTTACGTGTTATATAAGAAACAAAAAAGTTTTCTCAAATTGAGGTGCTATCTAGAATATTATTTTTCTAATTTTCTCCTTGAGGTTGAAAAGCTTTTTGAAGAAATGCAAGCAGTACCTGCTGCTGTAGTCTATGGTCCATTTCTTCTAACCCGCAGCGTTCTGTGAGTAGTGAAGAAAATTCCATGGATTCTGGGGATGATGACACCATTAAGAGACCTTATGGTCCATGCTTCTTCTATAACCAGGACCAAGCTGTGACCAGTGAAGAAGAGAACTCTATGATTTCTAGGGACAGTGACGCAAATGAGCGATCTTACAGTCCATGCTTCCCATACAACTTACGGCAATCTGTGACTAGTGAAAATGACAATACTACAGAGTCATTCTCAGAAGAAAGCTCAAAACATAGAGCAGGGAAGAAAACCTATTGGTGTTCGTACAATAACTGCATAACAATGGAAACCGATAGAGTCAGTTTGCTGTTGGGAGATTAGTACACTTCAACGTACTCCAGAGGACTGTCATTGTGTTACAGAAAACCCTGATTTAAATGAATTTTGTTTAAATGGGGATTACGTGATTAGAATCTATCTCATGTTTGGACTCGCTAAAGAAAATCACACTCTTGATGTTTAAATGCTTCACTTCTATTTAATAAAATATATAAAAAAATTTAGGACTTATAATCTTTTCTTCTTTTTTTTTTTTTATCACTTTCCGAAATTTGCGGAAGTTGGCGTACAGGTCGTTTATAGCGTGGCTTTATACATATCTACGCACGAAAAATCGGAAAGCAATTCCCTCGCGTGCTGTGGCTAAGATAAGATCCAGAAGGCAACCATGTTGGCATAAAAATTGCTGGGGACTACAATGCTGAAGAAATGGCATTATATTTGTAAATTGTTGTTGCTTCTTTTTTTAATACATATTCCAAAATATATTTTTCTAATAAAATATTATGATCGATGTATGTGGTATTTTAATAAATATGTATTTTTTTTTCTTAACAGGAAAACATAAAAAGTGATAAAGTGATAATTTATGAATTCAAACTGACTTAAAAAAAATAAAATCCAATTCAGAATTCATTAAAGGGACACTATAATCATCTGAACAACTTTAGCTTAATGAAGCAGTTTTGGTGTATAGAACATGCCCCTGCAGCCTCACTGCTCAATCCTCTGCCATTTAGGATTTAAATCCCTTTGTTTATGAACCCTAGTCACACCTCCCTGCATGTGACTTGCACAGCCTTCCATAAACACTTCCTGTAAAGAGAGCCCTATTTAGGCTTTCTTTATTGCAAGTTCTGTTTAATTAAGATTTTCTTATCCCCTGCTATGTTAATAGCTTGCTAGACCCTGCAAGAGCATCCTGTATGTGATTAAAGTTCAATTTAGAGATTGAGATACAATTATTTAAGGTAAATTACATCTGTTTGAAAGTGAAACCAGTTTTTTTTTCATGCAGGCTCTGTCAATCATAGCCAGGGGAGGTGCGGCTAGGGCTGCATAAACAGAAACAAAGTGATTTAACTCCTAAATGACAGTGAATTGAGCAGTGAAATTGCAGGGGAATGATCTATACACAAAAACTGCTTTATTTAACTAAAGTAATTTAGGTGACTATAGTGTTCCTTTAAATGCAGTTCATATGCAAATTGAGGGGAAAACTTGATCTTCAGACAAATTATCCACAAATAAAGGGACAAATTATGAACTTTCCATTTGATACTACTTTGTGTTGTAAATTGAAATCCTGAACGTTGGTGTATAAATGTTTAAAATAAATTAATAGAATTGGAACACAGGGCAAAACTAATTGTTTAGGAGTCCCCAGGATCCCCATTTAAACTGAAGGGAAGAGTTTATTTAGGCATAACTAACTAGCAGTGTATTTGTTGGGAATGTGTTGGAATGTCAAAGGTTGGACAGCTTAACTGAGGGGTACTTAGCAAAGAGTGTAATGTGTGTCAATATGTTTGTATGGGTCACTGTCTGTGGGTGTCAGTATATTTGCATAGGCCACTCTTTGTTAGTACATTTGTGGGTTAGTGTGTGTATCAGACAGAAGCTGGTGTGTGGGTGAGCTTTGAGTGCTAGATAAAAGTAAGGTTTCCATTGATGAGGCTGTACCTTATCGACTTACCCCTGGGCTCCACATGACCTTGCTATGCCTTTCAACCAGTTGTCAAGAAGGCTAGTATAGTACCATAGAGTAGCACATCATAGCTTATGGGGGGAGGGGTGCACCTAGGGAAGTAAAGGTAAAATTAAGCCAAGCATCCCTCAAATTAAGAGCTGACCACAACCTTACCCTTCTAACATCAGGAGTCCAAAAGCTGCATGAATTAAACTTGGGCAAATAACCAAAGAAAAAGAGCCCTGCAGATAATATGCCAATAAAATAAAATGCACGGTTTCCAATAATATAGAAAATAAGTAAGTTGAGATAAATGCACTTTAAAAGCAAAAGCACAGCAAGTTATAGACCAGTGATGGCGAACCTAACGGCAGGCGCCTACTCTGCTTCAGTGTCGGGAGGCAGGGGGAGGGATCCCCTGATCGTTGCCGCATGTTACCATGGCAATGCTCCACACAGCATCGCGCGGGAGGACAGGGGAGCTGCTCCCTACAATCCTTACCACCACCGAACCACCAGGGATGGCTGTGTCCCCCCCTCCTTCATCAAAGGTAAGAAGGAGGGAGGGGGGATACAGATTTAGCATACTTTTATTTTTTTTTTATCACCCGCTCCCCCCAAACAGCACCCTTACACCCCACAACCAGCACCCCGACACCCAGCACCCTTACCCCCCACACCCAGCACCCCTACCCCCCCCACACACAGCACCCATACCCCTACCCCCGCCCAGCACCCCTATCCCCCACACAGCACTCCTACCCCTACCCCTCACAGCACAGCACCCCTACCTTCCCACACAACACAGCACCCCTCACACACACACACATACACTGCACCCCGCAATGCAGTATGTGTGCGTGTATTTAGCAGTCTGTGTGTGCGTGTGTATGTATTCAGCGGTTTGTGTGTGCGTGTGTTTGTATTCAGCAGTCTGTGTGTGTATTCACTGGACTGTGTGTGTATTCAGTGGACTTTGTGTGTGTATTTATTCAGCGGACTGTGTGTGTGTGTATTCAGCAGTCTGTGTGTGTGTCTTCAGCAGTGTGTGTATTCAGTGGACTGTGTGTATATTCAGTGGACTGTGTGTGTATGTATTCAGCAGACTGTGTGTGTATTTATTCAGCAGACTGTGTGTGTGTGTGTGTGTATTCAGCGGACTGTGTGTGTGTGTATTCAGCGGACTGTGTGTGTGTGTATTCATTGGACTGTGTGTGAGTGTGTTCCATTTGTTGAAGATACTAATAAATATATTTCTTTTAAAAAAAAGTTGTCATTTATTGCGGTTTGGGCATTCGGGCTCAAAAAGGTTCGCCATCACTGTTATAGACCAATGGTGTATCTGGATTGATAACTATATTAGAGCACAAGGCCCCAAAAACAGATTATGGGTAATTTAAAACTTAAATCTGCCAGCAAAGAGTTAGCAGTAAGAGAGCATAGAATAGGTAAACCTAGGTCCTCAAATGCACACAGTTCAAGAGACTTTTACTAGCTGATTCCTTACTTATGGCATGATGAACCCTGTACAAAAAAGTCCAGAGATGATCTTAGAAGTGGACTGGTTGGTATATAATAAGATATGTAGAAGTGGGAAATGAATTCGGATTCAGTAGATGTATCTATTATAAACTAGTCCAAGTGCTGGCAAAGGCAAGAACAAGAACATAAAAGATGTTTCACACGTTATTCACTTGACTAGAATGGGGCAGTCCGGGCCCCAAAGCTGGATGGCTACTTAAATTAAAATCACTTGATATCTGGCCCATTGACATACTGTGGAATAGCCTACATAACATCTACGATTGTTTGTCAGCCATTCAAGGCCCTGGCGAGTCCCCTGAAAAGAAGCAATGCCCATTGCACATACTTTCTTGTGGGGAGCTTCCACCCTGATGTTTTGCAAATTCTGGTAGCCATCATTAGCATCGAACATCGTTGCTCATCGGAAGATATGATCTATGGAAGCTCCTGCAGTTTCATGGGATTGTTCATATACATCAGTATTTTACATACACACACACTGACATACACACAGACATACATACTGACATACACACAGACATACGTTATGGTTGTCACCCCCTGATCGCGGCCCTGGTCAGAAACATAAACACACACAGATACACACTGACACAGAGATACACACACTGGCACATATAAACACAGATATACACACCTTGACACACACCGGCACATACAAACACAGATACACACAATTTGAAACATAGATACATACACCTTGACACACAGATACACACTGTGTGTTAAGATGTGTGTATCTGTGTCAGTGTGTGTATCAGTGTGCCACTATCTGCCAGTGTGTGTGTATCTGTGTATCAGATTCATACACACTGGCACATACAAAGATACATACACACACAGAAACACACTGTGTTAAAATGTGTGTGTGTATCTGTGTGTCAAAGTGTGTGTATCTTGCAAACACACACAAGATACACACCTTGACATACAAAAAAATAGCACCTTTTTTGGGGAGGGAGGAACGGTTCAATAGGAAAAATATAATTATATATATATATATATATATATATATATATATATATATATATATATATATATATATAAAGGCATCGTGAATACTGGTTATAGATAGATAGATAGATAGATAGATATCACCAGTTTGCACAATTTATTTTTTTAAATGCTGCATTCATTCTGTGCAGGGATTATTAAAATATTTTCACAAAAAAAAACAATGTTGCCAAAAAAAAATTATATAATTTTTTTTGTGTTTTTTTTTTACTTTCTTTCTTTAGCTCCCCCTTGTATAAGTTGTTCTTCCTTTTTTTTGCTGTTTAGTTGTTTGTTTTTGGTATTTGTGTATTTTACAAACAGTATTACCTGGATATTTTTTTTTTAATAATCTCTGAATGAGACAATCCCACCAATTGCTTTGTAAACCGAGCCTGCTTTCACTGCCGTGGTAGGAACCTTTCTCGCCGTTCTTACCCTACCCTTCCAAGAGCCTGGAGCTAGGAACGCTGTTTATCTGAACTTTGTAGCACCGGGGACCTCATTCACAGCAACACACTGGCGCTCAAAGCACAACAGGAAAGCGTGTCGAATGGTTGATTTTATGTTTTAAATATTTTTTTGCACACCGGAGGTAGGTTATGTTCCAATTAACCCTCACTTTCTATAAACATTCCATGCTCAGGGCTCTTTGTGGCCAGCTAAGGCTGATATTAATTAACATTGTTATAGACAAGATCTGCACTGTGATATTAGCCAAACATCTCTCAGTATTTACTAAGTGAACTCTCCAAGCACCATAACCACTGCAGCACATATATATATATACAGCATGGTGCTGGGAGGCCATAGATACAGCCAGGTGGTTAGACCACAATAAAAGGGATTCTTTGTTCACACTCCATGCATTAAACATTGTAATGAGGAAGCTTCCATCCTTATCTCTTTGGAAATTCAAAGTGAATTTGAATTTTTTGTGTTTTCAGGTTTTTTGTTTTTGGCCTAAACTTTGTAATTTACTTTTGATTTTCCAGCAGTTCATACATTAGTGATTGCAAGTGTTTCCCACCGATTGGGGTCAGGGAATTCTCTGATTTTGTAAAATCTGTTCACTTCATATAAAATCAACAACTTTTACTTAATTTGCCTTGTCATGTTTGATTTATTTATTTGGAAGGAATAGCTCAACTGTTAGATTTTAAAATTTAAAACATGCTCTGAGTACAGGCAAGTATTTGTTGCAAGAATATTTTTCAGGCTAGTGTTGGATTTGCCATAACTCCCCCCCCCCCTCTATCTTTCTCAGTAAGCGCTATGCAGCTCCACATGGATTTGTGAGATAGTTTATTAACTGTAAAATATGCAAAAGTGTGAGCGCTCCTTAGGTAGTAAACAATCAAAATAATATTTAATAGGTATATATAAAAGACACATGTATAGGACTCCCTTAGCTCTAAAAGGCTCATTCATAGAAATGTGGGCTCAAAAGATAAATAAAATTCATAATACAAATACTCAGCGATATCTCTGGTAACACTGCCGTAAAAGCACAACTGTTACTCGCTGGAATCTAATATATAAACACTGTAACAAAAATATTCTTCACAGCAATGAATAGCAAGATGGGGAATCTCACCTAAACGGTGGAATGAACAGTGTACTAAAGCCAACAAAACATAAGACATTTATACCACAGTATAAACAGTTTAATAATACTGGAATAAAGTAAAATAGACTTATCAAATACGTGATAGAGACAGCAAACTAGTACTTATACATGGGGGGGCTATGAGGGCTCTCTCCACAAGTCCAGAATGATGGTCTATGCAGATGTGTGCTAATCAATAAGGTATACAGCGAGATCAACCCCTCTGTCCTTGCCTGTGGTGTAACACCCGATGTGCACAAGGTTACGTATGACAGGGCACTCTCACTTTTGCATATTTTACATTTTTGTACTATTTCCTAGTCGCCCTTATGTGTGAAGCAGCCCATTTTGTGACCTACGCTATTTTCTTTTACTAAAAGTTTATTACTGTTTGCTTTTTTTGTTTATTGAAAGGGATACTGTAGGTTATATAAGAATTTAATTAAGTTGGTTATAGTGCCTGGAGATCCCTGGCACTGTTTCTCCATTCAGTGTTAAAGGAACACTATGGGTACTAAAACAACTTAGCTTAAAGGGACACTATATTCACAAGAACCACTAAAGCTCATTGTAATTGTTCTGGTGAGTATAGTCTGTCCCTGCAGGCATTTTCATACAAACACTGTTTCATGCAAACAATGTAGGCATTTTCATGCAAGCAGTGCCATTTCAAATTGTGTTTAATCGTTGATTTTATTTTTTAAATATTTTTTGCACACCGAAGGTAGGTTATGTTATGTTCCAATTAAAGGGACACTCCAGGCACCCAGACCACTTCTGCCCATTGGAGCCATCACCCTTAACCCTGCAAGTGTAATTATTGCAGTTTTTATAAACTGCAATAATTACCTTGCAGGGCTAAGTCCTCCTCTAGTGGCTGTCTATCAGATGTGTGCTAATCAATAAGGTATACAGCGAGCTCAACCCTTGCCTGTGGTGTAACACCCGATGTGCACAAGGTTATGTATGACAGGGCACTCTCACTTTTGCATATTTTAAATTTTTTTACTATTTCCTAGTCTTAAGAAGCCACTAGAGGGACTTCCGGCTTCTTAAAACACGAAAAGTGTCACCGGCATCCCCATAGGAAAGCATTGTTACCTTGTTCCCTTTTTTCCATAGGAAAGCATTAAATAATGCTTTCCTATGGGGAGGTCTAATGCGCGCCCATTGCCGCGCATGCGCATTAGGTCTCCCCCGCTGGCTGACATCGGCGGGGGAGGAGCGTGGGCGGAGCCTGACTCAGCACCGAAGGATATTGCCGCTGGATTCAGGTACGTCACTGATGGAGTTTTGACCCCTTCAGCAACATGGGGTAGGAGGGGGGAAAACGGATATGTCCCTTTAATAATAGTTTTTTTTTTGTGCAAAATGTAAATTGTTTTTTGTTTGTTTCTGTTTTTATGCATCCCTGCAATTTAGTGAAGTTTGACATTCATATATGATGTTTATAGGATCGTGCAAAAATAGTTTTTTGTATGTAGACACAAATATGTGCTATAATGCAGAACTGCTGCTCCACAATCAAAAGGTAGCTTTGAAGAGTGATGCCAACTAGACCTCTGCATTAGTTATTTTCAGCTGCTGTGAACAAATCAAATTCCATTTAATCTACGCCTGGACGACTTGATCTTTCAGGATTTACCTGTGGAGTTTTAGTCAGTGACTGAGATTCCACAGGTAAATCCCAGGCAAATCAATTAATGTGGGCGTTAGATTAAAATACATTTGTCGTTTGGACCACCTGACACACATTAATGCCAATTACAATTAATTGTAAATTAATTAATCAAAATTGATAGAATTACATAGCTGTTCATGCAGGAGTATGCTTTGAAAAATGTCCTGTCTTTTTAATGATATTGAAGTTTTAGATTTTTTTTTTGTGTCCCCCTGCCCCCCCATACAGCGGCACCTGTTCATGTGACATCATTTGGATAAGAGTGAAGTTGGACCTGGACACGTAAAATATGGCTTTTCAGGTAAATATAATTAAAAGTTTACTCTATAATCTATGTACGGAAAAAAACATTTGAATGTAGTATATATTTTCCTCTAAAAATAGTTTGTAATTTAGATGTTCAAGGACTAAAGTCACCCACTTAATCTCAGTAAAGTGGCCTGGCTACAGTGGGCCTATCCTTTTAACCCTGTAGTGTAAAACATTTATTTATTTTAGAAACTGCATGGTTACCGTATACATTTTGTCCAAGATGTGCATGTGATGATATCTGCACACATCCTAGTTTACTGAACAATAAATATTTAACAGGGCTATTTTACAGAAACATCAAAAAACATCCTGCTTGGGTACATTAACATCAGAGTTCTGGCATGAAGGTGTGTCTGGTGGGTGCCACTCCACCAGCCCCAGGCACAACATGAGCCTTCAACCTCTGCCCTTGGTTCCGGCAACATTTAATGGTCAACAACAGGGCTCCTGGATATGATGTTCCGCCTAGGTTTAGGGCAGTGGTTCGACGGATAACCTCTTGGGGTTCAAAGCCCAGGAAGGCAGGTGTGGGGACCATTCTCAATTACCCAGTGCAGAGGCTCGGCTTCCGGAACAGATGTCCAGTAATAGGAGCTGTAACCAGTAGACGCCATAGCTAAAAAAATGCACCCATGAACAGGCAGAGCAGCTTTGCCCATTTTAGGCCGCATAGTCACCATTTTGTTGGTCTGTTGTGGGTGTCCAACTGCTGGGTGGGCTTGCAGGTAATCTGTACTGTTGTCAGCACCCTCCAGTGGGGACCGAAATAAACTCCACCGGTCCATGGAGGGGTCGAGGCTTGTGAGGAGTGTCAGAGCTGTTGTATGACAGCAAGGCAGCGGCCGTTCGCCCCGCTCCTCTCCCGAATAGGCCGCAGGCTCCAAAGTTTCAGAACATCCATATGGGCCTCAAAACTCCTGGTCTCAGAGTCCACAGTAGCACTAACAACTACTTTCATGCTTAGTGAGTTCACACAGCATAAATATTCGCATTAATTCCTGAATTTCTGCATAAAAAGGCAAGATTCTGCATGAGCCTTTCCAACTTGAGACCGATCAGCATGGCAGGCAGGCTCTGCCCCCCTGTATCCTTTTTATAACATTGTGTCTCATCAAGGAAGTTGTTTTTTTTTAATGCAAAGCATTTAACAGGGCCATGTGTAAACTGCTGCTGCAATTAGTTTATAGAACGGTTTCACGTATCCTGTGTGATGAATGGACTTGCTGCTGGAGTAGAAACTACTTCTCTAATAACCCGGTGCTGGTCCACAGTTTGGATCTCAGAAGGAGGAGTAAGAGCTCAACTCAGATTGTGCCTACAGCGTGCAGATACCACACGCACCATTTTAACACAACATTCGGCAGTCAGAGTGAAGTGTTTCGGTTGTGTCATTGAAAGCTCTGAGAGGCTGTTATAGAGCTTTAGAGAATTTTACAATGCATAAAGTGACCGCAACTGCAGGTGGTGTTAGGCAATAGTTTAAACTCAGAAAATGCAGAATTTACACTGCTGTGGTTGCAGGGGCAGTCTCTATGTCCTGAAACCACTACATTAAGCTGTAGTGGTTCTGTTTCCTTTAATTTAGAATTTCTTCTCTCCTACTCTGTATAGAGCATGCAACAGACTCCTGTATGTGATTTAACATTAGAGAAGAACTTCTAAAGTAAACACACGGTGCTGTTAGAAAATAAAAAAATTTTCATGCAGACTGTGAGTCACAACCGGGTGAGGTGACACTAGTGCTGCATAAACAGAAGCAAAAGTGATTTAACTCCTAAATGAGAATTGAGCAGCAGGGGCATGATCTGTACACTAAAACTGCTTCATTAAGCTAAAGTTATTTTATTGTTTAGAGGGACTCGTTAAACTAAAGTTGTTTTGATTCTTATTGTCCCTTTAGTAAGTTTATTTGGGCAGCACCCTCTTTTCAGTGGGCTGTAGTGGTGTTGATACTTGGAGTAACCCTTTAATATGAAATTTTCCTTTTGAAAAGAAAAAACTTCTACATAGGATTTTATGAATGTCCTCTAGCTCTTGATGACCTGTTTGCTGTTGGACACGATAATGCTGGCTATTGATCGGAAGCCTTAAAGGGACACTATAGTCACCAGAACAACTACAGCTTATTATATCTGTTCTGATGAGTAGAATCATTCCCTTCAGTTTGGCTACTAGAGGTGCTTCCTGGTGCAGTGCTGCACACTGTGCAGTACTGACATTCAGTGTCTGCACCCTCTGCATGGAGACACTGAACTTTCCTCATAGAGATCCATTGATTCAATTAATCTCTATAAGGAGATGCTGATTGGCCAGGGCTGTGTTTGACTTGTGCTGGCTCTGCCCCTGATCTCCCTCCTTGGCAGACTCAGCCAATCCTATGGGGAAGCATTGTGATTAGCTCAGACCACCACTTCTGATGACGTCTGCAGACTGCAGGCAGTTAAGAGGCAGACAGGGGCAGAGCCAGCAGCTGCAGACTTGAATACCAGTAAAATGTTACTATATTTAGGGAGGCAATGGGTTGGGCAGGGGGACTAGATGATGGTTTTAACACTATAGGGTCAGGAATACATGTTTCTTGCTGACCCTATAGTGCTCCTTTGAAGATGGCTGCTCATTGAGCAACAGTAGTACAGGTCATGCACTGAAAAGGCAAAAGGTAGGGTGTGTTGTGTGTGTATACAAACATACCTTATGATAAGACCGATGTACTTTGTTATCCCTATTAATTGACACTTTGTTTTGTTCCTGTTTCATAGGTACCTGTTGTATTCAACGATGTTGTGGCCTCATTTACAGTAGAGCAGTGGATAAACCTGGCAGGTTGGAAGAAGGAGCTCTATCACAATGTAGTGAAAGATATCCATAAAATTCTAAAGAAACAAGGTGAGTCTTCCTATTGACAATTGTTACAAATATAATAAAAATCATCAAGGTTTGCTTAATGTTGACCTGACAGCCTTTCTGGCGCATTTTATATGTTTGTTAATTGTGCAGAATAAATAAATCAGAAATGCGAAGAGGTTTGAATGTAAGAATTGTTTGCAAAGCTGTCATAGTACCATTTGTTTCCCAACATATTTAAACTATCATTATACCTTTTATTAAAGATAAAGGTATCACAACTGAGGGATGTGAGGTCAGCGACAGTTCTCATCCTTCAGCATCGAGCTGTAAAGTTAAAGAAAAGACAGGTGCTCACATAATGCAGGCCTGACGTTTACGTATTTTCATTGACCGACTGTGGTGATGCAATATCGTTTGCTGGAAGACGCGCATGCTCAGTTGTTGCAGTGTGTAATATTGTATGCCGAAGGCTGCGAGCCATTGTCTCAATTTTCTGGGTGTTATAGGAGTTATTGTCCAACAAAAAGCTAGAGGCCAGATGCATCATTGTAATTACTGGCTTTGGCTCCTCATGTGTTTCTGAAATGTAGTTCTGGGATGTTAAGGTTATCCATAAGCACAGCCAAAATAAATCAACTGGGTTCATTAGTTTTATTTATTTATAGGATTTGAATACTATTCATAGTGCTTTCAGTCCCACACTGGTTCACTGCAGCACATAGGACAACAAGGAAAGAGACTTTCATGGGTCTGTCATATAATAACCATATAATAACCATACCAATACAAATATCTCACCCCCACTAAAGTTCTCTTTCTTCAACCTAACAGGACTGCCCTGTCCGTGTTATTAAGCTCAACATTACTGATCTGGTCCGGTCAGTTCTAGTGGGCTGAATAAAGATGTTTTGCAGCAGACTAGGACTGATGATTTTATTTGCTTCATTTTGAATAGTTGGGGTGGACCACATTAATTAAAGAATTTTGAAAACCTGCTTTAATTTATTTTTAACAAATAAATCATGTTATTGCTGTTGCACATTTGTTTATTAATGTTACATTTATATTGCTGTGTTCTTTTGCCAGGCTATACGATTATTAATCCAGATGTTTTATTCAACATCCAAAAAACTGATGAATCTTGCATTCGCATTGACAGTTCACTTGCAGAAAGGGAACCTGATGTTGTTAGAGGTAACGTAATTATTTTTAGCATTAATATCTTTCATATGTTTAACATGAAAAAGCTATGGAATATACTGCTGTTTGTAACATGTATATTAATCTTTATACATTGGTCCGTGAACATCAATAGGGAAACTAATTTTCTTCTCCAATTATTTGATATGTAACTTAAAATTTTCATATATATATGTGTATGTATGTCATATATATTATTTTTTTTATATATATATAATATATATATCGTGTTTTGTTATTGTACTGCGGAGTGTGTGTGTGTGTATATATATATACACACACACACACACACACACACATATTCCACAGTGCTGTGCAATAATCAAACAAGACAAGCAAGTTATTCTAACAAAACATGTATGACTTACTGAAACAGTAGGTGAAGAGGGCCCTAGTGGAGCCCCAAATGAGCTTATAATCAAAAAATCTCTGCCAGTGAGCTGTTAATAAGCTCACTCCCACAACTCCAATATAGTCTATACATCTGTGAAAAATGCATCTATGTATTAAGTTAAACACACATTTCAATGGTCACAATATGGAACATAATTATCTAATGACACACCTGTCACAAACTGCCTCTGTGTTACATTCAACCTGTGATGTAGCCAAGAACCCATCAAATTATTATTATTTTTTTTTTATCATTAACCTTGCTATAACTGCATTTTAAAGGGACACTATAGTCATTAGAACAACTACAGCTTATTGTATTTGTTCTGGTGAGTATAATAATTCCCTTTAGGATTTTTGCAGTAAATACTGTCCTTTCAGAGAAAAAGCAATGTTTACATAACAACCTAGGGGTACCTCCACTGGCCACTCCTCAGAAGGCTGCTAGAAGTGCTTCCTGGGGCAGTGCTGCACAGTGTGACTGACATTCAGTGTCTCCACTCACTGTCTCCACTGTGCATGGAGACCTTGAACTTTCCTCATAGAGATTAATTGATTCAATTCATATCTGTGAGGACATGTTGATTGGCCAGGGCTGTGTTTGACTTGTATTGGCGCTGCCTCCTTGACAAGCTTAGCCCATCCTATGGGAAAGCATTGTGATTGAAGACCACTTCTGATTATGTCAGCCAAGCAGGCAGATCAGGGGCAGAACCAGTAGCAGCAGACGGCAATAAAGGTAAGATTTTGCTATATTTAGAGGGATAAGAGGGGAAGGGCAGGGGGGCTAAATGGTGGTTTTAACACTGTAGGGTCAGGAATAGATGTTTGTGTTCCTGACCCTACAGTGTTGCTTTAAACCCAGCATTGTGAGATTAAAGTAAACCTGTCTTGACAAGTTAACTTTAATTGAAATCCTCCCAAAGGTAATTAATATATTATTATTGATTAATTGTAAATTGTTTGTGCAGTGCCTCTGTCTGAAGCTCTGTCACTCTGTTCCTATGCTCCTCTAGGCAACACTAGAAATGCTGGCTATGCAGTAACCATACCATACTCCGGTTACTGTGCTGGAAAGCATGTTGAATTGCACCTGTAGGAGGTCTCTTATGCTCTCCCTGTCAGTCACTTCTTTGGCAAAGAAGTCTGTGCCAGCTATGCTGAAGGATTGATTGACAAAGGTGAGAGAGGCTTTTCTCCCAATCCACACATTTGCTATAATGTGTGTACATTAAATCTAATTTAGTGTGCCATGAAAGATAAACCTAATTGATGACATCACGGTTTTAAACCTATGACTTTTTCTTACTTCAGTGGACTTACTGACAGAATAAAAGTTTTGTGAAATTTAGATTTCGATCACTTTGATAACGGTTGTGCAAGATTGTCTGAAAGTTAAAAAAAACAACAACCAAAAAAAACCAGTTATCGATCAGTAGAATACTGATGCCAGATTGTTAGAAAGGCCCGAAGCCCAAGAACGTAATAATTTCAGTTTTTCCCTAAATGCTAAATATGAACTGCTACTCCCGTATGGTCAGTATGTCATAACTGGAGGTAGGAGAGGTTGATGGGAGTAGCCCTTTCTTGAGCTAAATTGTAGAAAACACTGCATGGAATGCTCATTATGTAGGTGAAAACATTGGAAATTTACTATTTCATTTCAGATTTGTAATGTGTCTGCTGCAAGCAATCCTTTCCTCACTTTTAAGTAATAACTCCTGAAAACCTATTTTATATTACTTTCTAGATGTACCTGATCTGTTGCTAAGGATAAAAGAGGAATCTGCAGAAGAAGCTCACTGTAGTACTGAAAAACCTAAAATCAAAGAGGAGCGTGATACAGCTTTGCCTCCCAAATGTGAGTGTTAATAGTACATTATGTTATGCTGTATAAAAGAAATGACTTTACAGTTTTGGAACCATACCGCCCCTTTTTTTTTTTTTTGTATCTATCAACTTGTCTGTTCATGTAAGGCTATTAATTGGAAAGTTGAGAGATATATGTAGTTGCTCTCATTGTAAGCAATTGCAGGACTAAGATTGGCTGAGATGTCGTTGCATATGTCACTGCAGGACTAGATGCTAAGGATTTGCTACAAATGGGGAATACTCAGGAGACAAGTATTTTTTTTGTTAATTTATGGGGTTTTTTAAAGGTAGTCTGTGGGCACCGTAAACTGATATGTACCTTTTTCATTTTTATTAGTGGGGCGCTAGTGGGCTTGTCAGTAGGCATCTGGACCTAGACTTTCTGATATGAGCTTTGGACCAACCAATTAAGTAGCTAGGCAGTACAGTTGGGTGTTGTCTTTGAAAGTTTGAGGTTCAACTATTGATTATTGGTTTATCACCAAAAGGTAAGATGGTCCCCAGGATCTAATCACACCATAATTATTTAATTGCAATTAAGTTGTTATGGTTCTCAGAGTGTTTTTTATTTTATATTTAATGAAGTATTCGTTTTTATCACCTGTTTCTTTGCATTTACATATTAGAAATAAAAATCCTTTTAACAAATACAAGTCGGGCGCTTCAATACTTAATAATAAATCTATGCAGAGAAGGGTGAAAAAAGGTGTTGCCCCCACACCTTGATATTAATAGAAAAATAGCACCAACAACAAAGTGTAAAAAACACAGAGTGAGAGTGTACCCTTCAAGCAAGATATAAATATAAAATAAGTAAATACTTATGCATATTCATGAATGGCAGGATGGTCATAAACAATACCTAAAAAAACCAATAACACAAAACATAGTGTGTACTGCCAAAATACAAGTGAGTATAGATGAATAATTGGTTCAACTCACAGATTCCAGAGCCGTACCAGGCTCTGTATAGAAAGCCCAAGGGTGCCTAAGCAGGCTAAAAACTGATGACCATGGATCACTGAGATAGGAGAAGCCACAGCAGCAAATGAGTGGATCAAAATAAAAACAAAGTATAAAATAGGCTTACAAAAAAGAAGAGAACACAAAGTATAAAATAGGCTTACAAAAAAGCAGAGAACAGCTTTTTTGTAAGCCTATTTTATACTTTGTTTTTATTGAATAAATGTATTCTTTGATCCACTCATTTGCTGCTGTGGCTTCTCCTATCTCAGTGATCCATCTGATTCCAGTGGTCCATGGTCATCATAAACATTTTATAAACTTACTATAAACTTGGTGAGATTGCATTATTGGGTACACCTCTTATCTAGTAGAGTTTCTTCAGCCTCCCCAAAATCACCCAACTCAGTGTCATACTACTCCACTAGTGACAGAAACAGCAGCAAAAGAGAGAAACCGGTACCGAGACTGCTCAGCATGATCACACTTCTTAGACTCTCCCTGTGTGAGGATGTTGCAAGGTGAAAGATCTCAAAATGCACATGCGTAAATCTGTCAGAAATGCGCAATGCACTTTTTCAGGATTCCTAGGGATAGGGCACTGATTGGTTAGATCAGTGCTCCTCCCCTCCCCTGAAATGGGCGTGGTAAAAAAAAGATAGAAGAAGCAGGCAAACATGGAAAAAATATTTAATAACTGAATTAGATTTGTATTTTTTTTTTTAATGCTAAAAAACAATGTTCTTTTCTTGCAGCATGTCCTGTCATCACTTCTGTTGTTTCATTAAGCATCAAGGAAGAGCAGATGGCTTGTGACGAGGTGGTCAAAGTTTCTGTACCAAGTAAAACAAGTATGTTACCGCTTCTTTAAGCTGCTGGACAGTTTTTATATTATCTGTGGTTATTTTTAATTTGTTTTTCTTTTTGTTCTGTATTGTTTCTGTGTTTTGTTTTATAATATAGGACCTGTTGTCTAGTTTGTTTTTGTTTTTAAAGCATGTGTTCTTTGCAGATCCACCAGAAGTTCAAGATGGCAGTATGTTTTTTATTAAGCAAGAGGAAGAAGTCTATTCCATAGACGATTATAATACTGTGGGACTGGAGACCACTGTACAAGAAACATCAAGTAAGATATTTCATACTCGCCCATTTCATATTGGTATGAAACCTTCTCTTTGGTTTTGCTTAAACGCACTTTGCACTATTGCTTCTGGGTTTGACACAGTCCATGTTTTCACATATTCATATTTTCTATAATATACGTGGCGCTAAAAAATTAGCTTTTGCATAAACTGCAGACATTTCTGCCTCGTTGCGATTTTGCTTGGGAGGATGAAATGTCTCATATGGCTAAATTGCTCCCTACAATAATTAGTGCAACTTATTGAGTAATTGTGAGTATGCACGTCTAGAAATATGCTCACATTAAATTGAATAGGAGACCAAGGATTACTGGGGAGATCTCTTCCAGTTCCTGGTTAAATCCGTGTGAATGGAGGAAATAAGTTCTTTGGAAAAAAAACTGCTAGATTCTTAGTGTGTTAGATATTTAGATATGTGTTAGTAAGTTCAAACTACCTGTACATGCACAGTTCTTAAACTAATGAAAATGTACACAATGAGTTACCAGTGGAGAGCAGAGACCAGCTGCATGCTTATGGTATATGTAAAATGGTCTGCGTGAAATGCAGGTAATGTAAGTTTAAATTTGTTTGTAAAACTTTAGAACGTTGGTTTTCTCCAAATGGGCCCTACTTTATGTGGAAATTTAATCTTTGCCAGATATCTATGGCCACATTCTTCTTAACATCGACCTTTTTACATCAACATCAAATAAAATACCACATTTTCCTTCTCAGGGAGAAATGTCTCCAAAGACATGTTTAACCACTGCCATATTGGAAAGGCTTAAATCACAATAGCTGTGCTTGGGTAACCGTGCAAACAAGACTAGCACACACAACCTGAAAGTTTTAAGTGGTTGAAAGTTTAGCCTCTATAATAACATGCATTTCCACATGGGGAAGAAAAAATGGCATTAGGATCCTTTTACAATCAATTACTGCATTACTGTCCAGAGCCTTGAACTAGACTCCTAGCCTACCCGCCTGCAAAGCACCAGAACACGGCAACAATTATATTTCCACGTTAACTCTTCAAAGGAAATCAGATAATGACAGAAAACTATTGTATTAAATTATGTAGTCAGCGATCGCAGGATTTTCAGGCACTTGCCGAGCATAGAGAGCCAGCCTGTGGCCTTTGTTATGATATTAGCTGGACATTATAGTTGTATTCCCTTCTCATTCAGTATTAGAAAAAGATGATCATCAATAAAAATATATCATGGCCATTAAAAAACATAACAGCATAGTGCTCTATTTAGGGATCGACCGATATTGATTTTTTTTTTTTTTAGAGCCGAGACTGATAATCTGTTAACTTTCAGGCCGATAGCCGATAACTTGCCAATATTCTGTACATTTACCATTTTGAAAAAATAAACTATTTCTTAAGGTAAATGCACAAAATATGCATGCCACATGTAGTGGATGCAGTGTGTTTAGACAGGGGAGCTGTGTGTGTTTGTCTGGTTGATGCAGTGTGTAGTGTGTGTGTATGTAATGAATGCAGGGTGTGTTTGTGTAGTGTGTATAGTGAATGCAGGGTGTGTTTGTGTAGTGTGTATAGTGAATGCAGTGAGTGTTTGTGTAGCGTGCGTATAGTGAGTACAGTGCGTTTTGTGTAGTGTGCGTAAAGGCAATGCAGTGTGTTTGTGTAGTGTGTGTATGATGCAGTGTGTGTATATAATAAATGGAGTGTGTATTTGTGTAGTGTGTGTATAATGCAGAGCGTGTGTGTTTGTATAGTGTTTGTATATAATGCAGAGTGTGTGTGTATTTCTGAAGGGATGTATTTTGTGTAAAATTATTTTAGTTTTAATATTTATGTTTTATTTTATTTTTTTGTCCCCCTGCTTGTTACCTGGCATGTGAGGGGGGCTATGGCATTCCCTGGTGGTCCAGTGGCATGTACTGAGCAGTGGGGGAGCCCACAGAAAGCTGTTACTTTCCTTCCCTTCAGCTCTCTGTGTAAATCTCGCGGTCTGCGTGGCAACGCAACTGGCGGCCCTGGGACTCGCGAGAATTATACATGGAGCTGCTGGGAGGTAACTAAGCACTTACTTAGCCCCTTAAGGACCAAGCTTCTGGAATAAAAGGGAATCATGACATGTCACACATGTCATGCGTCCTTAAGGGGTTAAGGTCCTAGGAGGTATTATCGGCAATATAGGTATCTATATTGGCCGATACCGATATTGCCAAAAATAACGAATATCTGCCGATAATATCGTTAAAGCCGATAATCGGTCGATCTCTAGCTCTATTCCACAGCCAACTCAATATTGTATTATAATGTGTAAACAAAATGTACTTTCTTAATCTTATAAATGCTTAGAATTTTATGTTGTGATTCCAGTTCTAACATGCTTCAGAATTATTCATGTGAATGTTTTGTATACAATATTTGAGTATGGCTTTGTTTTGTTTAACCAGGTCCTACAGTAACAATTAAGCAAGAATTTGATCCTTTACATCAAATTAAGCAAGAAGAAACCAGAGGGTATCCTGATATAAGTAAGTTTTTTTATTTTTTTTAATAGATTTATTTTTTGTGTAAAAATTAAATAGCATTGTGGCATTTATAGGTTCTTTTAGGTATATCTATTTTTATATGTATTATATATAGGTATATATAACAAAAGAGATATGTGGGAAAGAGACAGCGCTAGTTAACTGACAGGCAGCAACCTTAAAAAGGGAAACCCTCCAAACCCTTTTAAAACAAGACGGATAAAACAATAGTAAAAAGGCTGCGCCACAGGAAGGCTAAAATAAGTTCGATAAATGAAAAAGTCCAACTTAAGTGTCCTTGCGAATAGTCTTTCTCACAAAAAGTGCAGTGTTGAAGTCTTCATAAACTGTATTAGTTCCACTTACATAGAAGACAAAAAAGAGAGAGAGAGGGACGACCAATAGTGTAGTATTGTATAATTCCAGTGGTGACGTATTAGAAAAATAATAGATGAGAACTCACATTTAATAGAGCTTATGTCCAGCTCTAGGGTAAAAGCGCATACAGCGGTATGATCCCCGCTTGTAGGATATGTCGTGGGTATCTCTCCGTCAGTGGTGTCCAACTCTCAAATAAGGAAAAAAGAGACAGCCGATAGTGCTCACTGTATAGTAGTCTTAATATAGGTAGATAAAAACGTACTTACAAAAGAGGAGCAGACCAACTGCTCTTATGTGACAGCATGGGTGGATTGATCCCCACCTCTGGATTTCTTGGAGTGCAGGAGACTTCCGAAGTGGTTGTTGGTATATAATAGTACATAGAATACTAAAAAATATACTAAAAAAATACTAAAAAGCCAGGGTTAAAAAGAAAGAATAATGTGTATATAAAACTAGAAAAAAAGAATAATTGGAACAAATAAATGACCAATAATTACTTTAATATTAAAATACACAGTATAAAATATCATATATCCATAACGCGTTTCGTCAATAGACTTTATCAAATGGAATTCCATTTGATAAAGTCTATTGACGAAACGCGTTATGGATATATGATATTTTATACTGTGTATTTTAATATTAAAGTAATTATTGGTCATTTATTTGTTCCAATTATTCTTTTTTTCTAGTTTTATATTCACATTATTCTTTCTTTTTAACCCTGGCTTTTTAGTATTTTTTTAGTATATTTTTTAGTATTCTATGTACTATTATATACCAACAACCACTTCGGAAGTCTCCTGCACTCCAAGAAATCCAGAGGTGGGGATCAATCCACCCATGCTGTCACATAAGAGCAGTTGGTCTGCTCCTCTTTTGTAAGTACGTTTTTATCTACCTATATTAAGACTACTATACAGTGAGCACTATCGGCTGTCTCTTTTTTCCTTATTTGAGAGTTGGACACCACTGACGGAGAGATACCCACGACATATCCTACAAGCGGGGATCATACCGCTGTATGCGCTTTTACCCTAGAGCTGGACATAAGCTCTATTAAATGTGAGTTCTCATCTATTATTTTTCTAATACGTCACCACTGGAATTATACAATACTACACTATTGGTCGTCCCTCTCTCTCTCTTTTTTGTCTTCTATGTAAGTGGAACTAATACAGTTTATGAAGACTTCCACACTGCACTTTTTGTGATAAAGACTATTCGCAAGGACACTTAAGTTGGACTTTTTCATTTATCGAACTTATTTTAGCCTTCCTGTGGCGCAGCCTTTTTACTATTGTTTTATATATAACAAAAACACGGTCCTGCACTCACTCCTCACTTTACTTGCCAAGATGCTCCTCCAGCTTTTAAACAATACATACACTCACAGGTCTTTTTAATTAGCAAACTGTATTCACCAATGTTCCGTATCTTTACAGTATCATCAACGTTTCAATCCTCATCTGGACTTTCATCAAGATAACTGTAACAAACATAGGGGAAGCAAAATATAGGCACAACCAGCCTATTTATTGGTTAACGTTACAGTTATCCTGATTAAAGTCCGATTTAGGATTGAAACGTTGATAATACTCCAAAGTTACTGAACATTGGTGAATAACGTTTGCAAATTAAGACGATCATTGAGTGCCCTTCTTCGAGGGGAAAAAAGACTTTGTCTGTGGAGGCTCTCATGAGATCACATGTAGACATTAGTGTTGTACTCTCACACATGCTGCCTGATTTATTAAAAAAAATAAAAATGGATGTCTGAATACTCATAACTTATATTTTTCTGCTGATTACGTTAGTTCCTGTTGTGGTGAAAGAGGAGGAGGGAGAACCCATGGAAGAAATATCAACCACAGTCAGTTCTGCTGCAGGTAAGTGGCTTAATGTTGTCTATTCTGTGGAATGCATGTCTTAAAATGGAAATATTAATATAAAATCATTAATTTGTTCACTCTGCGCTAAATAACTTAGAAACATAGAATGTGACGGCAGAAAAGAACCATTCGGCTCATCTAGTCTGCCCAGTTTTCTAAATACTTTCATTAGTCCCTGGCCTTATCTTATAGTTAGGATAGCCTTATGCCTATCCAACTTCCCAAACAGATTACAACTATTCAGGTGTTCATCTGACTTTAAAGGAACGCTCCAGGCACCATAATCACTACAGTATGCTGCAGTGTTTATTTAATTTATAAAAACCGTGATGTCAAAGGGTGAGGATTTTGTTCTATATTATGAAAACCCAACTTTTGTTACAAATTTCACTTGAATCTTGGCTTAATTTCAGTAAATATAATTTGATCAAATTGTTGCGATCACTTTAGAGCCTTACATTCAATTCAACCCTACTTACCTAGTATACCCTGATATCCAAAAATCTGTCATGTTGATGTCCTATTTGTCAGGGGTTATTCCATATGAAACCAACAAATATTATGTAATTTTTAAATAATTTATTTTTTTATGTTGTCTTTTTTTTTTTTTATTGTATTGTATATTGTAGTGCTTTCTATCACATTTGCTAAGCAAAAACCTTAAATTATCTGCTGAGATAAAGTCAGTACCTATTGCAATGACCATAACTCTTTTTCTATAAGAGTTATACAGCTTCACATGGTCTTTTTGGAAAGCTTACTGCCTGTTGTTATGGCTTATTTAAGGTCTGTGATTGAGTTGTTGTTACTATAAGCCTGTGTAAATCTGAGTACATGATCCAGAAATTTCCACAAATGTAGAATGTCAAAATTAAGAAGGACTTCATATAACTACTTTTTCCTGGATGGTGGTTGTTTGTATGGCGGAAAAAAAATCAGCTTGTTCCTCTCATCAGTCCTTATATAAAAGAAATGCTGGGAATAAAACATTTTGAAAAAAATAATTTTCAGTGACAAAATAAAATGTGGGACCATTAGGTGGCCTTAGAAAAAAAAAAAAAAAAACCAGCATCTTTTGTTTTGTTACTCCAAGTGATGCAAAAGTTACAGGACTTGGCAAAATGTAATTTTATAGAAATAATTATTTTGTACAACCTCTCCTTTTGTTGATTAATTTCGTATAAATGTAGCCTTTTTGGCTTTTAAAATGTTAGTTCAATAAAAATCCCTTCATGACAATTGCCATACTTTGTACATCACAGTCACTAATGTTCTCACAATGAGGCAGTAATACAGCAATGCTGTTTGGCTGGCCATTCTGCTTAATGACAACCTTTGTAAACCAATCACAGTAATGACATGCCTTTGCTATTCGCAAATCCACTAAAAATGTGGCTGGGGTGAGGATTGATTGGAGTTAGGGTTATTTGGAATTAGCAAGAGTTAGGAATGGCCTCAAAGTGTATGGTGACGCAGATAGTGTCATTTCAGCTAATAGCTTCTCTAATAAGCAAGCAAAGATGCATGTCATTAATTAGACTCTGTAAATTCCCCCCAAAAATCCAGTAAAGGTATGCATGTGGGATGTTGCTCCTTTTCTTTCAGTGAAATAACATTTTTGGACATTTTCATACTGAATGAAGGTCACTGACTTCCTGTAGGCTAGCCCCAGTGTGCTGCTTCGGGCTAATGCTATCCCATAGTCCAGGCAGTGATGGATAGACTGTCAGCCTATCACAGCTCATATAAACCGGTATTGGGGTGGTTATAGAATCTGGAGTGTCCTGTAAATTCAATGTGTAAAAAAAAAAACTTGCCATATTTGACTGAACTTGGTGAAATGGTCAAAGTGAAAACCCAAAGTTGTTTTTTTTTTTTTTTTTTTTATATATATGGAATGCTATGAGGGTGTTGAATGCAGTAGGGTCTACTGAATCAGTGAAAACTTAAATTTACATGTGTAAAATTTCTTAATACCAGTGTAGGATTTTTACAGTAGTTGGACACATGGTCTTTGAGATTCCCAATTAAAATGAAGTGCGTGTGAAAAACAAAACTGATTTGGCAGAGCTTGGTGATAAAATGGCTAAATTCATGGGATATCTACTTTCTGCACATTGTATACAATGCCCTCCTAATATTGGTACCCTTGGTAAAAATGAGCTAAGACGACTGTAAAAAATGTCTTTATTGGGGGGCGGGGCTTGACCAAGATGGCGGACGGTCGCAACTTGCAGGAGCTCCCAAGCAAACTACTTGCCCAAGCATCGAATCGAGACTCCTGCCGCTCACTATCTGACCCAAAAAGGGGCTTACCTATCGCAGACGACGGATGGAGTGTTCCGGTCCGAAAAACCGGGATGCCGTCCACCAAAAGCCATGCAGAGCGGTTGCGGCCTAGCGAGGGCTACGGGCGGGAGAGGCGGCCGATCTCCTGTCCCCGATCTCCTCACCCAGCAGGACCACACAGAGCCCCATTCCCCCCCCTCTGGGCCGGGGGGGACATCCCGGTCCATACTCCACTACCTACAGAGTGGATGGCCCCTAGCCAACGCATCGGAACCACAGTATATAACCAGACGCACAAGATGGCGGACTCACCCCCTTGCCACAGCCAAGCAAAGCGACTACACACACAATGCAGACCGGTGTCCCAGGGTGGCCTAGAGGCAAAGCTCGATGCTATCCTGAGCGCCTTCTGGGCGAAGCTGGCGGCAAAAACAGCAAGTCCCCAACGGGAACCCCCAGCAAAAGACCAGAGGCAGGCAGCACGGAAGGGCCGCGGATCACGAAGCGGCATCCAAAGGTGTCCAGTACCCGCCACTAGTGGCAACCGCCTCCTTGGACCGGGAGCCACCAAGAGAACAGCTCGCCGGCAGCAACCAGGTAAACAGAGCATGCCACCCACAACTACAAGCCACCAACTAGGGCGATCATCGCTGATGAAGGGGAGGCCCCCACAGTGGCGATCAAGCAAACGACGAGGTACAGCGACATGCAAACTGACACAGAGGAAGGTGCAGAGAATGACCAAAATTGGACCCCCTGCAACCACCTGGTCTCACTGGCCCCCACATGAGCTCATGGCCCTGAGGGACTGCCTAGCAGATTACCTGCACTTCCCGATATCAGGAGTCGGTTGAACATGGACTGAACATGCCCTTCCGTGCCTAAGTTACCAGACCCGCTATACACCAACAGCAGCCACCTTACCTGATTGGGCAAACTGTTAAGTGCTTTAACCCATGGTTTTTACCTTGTTCTTTTCTATAATCAGATGACCTAGCTAGCATCTCATATTTTCCACTCTTTGTCGTTTGTAGAGTATACTTCATACTTCAGCACCCACCTAAGCTCAGCCTGTAACATTCAGCTTCTCGCTCACTGACAATACAGTAGTACTTGCGCACTTACTAAGCTAGTCTTATAGTGTTTCACTACAATATGTTCACCCGTATTGAGCTGGATCACACATACACTTTTATTGGCTGAAGAGCTAAGGAGTTCCCCATATCTGCAGCTCTCGCACACGATTTATGTCTCCACTTTAACTCCTCATACAGATTCTTATCCCCAATATTATAAAATTGTGCATGTATAACTTAATACCCCAAGTGTAACATGTGATGTTTGCTTCGAGGATTGCCGTTGGGGTACCTTGAAATTGTATGTTATAAATTTTTATGCACGGCAAAAAAAAAAAATTAAAAAAAAAAAAAATGTCTTTATTGTTTAACTTTATGTTCAGAAAATGTACAAAAATGCTCTGCTCTGATGGATATCAAACAATTGCAAACACAATACAGGTTTATTAAAAAAACAATATAAGCTTTGTAAATATGTGTGGCACAATTATTGGCAACCCTATGAATTCATATGACAAAAATATATGTGAAGTATATTCCCATTGATATTTTACATTGTTTAGTACACCTGGGTGACTTGGAACAGAAAATTGTTCAACCATGACTTCCTGTTTCACATGGGTATAAATATGAGGTGACATGGGCCAAATTCCCGTAGTCATTCATCACAATGGGTGAGACCAAGGAAAATAGCTGTGATGTGCGGCAAAAGGTTGTTGAGTTTCGCAAAATGTGAGTGGCTATAAGAAAATAGCAAAATACCCATTTCCACCCTTAGGGCAGTAATTTAGAAGTTCCAGTCTACTGGAAGTGTTATGAATCAACCTGGAAGAGGACCTGTGTCTTTATTGTCTCAACACACTGTGAAGAGGAGTTTTCCAGTGGCCAAAAAAATCTACAAGGATCACAGCTGGAGAATTGCAGAAATTCGTCTTTGGGTCAGAAGGTCTCCCAATATCCTCCTGAGACCCAGCCCATTAACTTGTCCTCTGCACTGGACATTCCGTTTACATGCATCTCCTTTTATTCTTTTGAGCTACTATATCAATCCCTGCTGTATTGTAAAGAGGACACCATGGGCTTTCCAGTGATATGTCATGTAATAGACTGGGATGCTGGGAACTTCCTTTTCCTTTTTATAAAAAATGGATGGCATAGCAGCAAGCGCATTTTATGAAAAGAGGAGAGGTAAGTCAAATAATATTTATCTTTTGTTGTCTTTACCATGATATTCATATACGTTCTTGTTTATTAACATGTCAGGAATTATATATGTTCTGAAAGCAGTTAAATTATTTGTGTTTAGAAATAATAGCCATTTTACGGATGTCAATTATAGTGAACGCCAAGGCCATCTTAATGACTCAACATTGTTGTAGGAGACAGAACTGAAGCAAAGAGTATCTCTGCCAGATTGTTGAGGGTGATTCAGATTTGTATCTGTCAGATTATGAGGATGAGTTTGAACCTGGGATAGAAGATGATGCAGGAGGCTCAGATGAGCAGACAAATACAGACACAGACAGGGATGAGCAGGAAAGACGGCGTCCTCTGTGGGCCAGAAGTAGCTTGTATGTTTTATTTGGTTCCAGGATAATATATTCAGTTCCAGTAATTAGCCACTATTGATGTTTATGGTGACAAAATAAATTATATCTTTACAGTAAATGGGTTATTCCATGTAATGTAATACCCATAATACAGACATATTACTATGTATCATTGATATTTATCAGTGAACCTTGAGGTTTGATGATTTCCAAAGTGGTGGTATGAAATATATGCAAATTTCCTCCAGAAGGCAATGTTTGTGCTTGTGAGCATGGTCAATAAGGGACCATATCACATCCATAACACTGGAATTGTCCCAATGATGCACTACTTCCTGACTGCATTTAATCCAAATAGATGTGCGAGGTTTATTATTCCTGTTTCATTTATTGTTTTTTTTTCCCCATTATAATACAGTCACACATGTGATACCTGGGCTTCCTGACTGTCAAGATGACCCTACAACCCGTGCAGGTTGGAGTCCAATTCAGTACTTTTCTCAGTACATTGACAACAAACTTTTCCAAGATTTAGCAGCATTCACAAATCAAAGAGAGATGTCAACTAAAAGGAGTGTTTCGGAATACTACTCCACAAGAAATTAAGATCATCTTTGGCATATCCGTCCACATGGCCTGCTTTGGCTATCCCAGAATTAACATGTTTTGGGCCAAAAAAACAAAGGTGCCTGTCATAAGCAGCAAACTGGCAAGGTATAGGTTCTTCAAGCTGAGAAGTTCTCTCAAGATTGTTGATGACCTGGATGTATCGGAGGAAACAAAGGAGGCAGACATTTCTTGGAGAGTCAGGCCATTAGTTGACCGCATGAGGCAAGGCTGTCTCAGCCTTCCGAAGTCTGAGAAGCTCTGCATTGATGAACAAATTATCCCTTTCACAGTCCATTATCCGGTCAGGCAATATGTTCCATGCAAGCCAAACCCTACTGGCCTAAAGTTCTTTTTCCTTGCTTCTCCAAATGGTATGATGCTAGATTTTTAACTGTATCAAGGGAAGAATGCATTCAGAGACTAAGCATTGGGTGTTGCAGCAGCAGCAGTCCTACCCATGGTTGAATCTGTTCCCACAGGAACTCACTTATTCTTCGACCGATACTTCACAACAATCGATCTCTTGGATGCATTGCTGGCAAAGGGCCTTCCAGCAACTAAAACCATAATGAAGAACTGAGTCCCAAAGCCTTGCTAGCTGCCAGGAGATAAGCAGTTGCAAAAAGAGGAGAGAGGAGCATCAGTGTCAGTGGTCAGAAAGAGTCCTGAGCTGGCAATGTCAAAATGGTTTGAAAACAAACCATTGCTGATGGCTTCCACTGTATATGGGAAAGATCCTGAAGATATCTGCACCATATGGTCTAACAAAGAAAAAGTCCATGTCCAAGTGAGAAGACCAGCAGTAATCAGACAGTACAATGACAACATGGGTGGTGTGGACCTATGTGACCGCAATCTGAGCTTTTATCGCATTTCAAACATGACCAAGAAATGGACATCACATGTCATTACTCACTTCTTTGATGTTGCCATCACAAACTCCTGGATCCAAAACAAGTCTGACAGCAAAGCGCTTAACCGACCAGCAAAGAGCACTCAACAGTACCTGGACTTCAAATTGCACCTGGCTGAAGAACTGTTGGATAATCCAGTACTTTATGACAATAGTGAAGACCGTGAAGAAGAGTATGAGCCACCAACCAAAATGAGGTTTATCACAATCAGATTTATCTGTGTGTAGAGTAGGAGCCCTGCACATGCCAGAGTTGGTGGATGTCAAGCATGCAGAAAGATGCAGACATAAGGGCTGCAAATGCACGACATACATGAGGTGTACCAAATGCAAGATGTTTCTCTGCATTACCATAAAGAGAAAATGCTTCCAGGGTTATCACAGCAAAAAAAAAAAAAAAATGCTAAAGAAGGAACGAGACTGGTTTAGATTTGACAAATAACTAAATCACAATAAAAATAAATATATATGTTCTATATAAACTCTAGGGGACCCATCAAACGAATATATAACGAGAATGTGTTCGGTTTAAACCCTCGGTCAGGCACAATGTGAGTAAGAACAGGATCGGGCGCATTGTGCGTAATAGGCCACTATTACAAAAACTTTTTACTCAAATAAAAACATGTTTATTATTCCATTTGCGCTACAACATTGGCAAAAGCAATTTCTGAGCATTTATTACAATAAAAAGTAGCATGTTCCATACATAATGCACGTTTACACTTGCTGCACTCATATCTTGATAAGCCATGTCGTCCGCTATCCGTAGTGCATGTAATGCACCATCTTCTCTTGCTAGGCGTTTCCAAAGTTTCCTCTTTATTGTCTTTTGCATTTTCACAATTACGAAATCATTTCAGTTTTGATTGAATATGCAGTGGAATGCCAATTGTTTTTTCACTTCTTCTTTGAAGCTCATCTAACATAAGTTCGTGAGAAAGCTGCTTCAGAAATAGACGCCTCTTTATTGGTTTCAAATTATTTCCCAGATAAATTATCTGCTTATTTATGCCAGCAACATTCAACATGGTGAAGAATATATTCATAGGCCAACGTTTTATTGTCCTTGCATGCTGAATGTAGCACACATTTTGTCAACATTGTCTACTCCTCCCTTTGTGGAATTGTAAAATGTAATTATCGATGGTTTCTTTTTCTCGCCTGTTTCTGAATCAAGAGATTTATTGTGATGAAAGCTGGACACAAGGATAACAGTTTTGTTCTTCTTTGGTACGTATGATACTAATGTAGTAAAGTGATTGAATCCAAAGCTACTTGAATACACATCCCTAGATTTCGTTGTGACAAATTCAGGTGGCAGCTCTCTTTTGTTTTTCTTTACTCTGCCAACGTAGGAAAGTTTCAACTCTTTCAGTTCTTCCACTAAATCCAGGGCAGTGAATCAATTGTCTGCTGTCAGGTTGCGACCTGATCCACGTAATGGTGCAATCATTCTCTTCACTACATCTGTTGGCTTATTGCTGAAGTCAAATGGTCCATCGGGTTGCTTCCCAGCATAAATTTCCAAATTATAGGTATAAAACATTTTAGAGTCAACAAGTGAGTATATTTTGATATCATATTTTGCTGGTTTTGATGGAATGTATTGTTTAAATGTGCATCTTCCTCTAAAACCTGCGAGCATTTCATCTATTGTTACAAATTCGCTAAAAGAGTAACATTTTTGAAAATTTTTGTAACAAATTACTTAAAAATTTCTGGTATTGGTGCAAGTTTATCAATAAGCTTTTCTTTCATCTCGGGTATTTCTATCGTCAAATCTTAAACAACCCATCAAAAATTTAAATCATTTCAGGTTCATCACCATACCAAACTTTTCTACCCCATCACCATTGGTTCCCCATAGGTCTTCAAGGCTTTGACGATTCGCTCTATAAGCTCCAGCCAAATATAATATACCTATGAACGCTTTTATTTCAATGTCATTAGTAAGTTTGGCGTCTCGTTTGCGTCCATATTTATGTTTGATAATATTTATATATTGGTTAGTATATTTTACAATGATATCTAGAATATCTCCAGTGAATAAGTATTTCCAACAGTCATCTGGAGATTTCGATAACTTTGTGGGGCCTATAACACCTGGTAAGTGCTTCAACAAATTATGAGGCGCGGTGCGATTTTTCTTGTTGGGAATATCTTGATACCTTTTACAGGACTTGTCTTTTCCGAGAAAATATGAAGCGTTATCTGTGCTGTCGTCAATGCTGAATTCATCGTTTTGTTCTGATTCAGAACTCTCAATGCGTGCCTCCATGTTATTTTCAGTCACGCTATCATCGCTTTCATCTGCATCTTCAAAAATATTTTCTTCATCCTCTAGCATTTTCATCATATCTGCTACATCATTCGGATTATTGAAATGGAAAATTTTCTTTGAGTTGTCCATTTTTATTTCTACAAAGAAATAACAAAAATAGCATCATCGGGCGCAATGTGCCTGAGAGGAACATCGTGCGTCATTATGGAGTTGAACATTACAACATTGAAAAACAATCAGGTATGGCATTAATATGCTTGAATTAATTAGAAAAATTACTTACCAATGTAATTATAGACATATAATGGTTATACTGAGACACAAAGTGCTGCGACTCACACACACAACGTTCAAATGCATACTGCGCATTATAGGTTGCTGCAGAATGTAAAAACAAGCTACTGAGGCGGCCGGGCGGTAACGAGCGCTCACTTTGGTAGGACAAAACAACAAACATTGGCTGTGCCTGTTGGATCAGTTGCGCCTGACCGGAGGTTAATAGAAGATATAGTACCATCCTTGCAACCAACAAGCAAGTGAAACAATCCAGAATGATAAATAATTTAGTTTTTAAATCCAGTTGAATGTATTGCTGGTTTAATATCACTCTACAGCCATAATCTGTTGTTTTTTGTTTTTTTTTAAGTTTAGCTGTCTTTTCACACTAAAATGTGGTCCGTAGCGGACATGCTGTCAAATTAAAAAGAAAAATACATTTTAAAAAAGTCTAAATTGTAAGATTTTTTTTTTTTTTAAATCCCTTTAAATAGGTAGAAAATCACAAAAAAAAAAAAAAAATACAAATTTTATAGACAATTTCTTTTCCTCGGTTCCCAGTAGGATATTACAATCTGACATTGCCAAAAGTTGTTTTGAAGTGTTTCAAGAAAAAAGCCTCTAATCTCATCCAAAAGTATACTGAAGCGTCTTCATTTTAGCAGACACTACTGGAACTTCAAATGGGACTGGGTTCTATGGTCAGATGAAACAAAAATAGAGCTTTTTGGCAATAAACACCAAAGTGGGTTTGACGCACACAGAGGAAGCCGTGTGGAAGCATTCCTGCCATGGCTATCCCAATACCCTGACTTCAACCCCATAGAAAACCTGTGTTGTGCACTGAAGATTAGAGTCCACCAGCATTGACCTCGGACTTTGAAGAATCTAGAAAAATTCTGTATGGAGGAATGGTCTCAGATCCCTTGCCATGTATTCTCCAACCTCTTCAGGCATTGTATAAGAAGACTCAGAGCCGTTGCTTTGGCAAATGGAGCTAGCCCAAAGTACTGAATAAAAGGGTGCAGATAATTGTGCCACACATATATTTAACTAAGATTTTTTTTTTTTTTCAACCCATGTTGTGTTTGCTATCCATCAGAGCAGAGTATTTGTGTATTTTCTTTAACAAAAGATCAAAAGTTTAAACCACAAAGGCAGTTTTTCACAGCCTTCCTTGCTCATATTTATCAACGGTGCCAATATTCGTTTAGGACAATCTACTTTTGTGTAGAGGTTTTGTACTTTGTGACTACTATCAATTGCATTATCTCAGCAGACCAACCTTTGCAATGTTTTACCTTTTAACCCGTAATTCACTCTTTGCAATATTTGCCATGCAACTTCCAAAAAGTAATTGATCCTGGACATATGAGACATTTTAACCATGAAGACTAATAATAATTTGGTTTGTTGCGCTAGTCGTGTAGAAATCATGCAAAACTATGGGAAAAAATTTTGATTGTTTTTTTAAATATTCATATGTAATGTTGTTTTATGCATACTTATATGTAATCAAAAGAAAGCCCTAACTCTCCTTTCAAAAACAAGTCATAATTTGTATGGGTGAACTTGAAGAGAAAGCTTTACATTACGGTGGAACAAACACACCGCAAAATTGCCAAAAAGGCCTCGGCCACAGATGCACAGAATTTTGGAAATGGCTGTTAGGAAGGGATTAATAGCTATATGTGTAAACGTTCTACGTTTGTTAGCAAGTGCACTTCGCAATCAGCAGGTTTGTGCGTGTTGCAATACACATGCCTAACCTAACGAAGCATGAATTTCCAACAGCCAGCAGGCTTGAATGTGTTTTATCTCATTCTTGCCTCTCAGTCAGGAAAATAGACTGGATCATTTATGAGTGTGACTCCCGCATGATATCTGATGTCTTCTCTGTTAGGTATTTTACATAAATGGTTTCAAACAGGACTGTAAGACATAAAGCTATGATTATGGCAGCCTAGATTGATGCAGAGAGCTGGCTGGGGAGTTTAAAGAACTCCACTTCCTTCCAGAACTGTGGCTTCCCACGGTTAATCTTGTAGCATGACGAAGATCTCTATGCAGTACTGTTTTGGGTCCTGATTTATCTTACTTTCTTCTTTAGCTATAGGGTTGCAATCTGTATGTCTGAAACTATGCACGTTTCACTATATTATTAAAAAACAAAACTCCCCCATGATATAGTGTGATTCTATGGCTTTGCCCTGTCTTATCAGATCTCTGTATTTTAAATCAATACGTTTGTCATCTTTATGATATAAGGCTATAAAAATTACAAAAATAAGACAATCAAAACAAAACACAGAAACCTCAAAATACATGCTTACTGACATTGTATGCACACACCAACATGCTCGCACTAACAGTGCATGCACACAGGAACACAATTAGCCACATAAAGGCTATTTAATGACTTTTTGACAGTTATCATATTACGTGAAGTCCTTCGTACCCACTTTTTACCTGCTTGTGCTTGTGTGTACATACATTTTATTTGTTCAGCCTTCTATTCTTACTTCACTACAATTCAGCTGTCTATAACAAATGAGAGTAAGTAAAGCAGTGGTACTCCCTGAGTAGTGAGTGATGTTCAGGGAAAATTTTGTGCATTCTGTTCTTGTGTATCTGTTTGAAAGATACAAGTAATTCCACTGATGAGCAAAAAGGTTTCCTAATCTTACGTTTAGGGTGCGAGTACTTAAAATGGACACTATAGGCACCCAGACCACTTCTGTTATTGCGCGAGGGAAGGGGACACTATAGGATAATATATACAGCTTTGTATTCCTGGTATGATAGTATCCCTCTAAACACATATTTTCCAAGTTATGAAAAATCTAATAGTACATTTTCATAAATGTAATGAAAAAATTACAAAGAAATCTCTTCATGAGAGAACCCAGCTTTTTGTTTTTTGTGTAAACTGAAATGTTGACCTAAATTCAAGTGGAAAAATAAATTCTATTTAAAAACAACTTACATGTAATCCGGTGCAGAGGTAGTCTCCTTGCAGCACCTTCTTCTCTTGGTGAGATCTTGAAGGCTGATGATCTCTGGTCCAGTCAGAGGCTTCTGATAGAGAAGAATGGTAGACCTATGACTTGTGCACGGCAATCACACGTTTTGCAAGCCTGATGCTTCTCATAGAGAAGCTTTAGCGTCATTTGGCATCAAGCTTTATATGATGATAGTAAACATGCTGACCCTGAAATCGAGGGTGTTTTTTGTACCAAAAACAAAACACTGCAACACACACCACAGCAATGAGAAAGCAAGTAATGTTTACTGTTCTCTCTAAGAACACGGCTATAGTGTCTGTCAGACAGACTGGCATTAGATACATATGCTCCTTTATGTTAAGATTTTTTATTTATTTTTTGCCTTCTTTAGGATTACCTTACTAACAGGTATATATGTTCAACTTGTCTTGTTGCAATTATACATTTGTCAACCTATGCTGTACATCACTGCAGAATATGTTGGTGCCTTATAAACAATAATAATATAAAGAGTTATACTTGATGATATTTTCCAGCTGTTTATTTATCTATTTATTTATTTGTTACTACAGTTAATAGATGTTGTAATCCTTACATTTGTTGTCATGTACAGTTTGTTTCTTATTACAAAATGGTGCAGGTGAATGCAAGTTTATCTACTTCTATATTCTTGCGTATATGCGTCAATTTTCCTAGGTTTATTGCAGTTGTTGAAATATATAGTTGCACTTGGGTGTATCTGAACACAAGGCTTGTATTTTATAAAGTAACATATGTCAAAGAGTTAGCTAAATGTTCAATTCTAATTGAATATTTTCTATCGAATCGTTCATTGTATGGAATAATCAATACTTTAATGTAGGAAATGTATGCAAAATGACCTCCTGTATGCCATGATGTTTAAAGCGGCATCATTGACACATGTCAAGCACCTAAAGACTTCGGTGGAGACTCTTTATGTTGCATACCTGTAGCTGTTCAGTATCACAGTGAAGAGCTTTATTTATGTTACTGGGATCTGAATCAACACATTTAAAGCTTAGTTGTTAAAAGATCACTCCAAACACCAAAATCACTACAGCCTGCTGTAGTGATTATGGTGCCAGTAATGCTGTGACTCCCTACTTGAGTAAGTAGTCGAACCCTGCTTCCAGATTCCACTACAAGGCCAAGCAGGGCTGCTCTCAATGACTGAGAGTGTCAGCCAATGACCGTGGCCCTGTATTTTGTCAATCCTAACTAGGGGGGGACATCTGGCAGGAGAAGCCAGATACGGATTGTGCAACCAGAGGATCCAGGTAAACTGTCAAACTTAAATGGTTTGACTTCTTACTCTTGGGCGCCAGGACAATCCTAAAGCCATACGCATTGCAGCAGGCTGCAGTGGTAATGGTGCTTGGGGTGTTCCAAAATATATATATTTTGGGGACAATGTAAATGTGTTTTTGGAATTCGACTTCATTTCAAAAAAGTCTACAAGCTCTCTGAAACATCCACACCGAGTTACGACTGATCTTGCTTTCACACACTTCAAACACTAAAGCTAATTAATTTATTCCATTTTAATATTTTGTACTGCAGTAGTGCCTACAAAGAAAAAAACTAGCAGAAGAGAGGCTGAAGAAGCAAGACTGGTTAGTTGTGTTTTTTTTCTCTCCTGTATTTAATATGTAGATAAAACAAAATATACACATAGGGATTTTTGAGTACAATTTTATTTGATTCAGAATTAAAAACAAAATAAATTCTGGCTTCTTTAAAAATTCTAATACATTTGTCTTAAAGTACTGACAATTGTGAGTCTGTGACATTCCATCTTCACTTAACCTAGTAAAAGCCGTTGGAATGTTTACTGAAAGCACTTCCATGTTCTTACTGTGACATTCCTATTCTATAATTTACAGTACAGAATATATTCTCATTATGCTCAATGTAAGATGGGCATGTTGATGCACTCTGATTCTGTGTGTATTCATGACTTCTATGCATGGCACTCTGGCATACGTGCGATCTCAATGATATGCCAGGCTGTAATGTCAATTCAAAGTTTTGAGGAAAAATAACTACAGATTTATGCAAAATTTAAGAAGTAACCGTTAATTTCTGTGAAAGGCTTGTCCAGTTTTTCTGCAGGAAAGCCCTCCTCACTCCCCCCGGTTATGTTAGTCATCACTTAAAGACAACCAACATCATAAGCATTAGCTGCTATGCGGATGCACTGTTTATGCGCAAGAAGATTCCTCTGACATCAGAAGTCATGCAGGATCTTTTGTAGAGAACCATTATGTTTTTTTGCTAGGAAGTACTCATATACTTTCCCCATAGAAGCTACAAAAACCATGCATGGTTACTTTAATCTGGTATTCCACCATTAAGTATATCTATCCTGACTTATAATAGTGCACATAAAACAAGGTATGTGTTCACAAATCAAAAAGTGCAATTAGTGCAAATAAGATGTTAGCAGACAGAAATTTCCCTGTACAAGGTGAAGCTTCCAAAGGTACCCGGAAGACTTCCTCCTGTCTTCCACAAAATATATATGCAAAAAATAGGGGATTATCTGCTAAACCAATAAAAAAAAAAAAACAAGACATAGCATATAACTGTGTGGATAATGAGCCACAAATGTTGTATTCCCAAATGGCCAATCGAGTATGTAATAAAAAAGCAATTTATTCACTTACATAGGAGTTAAAAACAATGCGTGTAGTTGCCTAGAATCACCACCAGGCGTCCTACGCGTTTCGCCCGTGTTAAGGACTTCCTCAGGGACTTTAGCTATATTAAATAATCCTGAATGAATATAATTCCCCCTCCCCGGTCCTTGTATACCGCCCCAAACGTCCATAAATGTCCAATATTTTGTTTTAGGTGTTTTTCCGGTTTCGTCCGAGCATTGTGACGTCATCACACACAGTGTCCGATGATGTCATGCATCCACGGTCGAAACCCGGAAGTAGCTGGAACTTGCTGTTCGTTTTAGTGTTCTTTACATATGACATGCTCAGTCAATGTGGAGGATACAAAAGAGGGGAATAAGGGACAAAGGGGAATGGGGGATTAGGTATCTCTGATTGGCACTGATAAAATATAGAGAAAAGTAATAACAAAGAAATATAAATAACTAATAATAATAATGAAAATAATCACAAAAATAAATAAAATAAAAATACTGAAATAAAGAAGAAATATGATATAAAAATAAATAATAAAGAGAAAATAAAATGTAAAAAATAATAAATAATTATATTACGTGCAATTTATGTGGATAGAATTAAAATCACAATGAATATAGGAAGGGACAGGGACTTGTGTACAAACTATTGCACTGTTCCCATCTAATGGTTTAATACAAAGTGCAAGAGAAGAGGCTTAACATATAGAAAAGGAAAAAAATCTTTTATTTTAGATAGGGGCAAATAAAAAAGAACTGACTGACTTATAATAGTCCTGGGCTACAAATATACTTCAGGTGACCATTTAATTTTTTTAATGCACCTTGTTATGGGTATCACCATATCAAAATACACATATCTTTAAATTGAATATGACGTGCTCATAAACATTTTATTTTTTTATTTTTGTTAACAATTGGTAAACCCAATTTCTAAAACATTATAGCCAGAATTTTGACTAGAACTGTGTATTAAAAAGTGATTGCAACATACAAATAGAAATAATGTTTAACCAAGGCATTAGATACACTCACACAGCAGTTTTCATAAATGGGGCATTTCTAAAACTTAGCCATGCCACTCAATTTATTATTGGAGGTTTTTAAAAAAAGGAAAAAATAAAATAAAAAATTTAATAAAACATTTTATTTAGTAATTTATTTTTACTCTGCGCTCACTACAGATAGCATTGTACTTCGAAGAACGTCATAAACGACCGATTCCAGAATATTTCCTGGACGTTCTTGCGTGGGATCCAATAAAAACAGCTGATGACTGTGTGCCAGCTCCACCAGCAGTCAGAGTTGGGCATGTACGTTGGTGTACCTGTGGTCTTTGCATTTCCTTACCAACTGATGAAGAATGCATTTGTTGTCGAGATATTATAAACGTTCGGAAGCTGCTTTTGGAAGACTCCGAGTGTATATGTGAAATTGAATATCTAAGAAAAGACTTGGTTTCAAGAGAACATCTGACTGCACTCTACCGTTATGGTTTAAGTTTTAGCAAGAAGCGCTTCAAGGCTATAGAGCGTGAAAGGTGAGTTGCAAATTTTATGTATTATCAGTTTAAACGTGAAAATCTTCACCAGGATAATCTCAGCTTGTAATGTACCCTACCATAACATTTTCTAGTAATGTGTTTTGGTTTTTAGTTTTGTCCAGAAATAAATTTACGCATTATCATTGTGGGTTTTTTTTCCTACATTATTAGTTGCACTAGAAGAAACCTGCCAATGCAGGATTATTTGGTGGTGCTATCTTAAATTAATTTGTATTGTCAGAAATTTAAGAGCAGAAACATGGACATGTTTGTAATAGATGGTCAGTAGTATATAACGCAGTCCTCAATTTTAATATTTTTTGACTACACTTAAAAAAAAAATATCCTTTATAAATGTATTAAGATGTCAAAAAATGTAATACGTTCAGAAATGTACCCCAAAATATTGCAAGTATTGAATTAGAACAGTTTTACATTCCTTTGTGTGAACTCAACATGTCTCATGTTTGTTGTTTTTATTTTTTATTCTCTTTAGTGATTACAGGATAACTGCCTACAGAGCTTTCACTATGTGGGTACATGGCTACATGGGACGTAATGTTAAAAGGCGTCCCATTCCGTCATGTGTAGTAAGACGAATACGAGACAACTTTCCAGCACCCGATAAAAATTACGTTGGCTTCTGTCCTGTTTCAGCTGATCCCTATGCAGCATATATGTGTGATCTGTAGTTATCTTTCTAATAAAATGTTACAACGAAATGTTAGACTATTTTGTCTGTCTTTGTTTCTTTGAACCTTTGTCAACTACAATTACAAACACCCACATTCGTAAACATTGAGATCAAATAGTACACTAGAACCAATGTTTTTCTTTCAGGAATAATGTATAAAAAAAGGTTTAGGTTGCTATTGATCTATAAAACCCCCACCTTTAAAATACAGGTGTTGTGGGTTGTGTTCCTCAAATACTTAGCCATCCATTTGACAGAGCTTTATGGGAAATCCACAGCAATTGTAGTAGATACAAATGTTAGGGTCTAATTGTTGTCGGTTGATGAAGTTGCAACATTTTTTCAATTGTTGAATACATGTTATGACTTGCTTGTGATATCAGTTTACTGGTTTAGACTTGGCACCTTTTAAATTACACTTTGCAGTCCCAGTACCATGAAACGTACAAATGCATATTTGAAATGCTAAATTTTACATGTTTTAAAGTTAAGTGTGGCTTGGTTATAGGGTTGCACCCCACCAGATAAAAGCTGCAAACCTATTGTAATTATTGATTTCAAAAATAAAATGGTGACAATATAACTCGAAGAGTGAATTTATTATGAAAACTGTTTGTATATCTCTGTAACCGTTGCATTATGCCCACCTTCTCCTCTTTCTCTAGAGTAGGGCTGTCCAACCTCAGGTAATTCAAGGGCCGCATGCAGTTATAGATTCTTTACATGCTACCTTATTATGGCATACCTTGGTAGATATTAAGTCTGCTTATATAGGTGTAGCAGCTATAGCCATACAAGATAAAATCTATTTAGTAAAGAAGAATTGTCGCTTTGGAGATAATGGACCAGGGCTGTGGTGGCATCCCATGTAAAAATTGTGGTGATGGGTGCAGTGTGTGAGTGTGTTGGATGTTATAGGGCCTAAATATTGTGGAGGGTTGGGAGCCAATATGCATTTATAGTTTTTAATTTAAAAATAAATAAATTTTTATTTAAAACTTTGCCCCTCCTCCCTTTGTCTTACCCTTTTCTCAGGGTGGAGGGACATTGCAAGCCCTGGTGGTCTTATGGTATTCAATATCTTTGCCTGCGATGATTTATTATTGGCAGACAGCCAGGATTTACATTGCTATCTGTGTGCTATTGGGTATACCAAGGTCTATGCTCATTTTTTTTCCCCTATCCCGCATTGTCAGTCTGTTTCTAAAACTGATGTGTGATGACACTCATTCTCATATGCTGTGGGATGTTTGTACTTGGATACCAGAAGAAGGATCATTGTTGGTTCCTTTCTCCTTCAGTCTACTCCTGTCCTATATCAGATTGACCACACATTTCACAGCTCTTCTCTTCTACATCCTCACTGTGTCCGGCTCTCTCTCCTTTCCTGGCTGCTAAAAAAGGGAACATAATGCAGCTTATATGCGAGAAGGAGGTAACACAACTAGTTGACAAGAGAAAGTAAGACCGAAACATAGAATGTGACGGCAGATAAGAACCATTCGGCCCATCTAGTCTGCCCAATTTTCTAACTACTTTCATTAGTCCCTGGCCTTATAGTTAGGATAGCCTTATGCCTATCCCACGCATGCTTAAGCTCCTTTACTGTGTTAACCTCTACCTCTTCAGCTGGAAGGCTATTCCATGCATCCACTACCCTCTCAGTAAAGTAATAATTCCGGATATTATTTTTAAACCTTTGCCCCTCTAATTTAAACTATGTCCTCTTGTTGTGGTAGTTTTTCTTCTTTTAAATATGGTCTCCTCCTTTATTGTGTTGATTCCCTTTATGTATTTAAATGTTTCTATCAAATCCCCCCTGTCCCGTCTTTCCGCCAAGCTATACATATATGTTAAGATCCTTTAACCTTTCCTGGTAAGTTTTATCCTACAATCCATGAACCAGTTTAGTATCCCTTCTCTGAACTCTCTCTAAAGTATCAATATCCTTCTGAAGATACGGTCTCCGGTACTGCGTACAATACTCCAAGTGAGGTCTCACCAGTGTTCTGTACAATGGCATGAGCACTTCCTTCTTTCTACTGCTAATACCTCTCCCTATACAACCAAGCATTCTGCTAGCATTTCCTGTTGCTCTATTACATTGTCTGCAACTTTAAAGGGACACTATACTCAATCCTCTGCCATTTAGGAGTTAAATCCCTTTGTTTATGAACCCTAGTCACACCTCCCTGCATGTGACTTGCACAGCCTTCCATAAACACTTCCTGTAAAGAGAGCCCTATTTAGGCTTTCTTTATTAAGTTCTGTTTATTAAGATTTTCTTATCCCCTGCTATGTTAATAGCTTGCTAGACCCTGCAAGAGCCTCCTTTATGTGATTAAAGTTCAATTTAGAGATTGAGATACAATTATTTAAGGTAAATTACATCTGTTTGAAAGTGAAACCAGTTTTTTTTTTTCATGCAGGCTCTGTCAATCATTAAGCCAGGGGAGGTGTGGCTTGGGCTGCATAAACAGAAACAAAGTGATTTAACTCCTAAATAACAGTGAATTGAGCAATGAAATTACAGGGGAATGATCTGTACACTAAAACTGCTTTATTTAGCAAAAGTAATTTAGGTGACTATAGTGTGCCTTTAAGTCATCCGTAATAATCACCTCTAAATCCCTTTCCTCAGATGTTGAGGTTAGGACTCTATCAAATATTCTGTACTCTGCCCTTGGGTTTTTACGTCCGAGATGCATTATCTTGCACTTATCCACATTAAATGTCAGTTTCCACAACTCTGACCATTTTTCTAGTTTACCTAAATCATTTGCCATTTGGCTTATCTGTCCTGGAACATCAACCCTGTTACATATCTTAGTATCATCAGCAAAAAGACATACCTTACCATCAAGACCTTCTGCAATATTACTAATAAAAATATTAAATAGAATAGAAGATATTCTATAAGATCTTGGAACAAGGAGGTTGAGTGTTGGAGAGAAGATCTGAGTGGCTGAGCTGAGGGAAAAATGCTGAAAGTTTCAGAGAAGAGGGTTGCTATCTTTGGCACTAGATTTTAGTGAATTATGTAAAATCGTTTATGAATGGATAGTGAAAATGGAATGAAACATGCTAAGTGAAGTGAGTGTAATTTTCATAGTATCTAACTTAATGCCCCAACTGCAATTGTCTTATCAGACTCTTGCAGGTCTGCCAGAGCCAACATATTGAGTACTTTTCACTTATTTGATCCAAACAGATAGACCAACTGTATTTGTAAATCCAATAGTATACTTTTATTCAGAAATTAGGAAAATTGACGTTAAATTATATTGTGCAAAATATATCTGAGCAGGTTGACAACCTACAAATAATAATATAGAGAATGTGATTAAATTGGACACTCTGTACATTAACAGCTTCACCTCATTGAAGTTGTTATGGTGTCATCTGGCACCATCCTTTCTTTCAGTGTTGAATTTTTTTTTTTATGATTTAACACTAAGCGAGAGTACCATGCAGCCCATCTGCTGTGGGCTAATAAGGAATCATTAGCCTGAGTGGCAGTGATCGGCTTAGAGTTGCATGAGACCTCTTTCAGCCTATCATAAGTGTTTATTGCTGGTATGAATTGGTATTGCTAAGGAAGAGTGTAATATCTGCTTAAGTTGTATGTCTAGCCTGGTTGTGGGTGGCCAGGGACCCTCATTAACTGTTAAAGGAGCACTCTAGGGTCAGGAATACATGTACATCTAGCCACCCTGGTCACCTCATGCCTCCCTAAATATAGAAATCTTACTTGTTTTCAAGTCTGGAGCTGCTTGCATTGTCACTATTTCCTTTAGACCTGCCTGCTGACATCATCAGAAGCGGTAGCCTGATCCAATCACAATGCTTCCCCATAGGATTGGCTGAGACTGACAAAGAAGCAGATCAGGGGCAGAGCCAGCATGATTCAAACACAGCTCTGGCCAATCCGCATCTCCTCATAGAGATTAATTGAATCACTGAATCTCTATGAGGAAAGTTCAGTGTCTGCATGCAGAGGGAGGATATACTGAATGTTTGGATGCAGTTTAGGCAGCCATGACCCAGGAAGGATCTCTAACAGCTATCTGAGGAGTGACCAGTGAAGTTATCACTAGGCTATAATGTAAACACTGCATTTTCTCTGAAAAAACTGTGTTTACAGCAAAAAGCCTGAAGGTAATGATTCTACTCACCAGAACAAATTCAATAAGCTGTAGTTGTTCTGGTGACTTTATTGTCCCTTTAAATTGCTCAAAAATGGTTTACACTTAATGAATTAGCAGCACTAGGAAGGCATTATAACTAATTATGTAAATAAAATGAAATTGTTATACTGGACTCCAGTGTAAAAATATCTCAAAGACGAGCCAGAGAAACTGGACGCATCTGAGCTAAATTGAAAGTGTCATAGCAAAGGGTCTAAATACTTGTAGTCAATGTGATTTATCTATTTTTTCAATACACTTGCAAAGTTTTGAAAAATGGGATTTCCTTTATTATTATGGGGTATTCAGTGTAGATGGATGTGACTTAAAAAAATATTAAAAAATTGTACCATATATGCAAGATAAAAGAAAATTAAAGGTGTCTGAACACGTTATGAATGCACTAACTGTAAATTTACATCATTGGCCTTAAGCCGTTTTGTAGATAATGTATATGTCCTCATAAAAACAGTTGAGACTAGGTAATGAATCAATGAAGTCCCATATGTCTCCTCAAATGGAGTAAGTTCTGTATCAATAAGCCTTCATTTGTGGAGAAGCACATCAACCTAGTAACTTAATATCTGCTGCCTTATCCACTGAGAGAGATACTTTCTTTGTGTTTGGAACACCAGAGGATATTTCTATTAAGAGTGACTTGCAGTTATTTACTCATTTTAGTCAGTCTTTGCAGTGCCTCCATAATACCTTGCCATTTGTGTATAGTTTATTTTTTTGGTTTTATACCAGACATGGCTGTTTTTTATGTATCAAAGTACAGGATTAACTGGAAACCCCTACATACATATGTAATCCAGAATGAAAAGAAAAAGGTGATATAAGTCTTAATTCCAAGCCTTGCAGATGCCTCCATGTAACAGTGGGGTTATTCAAAGGAAGAGATGTTTAAAGAAAAAAAAAGTTCTCTAAAAATAAACATTGAACAATAATGCTTGTCAGAGAGGTGTAAAGAAGGTCCATTTGTGGTGATGTAGTGCCAATACGGTGCTTTATGTGAAGATTTAAAGAGAGAAAGACAAAAGAGTGGGAGGAAACATTTCCCAAATTTGAAATGTCTATACAGTCCAATATAGGTACCAAGAGGGTACTGGAGTGCCAGAAAGTGGGAAAAGGAGATAAAAAAAATACATTGGTACGTCTACTTTGCGCTTGAGTGTTGTTCTTATCCCTACAAGGTTCCAGCACATTTTGGTCACCTTAATATCAAAGTGTGTTTCGATGAGCACTGAGATGTTTACATAGCAGTACCCAGTGGTCCTCTGAATTGAAGGTATCAGACCCCAAGTCAGACAAGTGCATGGAGAGATGCATAGATAGCTTTCAAATACCCTCATACATTTCATTAAAAAAAAATCTGTTTAACATTGGTCTGGTAGGAAGTGCACTTACAAATCAGCAGGTTTGCACTTGTTGCAGTCAATTTGCCTTCCCCACGAAGCATACATTTCCAAGAGTCAGCAGGCTTGAATGTATTATATCTCATACTTGGCTTGCAGTCTGAGATAGACATGGCAATCAGAGCAGACTCTCGATTGACCTCTGATTTCTTCTCTGTTTGGCATTTTACATAAATTGTGTCAAACAGTGCTGTAAAAGATAAATCCCATGTGCCTATGAATCTGACGGCCTAAATGGTTGCAGAGTTTCAACAAACTCCACAACCATCCAGAACTGTGGCCTTCCAAGAGTTAATCTTGTAACATGGTGAAGATATCTACACAGCATAACGCCTTCAGTACAGCCTTAAACCCTGTAGAACTGGTTGGCTGTATAGTGCATTCACAGAAACGACTGTTTGAGATGTTATCCTCATTTAACTCACTTTTTCCTTTAGCTACAATATTGCAACCACTATGGCTGAAACTATTCACGTTTTGTTATATTATTAAATAAAACTCACTTCTATGATACTGTGTGATTCTACGTCTAAGCCCTGTCTCATCAGAGCTCTTATTTTAAGTCAGTACGTTTGTCATGTTTAGCATACGAGGCTAAAAAAAAAAAAAAACTAACACAAACATCAAAATCCATACTGATATTGTGTTCACACATCAACATACACGTACTGCCAGTGCATGCGCACAGGAACACAAACATGCAAATATAAAGGAGCATCATTTATCACATTACATAAAGTAATTGTTACGTGTGTGTGTTTATAAATTGTATCTGTTCGGCCTTCCATTCCTACTTCACTTTACAATTCAGCCCTTCATGACATATTAGTTTGACATCCGAGTTCTAAGATATTCCTTTTAAGTTTGTGAGTAAGACAATGGTACCTCATGAGTAGTTAGTGATGTTCAGTGAAATTTTGTACATTCTGTACATGTGAGTCTGTGTGAAGGATAAGTAATTTTACTCAAGATCAGCCATTTTTCCTAGTCTTAAGATCAGGGTGTGAATACTTAGAACACTTTTACACATATCATGGTGAAAATAAGAGAGAAATATTTTCACATTTATGAAAAATCTTATTTTAATCCTTACAAAATCTACAATTAACTACAACGTACTCTCTCCATGATATATCCCTTGTATTTAGTCGAAGCAGTTCTTCGTATGGCGAGTTTTTGTGTAAACCGAAACGTTGACCTAAAATAAGGGGAACAAATTAAACAAGGACTTGCATATAATCCAGTGCGGAGGTTGTCTGCTTGCAGCAGTTGCTTCTCTTGGTGAGATAATCAGGACTGATGATCTCTGGTCCAGTCAGATGTTTCTCCAAGAGAAGTTTTGTAGAAATATGACTCGAGCACGGCAATTGATGCATTTTGCTAGTCTGATACTTCTCATATAGAACCATTAGTGGCATTTGGTATCATCACATTTTTCATGAAGACCGTGAACATGAAATGTGTTTTTTGTACCAACATTTCTCTGAGAACATGGCTATAGTGTCTGTCAGATAGACAGACAGCCATTAGACGACCATGCTCCTTTTTGTTTAGTTTTTTGCCTTCTTTTGGATCAACAGTATTAACTAATATATATCCAACTTGTCTCATTGCAAGTATGTTGTACAACACTGCAGAATATCATGGCACTTAATAAACAATAATAATATGAATGGATATATTTTCAATCACTATTTATTTGTTACAACTGTTAATATAATTGCAAGTGTCCACTACTATGTTCATTATATACACAATTATTTTTATGAAATCTTTTTGTGTATTTACATACTTCAGCATGTATGCTTCTGTATACCTATATTTATTGCGGTGTGTGGTATATATAATTGCTAGGGTTGCTATGATCACTTTATATATGTCAAGCAGCTTTTTTTTGTTTTTATTGTGCCTATCTAATATATTATTGTACGGAATTATTAAGACCTTAAATATAGGAAATACATGTAAAGTCTCCTCCTGTCTTGGTGTTGAAAGCAACTTTGTCTGCCATGTGACAAGCACCCATAGTTTTTGGGGGAGACTCTTCATGTTGCATACCTGTAGCAGTTTAGCATCACAATGAAGAGCTTTATTCATATGATTGGGATCTGGATCAACACATTTGCAGCTTACTTATTAAAGGAGCACAGGAAAAGCCATAACCACAATAGGCTTTTGTAGCGGTGCCATAAGTCGTCAAACTGTTAAAGAACAGTTTGGTAACTTACCTGGGTCACCCTGGTGCCTGCTTCTGGATTCCACTGCAAGGCTCAACAAGGCTGCTTATATATGCACCCCATTGGACCCAAGTAGCCTGTCAAATCGTTCTTAGTCTGGTAGGGTGCCACGGTACTCCTGACAGCATTATCACTACAGCAGGCTGTCATTCATTTAAAATAATATATATATTGTGGAGAGAACGTTGTTTTTCAAAGCAGATGTAAAACAATACATAAAGTGCTAATTGTCCATAAAAGTGCAGCTGCTATTACCTCGTGTTCCGTCACTCCACGCAACACAGATGCAGTGTACAAAATTCAAATAATGTGTGAGAGTGCATAATACATAAAAGATATATGCTACCACTTTTTAAAGCTTGATTAGAGTCTGAAATAAATAAAAAAATAGACCATGGTGTAGTATATTAAACATTCATCAATAAAACCATGTAAAAGTGTCGTTATTAAACTTGCTTGCTGCTGAACCAAATGTAGTAGTCTAAGACTTTTATATAAATAGCAAAAATAAAATGACAACATAAAGACCATTGATAAAGATCATCCAAGGATCGAAACGCATTGGTGCTTTGTGTCTTTTTATCTTGTCGTTTTATTTTGCTTTTTATCTAAAAGTCTAAGCCTTCTACATTTGGCTCAGATGCATGTGAGTTGGATAACCACACATATTTTTAATTTATATTTCAAACTGTAATCAAGCTTTTAAAAGGTTGTATAAAGCTTTGCATGCTACTTTACCGACAAGATTGAACAGCTAAGGAAACAATTCTCCCCTCCTTGTCGTTCTCTTTCTCAACCACACGTAAATAATGCTTTCCCTACCCTCCAGACTTTCAACCCGGCTACTGAACAAGAGGTGGCTGCACTCCATTCCTCTCGCCCCACCACTTGCCCGCTCGATCCTGTCCCATCTCACCTCATTAGATCTCTCTCCCTTTGTCTTGTGCCTACCCTAACACACATCTTTAGATGCTCTCTCTTCTGGCACTCTTCCTGCTGACCTTAAACATGCCACTGTAGTACCTATCCTGAAAAAAACATCTCTTGACCCATCCTCCCCCTCTAACTATCGTCCCATATCCCTGCTCCCTTTCTCATCAAAACTTTTGGAAAGACTTGTCTTTACCCGTGTGTCTCACTTCCTTAATTCCAACTCTCTCCTTGACCCTCTTCAGTCTGGCTTCCGCCCTCTCCACTCTACTGAGACTGCTCTTATCAAAGTTACTAATGACCTAATCTCCGCTAAATCCAAAGGTCACTACTCAATATTAATTCTCCTTGACCTCTCTGCTGCCTTTGACACCGATGATCATGCTCTCCTCCTTCAAACTCTTCAATCGCTCGGTCTCTGTGACTCTGTCCTCTCTTGGTTTTCCTCCTATCTCTCCCAACGCTCATTCAGTGTCTCCTTTTCCAAGGATACCTCCTCCGCTCATCCTGTCTCGGTTTGAGTTCCCAAAGGCTCTGTCCTTGGTCCCCTTCTATTTTCTCGTTATACTGCCTCTCTTGGTAAACGTATTACCTCTTTTGGATTCCACTACCACCTGTACGCTGATGACACTCAGATATACCTCTCCTACCCAGACCTCTCCCCTGCCGTCCTGCAACGTGTCACTGCTTGCCTTTCGTCCATCTCTGACTGGATGTCCTCACGCTTTCTGAAACTCAATCTCTCTAAAACTGAACTCCTCGTCTGTCCTCCTCCTAATACTGATCCTCCTATCTCGCTCTCCCTTCAAGTCAGTGATACCCACATAAGTCCATCCCTGCAAGCGCGCTGTCTTGGCGTCATACTTGACTCTGGTCTCACCTTTGAGTCTCACATCCAGGTTTCAACTCAAAAACATAGCCCGCATCCGCCCCTTTCTTACACAAGATGCTAACAAGGAGCTTGTCCATGCTCTATTAATTTCCCGCATGGATTACTGTAACCCTCTCCTGATTGGTCTCCCCAAAAGCCGTATTGCCCCGCTACAGTCTGTAATGAATGCTGCAGCTAGACTGATTTTTCTCTCTAGTCGGTCCTCTCACACCTCACCACTCTGCCAGTCCTTACATTGGCTCTCTGTATCCTATAGGAGTCAATTCAATGTGCTAACCCATACATTTAAAGCACTGAACAATTCTAGCCCCTCATATCTCTTCACTGATCCATAGGTATGCCCCTCCTCGCTCCCTCCGCTCTGCCTGTGACCACCTCCTGACCGCTGCTCGCACCCGTACGGCCAACTCGCGCTTGCAGGACCTCTCGCGGGTGGCTCCTTTCCTACGGAATAGCCTGCCTACTGCCATCACACTCCCCCATAGTCTTCAATCATTTAAGAAGGGCCTTAAAACCCATTTCTTCAGGAAAGCTTATGGCCTCCCAGAGTAATCTCTACCTTACATACCTGTCTCTTGCTCTCTCCTATAGGACAGTGCTTTACTCTCTCCTCCAGCTCTGCTTCACTCCCACCCTATTTGATATTTCCTGTCCTAACCTCCTATAGTCTGTAAGCTCGTTTGAGCAGGGTTCTCTTCAACCTATTGTTCCTGTAAGTTTTCTTGTATTTGTCCTATTTATAGTTACATCCCCCCTCTCATAATATTGTAAAGCGCTACAGAATCTGTTGGCGCTATATAAATGGCAATAATAATAATATATTTTATGTATTGTGTGCTCTCGCTCATTACTTGAAGTTAATTTTTCCAAGCAGTCTACAAACTTCCACCCGATCTTTCTTTCATCCTTTCTGTGCCGAACATGTATTTCACACACATTGAGCTAATTATTTTATTTAATTTTAATATTTTGTACTGCAGTAATGGCTACAAACAGAAAATCTCCTCCCAGAAAATCGGAGTCTGAAGAAATGAGACGACTGGTTAGTTTTTGTTTGGTTTTTCCATTTTATTTCTTAATTTAGTATGTAGATACAGTAACATATACATACAGTAATTATTGAGTAAAGCTTTACTTGATTTGGAATAAATAAATTCCAGTTTAAAGACAAAATTGTCTTGAAGTAGAACTGACACTGAGTTGGTGAAATTCCATCTTAACTTAGTTATACTATGCTTTAGTGGAGGGAATATATAAATCACATTTCTGCAGAACTCCCATGTTCTGTCTGTGACATTCCTATTATGTAAGTTATAGCACAATATATTCTTATAATCTTCTATGCATTCTTTTTCTCTGATGCTAAATGTATTCATGACTTTTATGCATGGCACTCTGGCACAACCGTGAATAAATTTACATGATATGCCAGGCTGAGATGTCATTTCAAATTTTTGAGAAAAAATTACCCCCCGCCCAGCTTATGTACCTCATCAGTTAAAGACAACCAACGTCATAGGCATTAGCTGCGATGGGGATGCATTTCACATGCACAAGAAGATTTCTCTGACAGCAGAAGTCATACAGGATCTTTTGTAGAGAACCATTATGTATTTTTACAGTAAGAGATTGTTGTCAGAGTTCTGACTAGAACTGTGTATTAAAACAACATACAAATAAAAATACTGTCAGCCAAGGTTTTATATACGCTCACACAGCAGTTTACATAACAAAAGTTAGGCATCCTAAAAAGATTTATATGCAGTTGTGCCACTCAATTTGTTATTGAACGTTTTTTTTTTTTTTTTGTGTGTGTTTTTTTGTTGTTAATAAATGTAAAAAATCTATAAAGCGTTTTACTTTGTAATTTATTTTTACTTTGCGCTCACTACAGCGAGCAATTCTGGACCATGAACGTCATAATCGACCAATTCCAGAATATTTCCTGGACATGCTTGCGTGGGACCCAATAAAGCCATTAGTTGACGACTCCGTGCCAGTTCCACCACCAGTCAGAGTGGGACATGTACGCTGGTGTACCTGTGGTCTCTGCATTTCCTTACCAACGGATGAAGAATGCATTTGTTGTCGAGATATTGTAAACGTTCGGAAGCTGCTTTTGGAAGACTCCGAGTGTATATGTGAAATTGAATATCTAAGGAAAGACTTGGTTTCCAAAGAACATCTTACAGCACTCTACCGTTATGGCTTAAGTTTTAGCAAGAAGCGCTTCAAGGGTGTAGAGCGTGAAAGGTGAGTTGCCGTTGAATGTATTATTAGTTTAAACGAGAAAATCTGTAGTAATAGCATTACCAGGATCATTTTATCTTGTAATATACCCTACCATAACATTTTCTAGTAATGTGTTTTGTTTTTGTTTGTCCAGAAATACATTTGTATTCTATCGAAGTGTTTTTGTTTATGCATTTAAAAGGCCTTTTTCATTGGGGGTGTATCTAAAAATAGCTTGCAAAACCTGCTATCTCTTATCCAAAGCCTTTGTCCATCCAATTACAACTCAATTAGAAGTCTTTGCGAGGCAGGTGCTCTGGGCAGGCAGGAAGTAACAGGACCAGTTGTCTGATTGACACCGGGCAGGTGGGGTGTAATAAGGTTAATGTATAAAAGTGCAGACGTCTATTGAAATATGCACTTTTAGTAAATGATAAAGAAAAATCTGAAGTGCTGGAGTAATTTACATGTGTGGACTGTCCTTTTACGTAGTACTAGAAGAATATTGAAAATGTAGGATTATTTGTTTTTTTTATCTTTAATTTGAATTGACAGACATTTAAGCGAGGGAACATGGGTATGTTTGTATTGAAGCAGATAATAAGTCTTAAACTTTTAGATTCTTTTAATAGAACTTTAAGCAATTATGTGGGACGGCCAAGTATGGGCACTGTAATCGTAACAACTGGATGGTCAAAGTACAAACCTGTGGTTCAACCAGTCCTATGAGTTAGAATTGGATGCATTCTCAATGATGACAAAATATTACAACATTTCTCATGTTTGTGTTTTTTGTTTTCTTTTCTCTTTAGTGATTACAGGATAACAGCCTACAGAGCTTTTACTATGTGGGTACATGGCTACATGGGACGTAATACTAAGAGACGCCCTATTCCGTCATGTGTAGTGAGACGAATACGTGACAACTTTCCAGCGCCTGATAAAGATTTTTTTTGTGTCCGTCCTGTTTCAAGTGATCCCTATGCAGCAGATATGTGTGATATGTGGTAATTCTTGTAATAAAAATGTTACAAAGACTTGTTAAATATTTTTTTGTCTTTCTTTGTTTTCTTTTTTTTTTAACCTTTGTCAATTACCATTGAAAACACCCACATTTTGTTAACATTGGGAACAAATAGTGCACTAGAACAAATGTTTTTCTTTCAGGAATAATGAATAAACAAAGTTTAGATTGCTATTGATCTGTGTTACCTCCACCTTTAAAATACAGGTGGTGTGGGTGATGTTCCTCAAATGCTTAATCGTCCATTTGTCAGAGCATTATGGGTAATAAAGTCCACAGCAGTTGTAGTAGATGCAAATGTTAGGGTCTAGTTGTTGTAGGCTTATGAATTTGCGAAATTTGTCCAGTTGTTGAATATATATGTTATGTGTTTTTTGTGAAATAAATTTACTGGTTTAGACTTGGCACCTTTCAAATTACAATTTGCAGTCCCAGTGCCATGAATCGTACGAATGCATATTTGGAATGCTAAGTGTTACATGTTTCAAAGTTAGGGGTGGCTTGGTCATAGAGTAGCACCCCATCAGATTAGTGTTGCACATCTAATGTAATTATTGTTTTACAAATAAAATGGTGACAATATGACTCGAAGAGTGAATTCATTTTATTATGAAAACTGTTTGTATCTGTCTCTGTAACAGTTGCATTATCGGCAGCTCCCCCTCTTTCTCTAGAGCACACACTGCCCTAGCTATTAACAATGATTTATTACTATTATTTTTTTTTTCTTCTTAATAAAAACACCCACGCTGAATATAGAGATCTAACACATTTTCAGTCTGTTCCTAAAACTGATGTGTGATGTCACTTATTCTCTTATGTTGTGGGATGTATGTCATACATCAGATTGACCGCACATGTCACTAACTGACAAGAGAAAGTAAGTTAATATCTAAGATCTGGGGACAGTGAGGCTGAGTGTTGGACAGAAGGGTTGAGAGGCTGAGTTGGGGAGTAAAAGTGTGTGAGAAGAGTTTGGGCTAATTTTGGCACGGTAGGTATTAGTGAACTATATAAGCGGGATTTGAATGGGTGGTTGATATCAAATTACATTATTCGAATGGAATGAAACATGTCAAGTGCTGAGTGAGCCTAATTTTCAGAGTATCTGTCTTAGTGCACCAGGTGCAAATGCATTATTAGGCTCTTGTAGAGCTGCAGGGGCCACCATATTTACCTGAGTACATTTCTCTTCTTTGATCCAGACAGACCAACCCAATTTGGAAATCTAATGGTATTGCCTCTATTTACAAATGAGGAAAACTAACGTTAAATGGAATTGTGCAAAATATATGAGAAGTCACCGGTAACTCCAAGCTCCATGACCACTTCAGTGATTTGTAGTGGTCCTGGAGGCTGTATGTGCAGCGTTTTGCCTCGAAATGTTGCACAGTGACATTTTATTGAATAAGAATCGTTCTGGGTGCCAACAGAGTCCCTTTAAAGTTTAGTTTGTTATAATGTGATTCAAGTCCTTAAGCAGTTGTATTATTGCATATGTACAGGAAATGGAAACACAAACTATTGAATGCAAAATTAGAAAGAAAACAATTTTACTAGGTTTACATCAAAACAGTGAACACTGAGAAAAGAATAAATCACGTTTCACATGTTTCTTCAAATGGAGCATGTTCTATATCAGTAAGCCTTCATTTGTGGTGAAGCACATCAGACTAATAACTTGTCCAGTGGGGATGAGGGAACATTTTCATAGCATTTGGAACATCAGAAGATATTTATTTTAAAAGAGTGAGATGCATGTATTTACTCACAGTAGTCCTTACCGTGCTTCCATAATACCATACTGTTTGTGTTTGTTTTTCATTTTATACCAGAACTTTAACCCCTTAAAGGACCACTATAGTGCCAGGAAAACATACTTGTTTTCCTGGCACTATAGTACCCTGTGGGTGCCCCCACCCTCAGGGACCCCCTCCCGTCCGGCTCTGGAAGGGGGAAAGGGGTTAAAACTTACCTTTTTCCAGCGCTGGGCGGAGAGCTGTCCTCCTCCGATCCTCCTTCCCTCCTCCCCGTCGGCTGAAAGCTTTCCTATGGACGCTGGCGTGCTCTCACTGTGAAAATCACAGTGAGAAGCACGCAAGCGCCTCTAGTGGCTGTCAGTGAGACAGCCGCTAGAGGGAATGGGGGAAGGCTTAACCCATTCATAAACTGCTATGTTTATAAAAAAATGGGTTAACCCTAGCTGGACCAGGCACCCAGACCACTTCATTAAGCTGAAGTGGTCTGGGTGCCTAGAGTGGTCCTTTAAGAATACAACTTCTGGAATAAAATGGAATCATGATGGAATATTTCCGTCATGTGTCCTTAAGTGGTTAACATATACACAGGTGTATTTTTTTTTACACGTCATTATTCATTTTAATCGAAGTACAAGATGAACAGAAAATCTATCATAAATAACATTAACATGAAGAATAATATAGTCAGGAAGAAGGATATGGTGAAATACAGATATAACCATGTAATAGTAAGGTAATTAAAATAATAGGTTTCAAAACATGTATCTGAAAAGAAATGTTGAGCAATAATGGTTCCCCAAGAGCTGTGAAGGTCTATTGGCGGTGATTTAATGCCAATTAGGGGCTTAACGTGACGGGTTTAATGAAAGAAAGACACATGATTAGGAGGAAGCATTTCCCACAATGGGAGATTTAAATCTTCTATACAGTCCAAAATATGAACCACGTTCGAGAGAGTTGGGGTTGGGGTACCATGATGAAAGGGGAGAGGGTATGAGAAGGAAAAGTGGGGGAGAAGGGTGTATTTTTTTTTTTTTTTTTTTAAAGTCACTTAAAATAAATAACAATAGATACTTTGTACTTGAGTGTTCTCCTCAACTCTACAAGGTGCCAACAGGTTTTGTTCCCCTAATAACAAAGTGTGTTCTAATTAGCACTGAGATATTTACATGACATTGTCTGGTGGTCATCACGTATCAATCCCCAAAAGGAATAAATCTGAATAATGCATGGAGGCGCTCTCATATTGCTTTTAAGTACTCTCATACATAGAAGAGCTAGTGTAAAACTTATTAATATTTTCTTAAAAGCAGGTACAAATAGGGTATAGAAACATGTAAGGAATTGTGTGTTTAGGGCATACCTCTCAACACCAAGGGACACAAAGTGTGGTGTGCAGTTGCATCACTGGTGATGCTCAAAGGGGGATAGTCCTACTTAGGGCAGAACATGTGCAGTTAAAGAGCTTTGTCCATCGGCTCAATGCCGTCAGTGCAGTTTGCACTATGCTTTATGGGGACCTAGTCTCTTGTGTTTCCAGATACAGGACACCAGAGGACAAGCCTGGGATTGAACTCCACAATCAGGACCATCCTGGCGTACCCTGTTATGTTGGAGGTTATTGCTTATGGCTACATTGTGCTATCAAACATATGCCTTTTAATTGTGTTGAAAGTCTGTTTTCTGATGGCGCATCAAAGACTATGATAATTTGGTTTATTGCTATGTCATCTCTTCTCTCTCACTGCCTAAAAATATATATAATTGTTTTCTGTGCAGCATTATGCACACATACTCAATAGGGGTTTGCCCTTTTTGCAAACTGTGTAACAAAATGAGACGTGTCAACCTGCTTGCAGCCAACTTTATTCTGTAACTGAAGAATGACGTAATTGCAGTCAATTATAATAGCGGTGTGCTTTTGCTATACTGCCTGGCTGTCTCCAGTATCCTCAGGACAACAAAAAAAAATGTTGTTGTTTTTTTAAATCCATAAAACTATAGCATGATGGTGGCAGACTGAGTCGGACTTTGGTTGAGTGTTTTGTAAGTGACTGTGAATAACTTGTCCAAGTCTTGCTGTCAGTGAAGGTAATTAAAGGACCACTATAGTGCCAGGAAAACATACTCGTTTTCCTGGCACTATAGTGCCCTGAGGATGCCCCCACCCTCAGGGTCCCCCTCCCGCCTGGCTCTGGGGAGAGGAAAGGGTTAAAACTCACCTTTATTCCAGTGCCGGCAGGGAGCTCTCCGCCTCCTCTCCTCCCTTTCGGCTGAATGCGCACGCGCGGCAAGAGCTGCGCGCGCATTCAGCCGGTCTCATAGGAAAGCATTCATAATGCTTTCCTATGGACGCTTGCGTGTTCTCACTGTAATTTTCACAGTGAGAATCACGCAAGCACCTCTAGTGGCTGTCAATGAGACCGCCACTAGAGGATTTGGAGGCTGGATTAACCATAACATAAACATAGCAGTTTCTCTGAAACTGCTATGTTTATTTTAAAAAGGGTTAATCCTAGAGGGACCTGGCACCCAGACCACTTCATTAAGCTGAAGTGGTCTGGGTGCCTAGAGTGGTCCTTTAACCCCTTAAGTACCAAACCTCTGGAATAAAAGGGAATCATGACATGTCACACATGTCATGTGTCCTTAAGGGGTTAAAGGTTTATCAGTTAATGTCCTTGACCGTATAACTGACATGATGTAACTGTGACTTGTGTCATAATTTGACTGTAAGTGTTTAGACTTTGTGTATTTTTAGTTGATCTTTTTGCAGTATCTCAGGCCAGTCAATATCCTCCTGAGACCCAGCCCATTAACTTATGTCCTCTGTGCTGGACATTTCGTACGTGCATCTCCTTTTATTCTTTTGAGCTACTCTTTCAATCCCTGCTGTATTGTAAAGAGGACATTTCCAGTTATATGTCATGTGATAGGCTAGGATACTGGGAACTAAAATAGGTAGGAAATTACAAAAAAGAAATTGGAAGACAATTTTTTTCCTCGGTTCCCAGGAGGATATAACGTTTGCAAGAGATGTGTTAAAATGAATTGGTAAACGGTATTTATCTGCCTTAATAAGAAAAAGCAGGAACTTGGAATGACAATCCTGTGTTCTGTGTTTCAGTCTAAAACATTTGTAACAAGACTTCATAAAAACAATATATTTTTTTATTAAACTTAGAATTGAAATATTATTTATATGATGCTTTTTAGCCCTCGGACGACTGTCATCCAAGGCTGACTGTGAGCCGTCTTACAGATATCAGACCTCAAATGTAAGTTTAAAACACTGTTTAATATTTTTATTCATTTTTAAAGGGGAACTGCCACTTCTCAGGAAATTAAACGGAAAAAAAAAATCATTGGAAATCACAGATAACTGTTGTTAAAATCTTTTTTTTTTTCTCAATCTGATATTCAGATTTATTTTAAATATGTACTGAATATATATATATATCTATAATCAATTGATCACAATCCAGTTCAGTCAAGGCACAGCCAGGGCACACATTGCAAATGAGGAGTGGTAACAGAAATTTCCAAATTTCCAGGTATAGGATAACATTTTGTGCACCTCCCAAACACGTTTGTTAATATTGGACATAAGTAGACAAAATATTAAAACTCTTGGGAATTGTCAGTCCCTCCTTAAGTGTTTAACAATTTCAGTGAATAAATGACCTGCATGATACATTTTTAGCATAACTAACATTTTATTTGGCAAATTAAACTTATAAATCATTTAAAACTGTTATTCCGTTCTTCTAGTTAAAATGACCGTGGCATGCCAGTTTCACATTTAGATTGAATATTTAAAGACATGTACATATAATGTATGATAAGACTAAATTATATATTTAGTTTTAGTAGCTGTTATATACCGTAATTACCTTCTATCCCACACTCCAGAGCCACCATTCTCGGAGGTCCATGGGTGTTATACTTTTGTAATGTCCAGCCTCTGTAATGTCATTGGCCTTGCTCATGGATACTTGGCTTTTAAAATTCTTCCCTCATGACACCAACATGCAGGCTTCATGGCCAGTGCATCTGCATTTAAACGTGGTGCAAAAATAGTGAAAAATACCTTAAATGCACAAGTGACACCTATTTAGATATTTGTGTAGATCTCGATAGTGAGAATATAAAATGAAAAGCATGTAACAAACAAAAAAAACAGGAGTAAAACTAATAGTGCAGACTGTATAAATTATTAAAGAGTAGAGGCATATATTGAATAAAATGTGTGCAAGGGCAGAAAACGATATTTGACATTCTTCGCTTCATTTTCATTTTCTGCGCTGTGTATTAATAATTAATTCTTACTCTTCGTGTATACCCCTAGCGTACACTTGCTGGGAGAATATACATGATGACAAGCAGGAGAACAGGCTGTAAGAGGGTTCACCTGTTCTGCCCTGTTACATAATTTTTAACCTAGCCTGTTATGACGAGAATTAGTTAACAGAAGAGAGAGGGGCCACATTTATAAATAACATTTTCTCAAAATCCATAGACTTGCTAGCATTTGTGCTTGCACAACATATAGATTTTATATGCTTCCATGAGAGCATAAGTCAGTTTACCCATGACACTTTAGTAGATGGGCTTTTGGGCATTATAAACTTGTTACTTTTGCACTCTGTACATCTCTGTTGCTTGTGTCTGATTTTACAATATTCTTTCCAGCTGATATTTTCTTGTTTAACAAAAATTAAACACTCATAGTCCATACGTACAACTCGAAATGTAAGTTGGTAAAAAGGGTACACATCCCTACATTACAAGTTAAATAATATACTATATAGATTTGTATGTACTGTAGTCAAAGGCTCAAAATTTCAAGTCTTACGCCACTAGCCAGTCCTTAAATTTATTCGCCAGTGCAAGCCTGGTGGTTGCCAACCATGGCTGAATGGACTATTAAAGAGTGGAAATCTTGAGCCCTGCTATTGTCAAGCCTAAAAAAAATATATGTGTATTTATTTATTTATTTACATTTTATTCTATACTTTGTTACTTAACAAAATAATTTATTTTTTTAGTATGGGGAGATGGATACTTCTTCAGATATAGAAGAAATCCCACTAGATTACAGCAGTGTTTCAAGAGAGCAGCAGGTGTGTATGCTTTAACTCTGTACAATTTTCAAAAACGTTCTGTTTTTATTTTCATGGGTTAATTTTTAATTCAAATAATATATTTTCTAGAAACAAATACTTTTGGCCCAAATGCGAGAAGCTCTACAATCCAGTGAAGAATTACCGTGTTTCCCATACAATCCACAAAAGAGCGCAAAAGAATTAGAAGAAGAGAAATGTGAAATTTTAGTGGAAGAAAGTTGTGTTGGGAAAACAGATTGGTGTTCTTGTGGACTTTGTATCAAAATTCCATCTGAAGAAGAGTCTCTCTGTTGCCAGGAGGTTCGAAATTTGCGGAAGCATCTTACAAGTGATTCCGACTGCATCACTCGACATGAGCGGTTCCATCAGTTTTGCCTTGATGAAGAGATGGTATATCTGATATTTCGCACTTTAGGAACATATACCAGTAGACCAGCAGAATGGGACTATAATAGGTAAAATATATATATCTAGTACATGGCTGGTTTTTCATGGAATATGATTTAATTGTGTTATGTCCTTTAATCATTCTCCTAAAGGAACATTATAGCATTAGTAATACAAACATGAATTCCTAACGCTATAGTGTTCTCCTCACTAGCTGGATGTCTGGGTCCCATAAATTAAAACACAAGGGGGAAAAAAAGGGTTTTATTTACTTTTTTCCAGTGCCAAGTCTCATTCAACGCTTCCTTGGCTTCTTGTGCAGTTCAATGCTTCTTATAGAGAAGCATTGGGGACGAGAACCGCACGTGTGGCGCTTGTCAAATCAAATGCATCTCATAGGGAAGCATTAAATCCAATGTTTCCCAAGAGCAGCATTTGATGATGTTCGACGTCGAACATCATAACTGAGTCAAACTCCGGACAACAGTCACTAGAACTTCCTTAAATCAAAACATTGCCATATCTACTAAATGGCAATATTTTAGATTGCAGGGTTAAAATGACAGGTGCACTGCTTACAGACCACTTCATTGAGATTGGTTGCCTTTAGTGTCCCTTTATGTATATTTTTAAGTCACTTGTTCTAAAAGTTAGTTCTAAAATTATTTGCTGTTTTCCATGCAATTTACCTTTATCATTTTTTTTTTACAACAGTTATAATAATGCAAACACTTATTGTACGGTTTAATTTACTATTTATATTAACAATTATTATTTTTTTTTTTTTAGAAAACTTCGAAAAACTGCCTTTCGGTCTTTTACTTGTTGGATACATGAGTTTTTGGGAGCCAGAAACAGCCGTCCCATACCAGCATGCGTTGTGAATAGTATTCGAAAGAAGTTTCCAGATCCAGAAAATGTTTCCTTTGGTTTTATCCGTTTGCAAGATTATGCAGCGGTGGATATGGCTGATGACCTATAAACATTTTTTTTTTTTTTTTTTTTTTACATAGTTTCAAAAATATGTTCTCATTTTTGTTTTTTTATTAAATGTATTGTTTTCTGTTTGATACGATCATTAGAGTTGTACTTTGTTTTTATTCATTTTGAAATAAAGAAATCGTAGTTGAATAAAGTTATCGTTTTAATTTCAGTATACAACATTGATACCTGTATTGTAAATTAAAATTAGATTGATGATACTGAACAATATTTATATGATATAGTTAATGTTTCCAATAAATTCACTTTTCGTGATTGAGAAAATTTGAAATTCCAGTACTACTTCAATGGCATTGCTCATATTTCCACTTTGCAAGTGACACATTTTCTTTAGACATTTAATGGCTAATACTCCCCTTTTTCTTATATCTACAAGGCAATATATGTTAAAAAAAAAAAAAAGTCTGTTAATAGTTTATTCATTTACAGGTTGATGATGACAGAAGACAGGAGGGGCAAAGGAAATATTATGCTTAAAACAAAAATGGTACACAAAACCTAAAAAGTAAAAATTAATTCCAATTCAAAAGCTGTCAACTTTGGAAATTATGAGTAAATCAATTAAGTAGTTTAATAATTTCATATTTAACATAATGAAATAATATAAATCTAAATTATCCGATTAATGATTGAAGTTCAATGATTTCAAGACTGTAACAGTATGGTTAAAATTCCCTTTTATGGGATAAATAATATGTGTGTTTCAGCTTGCCAGATTATTCACCAAATTCTATATCAGATTGGATAGTGCAGTACAATAGACAATTGCGAAGTATGGGAGATTTAATTTTGCACTCACAAATAATGGAGTGGCCCTTTGGCTCATCAACCACCCCAGGCATGACTGTTTACCTGCCCTACATTTTTTTTCCTGTCTTTATTATATAGATCCACTTAATTGTGTTTATATGCTTTCTAATGGTGATTATTTTAATACTTTAGTTTTTTGTCTGTTATTTTTGTGATCTGGTGTTTCTTAAGCTAGTAGCTTTTTTACAATATTTTGGATGGTTTTAGACACTTGGAGTATTAGTGACCTTTGTTCCAGTACAGGCAATTGCCTGTGTTATAATCCTGTTGAGATTGTTCTTTATTATATAAAACCCCATTATACACTAATTTTTATGTAGACTTCATATGCTGTAAGTGCCTCGGATAACATTACCACTACTGCCATGTAGATATAAGCATGACATTTACAAAACTATATAAATAAGCAAAAAAAAAAACAACAGTCTAATGCATAAACCAGGAGTGTGTGTATATATAAATATATATATATATATATATATATATATACATATATATATATATATATATACAGTTGCAAGAAAAAGTATGTGAACCCTTTGGAATGATATGGATTTCTGCACAAATTGGTCATAAAATGTGATCTGATCATCATCTAAGTCACAACAATAGACACAGTCTGCTTAAACTAATAACACACAAAGAATGAAATGTTGCCATGTTTTTATTGAACACACCATGTAAACATTCACAGTGCAGGTGGAAAAAGTATGTGAACCCCTAGACTAATGACATCTCCAAGAGCTAATTGGAGTGAGATGTCAGCCAACTGGAGTCCAATCAATGAGATGAGATTGGAGGTGTTGGTTACAGCTGCCCTGCCCTATAAAAAACACACACCAGTTCTGGGTTTGCTTTTCACAAGAAGCATTGCATGATGTGAATGATGCCTCGCACAAAAGAGCTCTCAGAAGACCTACGATTAAGAATTGTTGACTTGCATAAAACTGGAAAGGGTTATAAAAGTATCTCCAAAAGCCTTGCTGTTCATCAGTCCACAGTAAGACAAATGGTCTATAAATGGAGAAAGTTCAGCACTGCTGCTACTCTCCCTAGGAGTGGCCGTCCTGTAAAGATGACTGCAAGAGCACAGCGCAAACTGCTCAATGAGGTGAAGAAGAATCCTAGAGTGTCAGCTAAAAACTTACAAAAGTCACTGGCAAATGCTAACATCCCTGTTAGCGAATCTACAATATGTAAAACACTAAACAAGAATGGATTTCATGGGAGGATACCACAGAGGAAGCCATTGCTGTCCAAACAAAACATAGCTGCACGTTTACAGTTTGCACAAGAGTACCTGGATGTTCCACAGCAGTACCGGCAAAATATTCTATGGACAGATGAAACCAGAGTTGAGTTGTTTGGAAGAAACACACAACACTATGTGTGGCGAAAAAAAGGCACAGCACACCAACATCAAAACCTCATCCCAACTGTGAAGTATGGTGGTGGTGGCATCATGGTTTGGGGCTGCTTTGCTGCGTCAGGGCCTGGACGGATTGCTATCATCGAAGGAAAAATGAATTCCCAAGTTTATCTAGACATTTTGCAGGAGAACTTAAGGCCATCTGTCTACCAGCTGAAGCTCAACAGAAGATGGGTGTTGCAAAAGGACAATGATCCAAAGCATAGAAGTAAATCAACAACAGAATGGCTTAAACAGAAGAAAATACGCCTTCTGAGGTGGCCCAGTCAGAGTCCTGACCTCAACCCAACTGAGATGCTGTGGCATGACCTCAAGAAAGCGATTCACACCAGACATCCCAAGAATATTGCTGAACTGAAACAGTTCTGTAAAGAGGAATGGTCAAGAATTACTCCTGACCGTTGTGCACGTCTGATCTGCAACTACAGGAAACGTTTGGTTGAAGTTATTGCTGCCAAAGGAGGTTCAACCAGTTATTAAATCCAAGGGTTCACATACTTTTTCCACCTGCACTGTGAATGTTTACATGGTGTGTTCAATAAAAACATGGCAACATTTCATTATTTGTGTGTTATTAGTTTAAGCAGACTGTGATTGTCTATTGTTGTGACTTAGATGATGATCAGATCACATTTTATGACCAATTTGTGCAGAAATCTATATCATTCCAAAGGGTTCACATACTTTTTCTTGCAACTGTATATATATATATACGTATACATAAACACATGCAATAGATGGGATATATTCACTAAACAGTAGGATGTAGAGGGGTCAATAAAATGCTAGAAAAATCTTAGTACAGTAGACAGATGATAGCAGCTGAAGTCCAAATACAAATGGATACAAAAAAACATACAAATTATATATAAATTATCATTCAAATAGTCCAAATGTTATCAGCTCAAAGCTGTGCCGAGCCGAGATTCCTGCTATGAAGACAGCCAGGAAATCTGCTGTGTATTAGCTGCTTGATGTTCACCGCGTGCGTTCCACTGCGGCTCGATATGCGTTTCGCTGTGCTCCTCTGTATGGCATAGACAGATAGAACCTTACGCATTTTGTGACACTAGTGGTCACTTCATCAGAGGTATCAAAATTAAATTTACAAAACTATATAAATCCAACAATTTCTTACAGTGGTGAATATACCAAAATGGTTTGTCTGCAGGGCTTAAATGTAAAATCCTATGCTACTAAACAGGCCTTAAAGGGAAACTATAGTTGTTTTCCTGGCATTATAGCTCCCTACAGTGCCCCCCTCCCTCCCCGTGGTGCAGAAGGTCTGCCTCTGCTCCTCTCCTGCCAACGATAGCCAGCGGGGGAGTCCTAATGCGCATTTGCTGCAATGGCTGCGCTCGTATTAGGATTTCCCCATAGGAAAGCATTATACAATGCTTTCCTGTGGGGATTCGGGTGATGACGCCAGCAACCTGTCCCATCTCTGCTGTTCAGGCTAATGAAAAAGCAATATTCTGAGCGTCAATGGGCCTGATTACCATGTGAGCCTATCACAGTAATTACATGCCTTAGCGGTCACCCAAGTCATTACTGTGAGTTTCCACAGGGTGATGCGGCATCCTGGGAGACAATCTACTAAACAGTGCATTGTTAGAATTAGTGGTAGCTAGGGTTAGATGAGGCTAGAAATAGTGTCCAAGTGAAGCTCTGGTCAGTATTTACAACAAAAATTGTGTAATTTTAACAAATAGATTAAAAAGATTCTTTTTGCAATAAGCAAAATGTCATATCAAAATGACGACATTAAAATTTGTACAATTAGAAACCGCACTAAATCCACATCAAGCCAAGGGTGCTAAACCATGGGCCAATACAAGCCCATTAATGATGAATACCAGTAACATAGAAGAGGTCCAGGCACTTCCGTGGCTTCAGGCATGTTTATTTGAACTTGAGGAACACTGCAACATTCCGACCCAGAATAGGGTCTTTGTTAAGCTACTTCACATCAAGACTTGCACACGTTTATAAGCAAAAAAATAGTAAAAGTGCAAATTACCATCCGTCAAGTGATTAATAAGAACGCAATTATAGATGATTAAACAATAAAAACATTTATTAATATGTATGACTACCACGCAACAATCGCCTACACCACAACCTAGATTTACACTACCCGACTGACAAAACATACAAAGCAAAAAGACAACAGTGCCCTATATGGCTAAGTTGACACAGACTCGACCCAACAACACCGACAAGTACACCAATATAGGGCAGAACATTATGCCCACACTTAACTGTTCATACCACTCGAACACCAACATATGACCGCAGTACCAGACAGATGACAACACAAAGACCACAAACAGACAGGCCTGGTCAGTAGAGCGACCCACGCGTTCGTCTGTATCAAAACAAAAAGTTTTCATGTTTCCATGTTATCTGTTTGTTACCCAGGTTGCCTAGAGACCTGCGCGTCTCACCCTCATCCTATACTGTTATTTCAGAGATCTGCGCATCTCACATGACCAACTGTTATATTGTATATCAGGAACCTATGTGTTTCTATTTATCTCCTCACACGATGTATTATGAAACATTCAAACAATCTTCGATAAAAAGAGATTTACAAAAAAAAAAACATTTATTAATATTTTTTGGTACTCATCATCCATCCACAATGTATCTACAGCTGGTCTTAACTGTCGCAAATAAAAAGCCAATCTAAATGTTCAGCAAGAACTACATATGTAGAACTAAAAAAAGTTGTGCAGAAAAAGTTACAAAAAAAACTAATTTAAATTAATCTATATTCTAAAGGACTAGTTTATGGCAAATACTACTTCCTGGTGCAGAGAAGGACATCCCAGTCATGTAACCCGATCGTACAGAGGCCAGTCTCTAATTTCATCCTATAAATT